AGAGTAAAGGCAGCTCAAGCTGCAGCGGCGTTGAGACTGCCTAGTCGCATACTCGATCCGGAATCGGGGAAGGGAGGGACAAGAGATCTCAGAGCAAGGTCCCCCAATGGCAGTCGCAGAAGAATACGTCAGTGGATACAATAAGAGCCCCTTCTCTAGGCAAGGACAGACGAAGACTGCAAAAGATCGTCGGAGGCTTGGGGGGAAGCTTTTTTTCTGCAAGCGAATGATGGAATGAAAATACCCAACGTTAGCCGTCACTTTCTCCCCTCCAATGCCGAGCGGATGGAAAGGTGTGGGTCACGAGCCACAAGGAACGGCTGCGGGATGGCCAATCACGTGCCATCTTGGCTTTACGGGTACAGGGTCCCATCCTCTTCCCGCCCAGGTACGTACCGCTACTGGCCGAGAAAGGCGGGATGATGGATGCTACGTCACTTGGCGATATGGCCTTGGCAGATCGGAGCTTGAGAGGTCAAGAGTTGGTAAACAAGATGCGTCATTGATCGAGAGATTGTTCCTGGTTTGCGTTTAGCTTTGCTGATTGGGTCAGGGACAAAGCGGTTTGTTTAGATCCACGTGGTTGACACAATGCATCGCAGCTCAAAGACAGGCCAGAGCTTGAAGCTTTGGAGCTTAAGGAATTGAAGCTTCATGTCTCGCTGCCCTGTTTTCCCAGCCCTTGGAGACCAATGAATAGAACCAATTGAATGTTTAATACATCTGTAGTCATTGGTCATTCTCACTGGGACGATTAGGGGGAGATATGTAGTGTTAATTGCTAAGCTGGTGGCTATGATCATGCACCTTTGGTAAATGGCAATTGAGTTGCAAATCTAGACGATCAGGAATAGATCTGCGTTAGCCATGTAAAAATGTAGGACCAGTACAAGCAGCAATGGAAGAGAAGCCGGCACTCACACAATATTTAAACATTTATAACGCTATTTTCAACAACTCTTCATCCCAGGTCATTACTAACTGGATATCAATTTCATCGCATCTGACTGTCACAGCTACCCTGGACTAATAGTGCGGACAGAATTGAGATGGAAGCTATTCCTGGGACCCATGTCAACCTCCAGCTGTCTACTGTATCACTATTGGTATCAATTGAGGATAAAAGCATTCTACAACCTAATTTGTTAGCTCTGGATGATCTCTAGACCCGTTATGCCTATCATCCGTTCAACACAAACATGCTGGCAAGCTGCCCACACAAGGATCATCAACATCACGTGACCCACCAGCTGCTGTGGTGATTGCAAACAAAGCATTCAGGGACGCGCTTCCCGTCTCACAAGAAGCAACCTCACCACCCGCCACAAAATGCGCGCCCATACGCCTGACGGCTCTGGAGGCCGAAGGGTCTCTTCTAGCAACAGATTTCGAGCTAGCACCTCTGCCATCGGGCGCCCTCAGAGCAATCTAAGAGAGTCCAGGGTAAGTCAACAACATTCCAAACAAAACAAACATTAGTTTTGCCATCACCACCACCATCAGCATTCTGACTTGGGGCATTCTTAGATATCCTCTTTCCGAGCGAGTACTCAGCCGACATACAACTTCTTCACTGGCGAATCAAACCTTCCCCGTCCTTCCTCCCGACAAGGCCATACCGCCGAGTCTGTCCGCCCGGGTTCACGCGACAGTTTTAAAGAGAACATGGCGCCGCCCGATGCCGACGAGTATGAAAAGTACAGAAAGGAGATTGAGGCCTTGAAGGCCGAGATTGGCACCCTGCAATATCGCATGCAAACATCCGAACAAGAGAAGGAGATTGCTTTGTCGCAGCACAATAGCAAGCTCGAGCAAGCGCGCCGACGAGAGCAGGATGAGGCACAGCAGCGCCAGGCCGCCGAGGCCGGGCGCGAAAAGGCAACCAGCCAAACTGAAGCGCTTCGAAAGGAATTGGAAGAGTTGAAAGAAAACATTGAAGGCGACAAGAAAGCACTGGAGCGAAAAGCCCGTGAGGCAGAGGACGAAGCCCGCCTACTGCAGGAACAGTTGGAGGACTTGTCCACGGCCAAAGAAGAGGCTGCGCGCATTGCTGATCGAAAGGTTACCGACCTGGAAATGCAGATTGCCGCATCGCAAAAGTCGCTACAAGAATACGAGCAGGAGATTGACCAGCGAGAAAATGTTCTCCAGCAAGCCCAGGCTCAGCTGGCGGAGAAGGACGCACATATCGGCAACCTTGAGGCGGACGTACTACGACTTAAAGCACAGAGCGGAGATGCCGAGACGATGGAGATAATCAGACAAGAACTTTCCGAACAGGTTCATCATATTCGAAACCTTGAAGCGACCAACCGCGACCATCTTTCCGAACTCAAGCACCTACGAGCATTGAGCAAGGCGGTCGAAGTCGTCGAGGAGGAGAAGCGAAGCCTGCAGCGCAAGCTCGAGGCAGCTGAAATGGTCGAGGCAGAGCTTGCTGAGGCCCGTATACAGCGACAGAGACTCGAGGATGAGCGATTGGCCTGGTCGGCATACTTGAAGAATGCGACCGAGACTGGTGACAACGAGTTTGATTCTCCGGAGGCTGTGGCAAGGGCGCTTGTTCAGGAGCGTCTGACTACGGCATCGTATGTGGAAAAGTTGGGCGCTCTTCAGGCCGAGATGACGGCAACACAGAACACCATCCGGACGCTACAAGACGAGAAGGCCCAGCTCAAGACTGAGGTTGAGAATGCAAAGACATCATCAAACGCCAACAACACTGATAAAGCTCGACTACGACTTGAACGACAACGCGCCCTGGCTGTCAAGGAGGTGGAATACCTTCGAGCTCAGCTCAAGACTTTTGATACCGAGGATGAGACAGTCCAACCGGAGCAGTTTGATGAAGCCCGCGTGAAGAGAGTCCAGGAACTCGAGGATCTGGTGGACAAGTACAAGATGGAAGTGCAGAGTCTGCACGCTGAGCTGTCATCCGTGGAACCATCTGCTACAGGCACACCGCAGCCGGCAACTGGCAGCAAACGCTCCCGGCCTGAGGATGACAATGCCCACGAGCAGCTTGGACAGCTTGCGCGCAAGAATCGTAAGCTGCAGGAGGAGCTGTCTACCGTCCAGACCAAGGTGGCGTTGCTGGAGAAGGACCTGTCAGCCAACCGCGAGCAGCTGAAGGCTGCAAAGAAACAGACGCAGACTCGTGTTCTCTCCCTCAAGTCCAACCCGACATCGGACTATGAAGCCATCAAGCGATCCACGCTAGAGGCCCTCCAGAAGGAGAACCAAGACTTGCTGGCAACCCTTCATTCCAAGACTGGCAACTCGTCAGTCCCCATGATTCCCACTTCTGTGCTCTCAGCGATGGAGCGTGAGATCGCGGCTGCCAAGGCCGAAACTGCGTCGGCCCAAAAGTCGGCGCGTCGCCTCAAGGAAGTTTGGGGATCTAAGTCGCAAGAGTTCAAGGAGGCCATTTTCTCGACTCTTGGCTGGACCGTCACCTTTATCCCGAACGGCAAGATGCGGGTCGAGAGCACATTCTACCCCTCACAGACAGATGAGCATGAGAATTCGATCGTCTTTGACGGTGAGCGAGGAACAATGAAGGTGGGAGGCGGCCCGCGAAGTGCATTTGCGAGAAGGATCAGTGATCAGATTGGGTTCTGGGTGAGGGAAAAGGGGTGCATCCCAGGCTTCTTGGCAGCGTTGACGCTGGAGTTTTACGAGGAACATACACGGGCGTCCAAGCCTTGAGGGAAATGTCGGCAGCGGGGATAATGTTAATCGGGATGGATGAGATGACGACCTATACCCTTGTACATATAGCCATTTACGTTATCTGGGAGTGCTGGTGTAGACAGTTGCTCTTGGCTTGAGTGGGGAGTTTGAACTGCTCAAAGGCATTATTGCCAGGCGTTTTGATTTCAATTATTGATCTTTTGGTGTATTCTTTGGACGAATGAGTTGAATATTGGTCGTACGAGTTTAGTTACTCAAACTCGAGTTACTCAGACGTGGTTGAAGCCTAGATGCCTGACTTGCCGACTCTCACTCTGTTGGTAAGAATCTAGACGAGAGGTGCCTGCTGACTTGCATACAATGTCTTGCTTCAGCCTCAACTTATTGCGTACGCAACTCTGCCCGTTGCCTCTCACTTGCATCCTCCCGCTTCTCAGCGGACCTGACCCCGTCAATCCTCCTGCCTACTTGAGCATGCCGTGCTACACGGGCAAATTAAAACAACAAATCCTTGTGTAACTCGGAAGACGCTAAATTTATCCCGTTATGCTTAAAGGGCAAACGGGGGGAGGTAACCGTGTTCGCGTAAGCGCCCGTGGCTCGTCCCGCATCCCTGCTCGAGAGGCAGTGCAAGTTCAAAAGTGCAAGAGTTTGAATCCGCCGTGCCGTTGCGGAAAGGAAGTTTTGTACGTAATGTGAAAGGGGAAAGAAACAATATCATTGTTTGGTAAAGGGGCTTAGTTGCGTCTTGTATGCAAGCCAATTATGCTGAGCGTCGTGAGGCCATACATACACTTTTTGATCTATGGCCTGGGATCGTCAAGGGATCTTTACGGGATAGCCAACCATGTAGCCTGGCCTGCTTAGGCCCCGCTCTTCCGGGCTTGCTTCAGAGCCCCATCAAGGTGGTGGCTGTATCGAATGCCTGCCTCACTTTCAACACCGCCTGATCCGATCGTGAATCACATAACGTTGTTTCTCTTTCGGAGATTGCCTCTCTCGTAAATCGGCACTGTCTGTGAAACAATGGGGAGCAGGCCATTTATATCCATGTAAACTATGACTGGGGGCAGGGGAGGTGGAATACGGTTTCATGTAACGCTCTGATATGAGGATCGTCTTTGGAACGGTGCACATATAAGACGGTCGGTTCTTGTCCTCGAGTTGGACTCTTTTAGTGAAGGAGGCTGTATAGAAGCTTGTTCTTCTTCACTGGCGACTTTACCATGCGCTTCTCTACCGGCAAAGTGGCGGTTCTCGCCTTGGGTATGTGACTCTTTGTTTTACTGGCGAAACAATAGCTGACAGTGACTCTAGCTTTATGCCAGTCTACCTACGCTTACGGTCTCAAGGCAACCATCCTAGCGGATACGAACCGCGACGGAAAGGTTGATGTCAAGGGCGACTCTGACATCAAGGCCAAGACAACTTGGACGCCTGAGAGAGGAGCCTTGTTTCTTGCCAACATTGGCGATACGAACCAGCGATGTTCCAAGAAATGGCCTTCCAGTCAGGAAATCCCCTTTGAAGATGGCGAGACCTACTTGGATGAGTGCAACGATGCTACCGACAACGTGCAGCGCAACCCTAAGTACCTCGCTCCCCTACGAACGCTCCCCATTGCGAAGCTCAGTGCTTCTGCTAAGGGCAAGGTTCATGTCACGAACAAGGTTGCCGCTAGCAAGGTTCGCATCTTTGTCAAGGAGGGAAATGAGTGGACGTACGTGGGTGCCAACTACACCTTTACAGCTGAGGACCTCAAGGGTGGTCTTGAGCTTGGCATTGATGCTCGTGATATCCGTCGACCCAATGGTTGGGACGGTAAAGCTCAAGTTCATTTTACTGTCTCGGACGGAAGTCAGAAGGCTACTGATTCTGTTGCTTTGCGGGTTGCTCCTGTCTTGACGCATCACCATGCACAGCTCGCTGAAAGAGTGTTTAGCACTGGTGCTGATGGAGACGGTGCTCAGGGCAGATTCGTTGCCGACTTGCAAGACAATACTGCTGCTGCGGGCATTGATGAACCTGTCTTTTTGTTTGGCCATGGCGATATCTGGACTCAGGACTTTTTTGAGCCTGGATACACGAGCATTCCTGGACCCGATGGACCTATTGTTCTTCGAGTCATGATCCGTTCTGTGCAAGCTTCTCGTTCTTCCGGTCGAGATATCTTCCACCAGCTCCGCAACGACAAAGTTGGTGCTGTGCAGCACCATGGAGACGGCGACACCATCGACTCTACTGGTAACCTGGAGACGATTCCTCCTTACAAGTACAAGGGGAAGAGCTACCCCGCGGGCCGTGTCATCCAGGGCCAGTGGGAGGGACGAAAGCCCCTCATGTTCAACTTTCTTACGGCCCAGCAAGTTCAAGATCCCCTTGCTCTCGACACGGCTTGGCTCGCTGTCGGTCATGTTGATGAGTTTCTTCAGTTTCTGCCTGCTGACAATGAGCGGGGATGGGTCGTTGTCGTTGATGATCCTGTTGCTGGTGTGGAACTTCTCAAGAAGGCTTCCAAAGAGGGACATGGAAGCATGAAGGCTCTCTCGCGACCTCATCTTCCTGGTGAGGACCCGGTTCAGTACTGTCTTCCTAAGGAGACCATCGATCAGGTTCTTAAGCTGGAGAAGTTTGAGAGCATCAACCAGATGGCTGCCAAGCGTATTGAGGGAAACATTGCTATTCTCAAGCGTGAGACAGGTCTTACTGATGATGAGATTCTTCGCGTTCCTGCGACGTTTTACTACGCGTTCGCTGAGGGTTGGACGTGCAGTATCAACCCAAACTCGACCGCCGGTCCTACGTTTGGGCCTACTCCCATCCCTACTCCTGACCCCTCTGCAACCCCGAGCCCTTCCAAGCTCAGCGCTGGCTCTTCCCTTAGCAAGAAGGCTGTTAGTGGTGGCCCTGTCTTCAAGGCCAAGTCTATCATCGAGGCAGCTCAACCCCATGGTCCTGTTCAGCTTGGACGACGTGAGGTGGACCCCGAGACCCAGCTCGTTGCCTTTTATCCAGGCACAGTCAACGGTGTTGTCTTGGCAGACTCGTTTGTCCTCGCTCCTAACCCTTGGGGTCCGGTCATTGATGGAGAGGACATTATCGCCAAGGCTGTGCAGGAGACGTACGCGAAGGCCAGCTTCAACGTGACATTCCAGGATGACTGGTTCTCTCATCATCTGGGCATGGGAGAGGTTCACTGCGGCACCAACACGTGGCGAACTACGGACACCAAGTGGTGGTGAAGTTTTGTACATGAACTAGCAAGGCAGATATGAACGATAGGCACATAGAGGAATTCACATTGAGCAAAATAGCATCATAGTTTCGTAACAGTTGGACGTGAGGAACAACATGTACTGATGGCCTATGGCTGTCCAAGATATCTAGAGCGGTCTATCCAATTAAGTACAAGAAGAAGTTTAAGACATTATCCTCAAGAAATAAGGGGCGTCATCATGATTCCATCTACTCAGCCTCCTCCTCCTCATCGTCACCGCCGCTGGGGCAGACACGGTTGAGATGGATATCATCCAGCTGGATGTAAAAGGCGTCAGGGTTGTTCTTGCACGACAGCTCGAGCGACAGGACTGCCGTGTCGCTAGAGGGGACGACGGTGTTGTAGCGCTGGACGTAGGTGTTCCAGGCGTTGGCGTCGTAGAAGGGGTCAAAGTCGTCAAAGTTGACACCGTCGAAGCGGACGAGGATGTCGCACTCGTAGAAGGGGAGGTGATCGCCCTTGGCGACGTGGTACCAGTAGCCGAGGGTGTAGGTGGCGCCGGGGACGAGGCCGGTGACGGTTTGAGTCAAGCTGGCCTTCTTGTTGCCTTGGGGCCAGCGGACAAAGGCAGAGCTGTCACCAGAGTGGCTGGGTCGGTTGGCCTTGTTGTCGACGACGCCGGACTTGCCCTTGAAGGTCCAGTAGGTGAAGGCCTCGTCACCCTCGAAGCCACCAGCGTCAACAACGTCGGCGGTGTAGCAAGCAGGGGCATCGCTGGTGGTGGTGGACTCGGCAGTGGTGGTGGTAGACTCAGCAGTGGTGGTGGTGGTGGTGAAGTCAGTGGTGGAGGCGGTCTCAGAAGCAGTGGTAGAGGCAGTCTCAGAGGCGGTGGTAGAGCCGGACTCAGTCGAGGAGGCAGACTCAGTGGAAGAGGCAGACTCGGTCGAGGAAGAAGCAGTCTCTGAGGCAGTGGTAGAGGCAGTCTCAGAGGCCGACTCAGTGGAGGTAGAGGCAGACTCGGAAGCGGACTGAGTAGTAGAGGCACTCTCGGTTGTGGAGGCAGACTCCGTGGTGGAGCCGGACTCAGTAGAGGTGGAAGCAGACTCCGAGGCAGTGGTAGAGGCAGTCTCAGTGGAAGAAGAGGCGGTCTCAGAGGCAGTGGTGGAAGCAGTCTCAGAGGCCGACTCAGTGGAGGTAGAGGCAGACTCGGAAGCGGACTGAGTAGTAGAGGCACTCTCGGTTGTGGAGGCAGACTCCGTGGTGGAGCCGGACTCAGTAGAGGTGGAAGCAGACTCCGAGGCAGTGGTAGAGGCAGTCTCTGTAGTAGAACCAGCCTCAGTGGAGGTAGAGGCGGACTCAGAGGCAGTCTCAGAAGTAGAGGCAGTCTCGGAGGCAGTCTCGGTGGTGGAGGCGGACTCGGTAGCAGAGGCGGTCTCAGTGGTAGAACCAGACTCAGTGGCCGTCTCAGTAGCAGTCTCGGTCTCGGTAGCGGTCTCAGAGGCGGTCTCGGTGGTAGAACCAGAGGCAGAGGCAGTCTCGGTAGTCGAGGCACCCTCAGTGGTGGAACCGGACTCGGTGGTAGACTCGGTGGCGGAGGCAGACTCAGTAGTAGAGGCAGACTCGGTGGCGGTCTCGGTAGAGGATTCAGTACCAGTCTCGCTGGCAGTCTCGGTGCCAGTGGTCGACTCGGTCTCAGTGGCAGACTCAGTAGCAGTCTCAGAGGCGGTCTCGGTGCCAGTCTCGGTAGAGGATTCAGTGGCGGTCTCAGTAGTAGACTCAGTCTCGGTAGCGGACTCGGTAGCAGTCTCGGAGGCAGTCTCTGTGGCAGACTCAGTGCCAGTGGCCGACTCGGTAGCAGAGCCAGACTCAGTGGCCGTCTCAGTACCAGTCTCGGTAGCGGACTCGGTGGCAGTCTCAGTCTCGGAGGCAGTCTCGGTCTCAGAGGCGGTCTCGGTGCCAGTGGCCGACTCAGTACCGGTCTCAGTCTCGGTAGCGGACTCACTGGCAGAGCCTGTGGCAGTCTCGGTAGCAGAGCCAGACTCGGTGGCCGTCTCAGTACCAGTCTCGGTGGCGGACTGAGTGGTAGCCTCCTGAGTGGTGGCCACAGTGGTGGGAGAAGAGACAGGCTCACGGATATCACCATCACCAAAGTCAAGTCTGTAGTCGTTGATGTTCTGGGGAGTGACCTGGTTGGACATGAAGATGGAGTCGACAAAGAGGGCAGCAATACCACCAGACGAGCAGCTGGCGCGGATGGAAAGAGGAGCCACCGAGGAGGGGACGTTGGTGGACACCAGGGCGGTGTTGTAGAAAGCAGCGGTACCGGTGCTGTAGATGAAGGTGGTGAAGAACTGCTGAGAGCCAATGAAACCCTCGAGTGTGCAGATGTTCTGCTCGGTAGGGGCAGTGAGGATGAAGTAGAAGAAGCGAACCGTGTAGGGAGTCGCGGTGTTGAGGTCGGACAGCTCCTGGCTCAGGCTGGCCGTGTCGCCGACAGCTCGCTTGTGCTTGGTGGGAGTCGAGCTGACGGTGAACTTGACGCAGTTGTTGTCGTTGCTTCCATCACCCTTGTAGCCTCCAGTCGTGCTGCCCTCAGCACCGCCCTCAGTGGTGAAGTTGGGGACGTTGCTGGGATCCTCGGGGTCGAGGTCATGGAAGCCACCGTTCTGGCAGATGTTCTTGATGATGCGAGGACCAGTGGTTTCGGTAGAGGACGAAGTGGCACCAGAGGATGTCTCGGTGGCAGAGCCAGTAGCAGAGGTAGACACAGTGTTGCTAGGTCTGCAAGGACCGGCGGCAGCAAGGTCGAAGCTGCCCGAGAGGGCGAGAGCCGCCAAGGCGACGAAAGAACGCATGATGTAGGGGAGGAGATTAACGAATGAATGAACGACTGAACGAGGGAGTAGAACGAGTGAATGGCCGAGTTGGACGGTTGAAGCCTCAAAACCTCTCTTCCTGAAAGCGGGAGAGAGGGAAGAGAGGAGTGATATATACCAAAGCCAAGACCGATAATATTGGGCGATGACCTGACTCCTCAATAGACCCCTTCAATAGTCCTGCCTAAACTGCCCCCTAACTTTTTGTCAATATTGTCAAGCTTATTGCTTATCAGGATCCGTAAATGTCATGGAGATGATCCCAATCTGGCGGCGCAGCTGACGCCTCTCAAGTCCGTTGACCAAGCTATTGAGTCTAAGTGCGCCGCCAGATCCGCAAAGCCGACGGGCTTGATACCTCGTAAGGGCAACGCCATTTATGTGTGGCTTGCGGAAAAAAGAAGTAGAGGAGCCAGAGCCTCAGTGGCATTTTGCTTGGACGTTTTGTAACATTTGTGTAGATTGTGGGTTATCAAGAAAGCTAAGCCCATGTTGAGATCTATCACTTTGAAGATCTGGGAATAGTTGCAACGAAGATCACAACCAAGCTTCTTTACCCACAGGTCTCACCCCCTAGGACAGTCTTCCTTCCTCTCTCAGCAAGGATCTTCTAGACTAGAGACCGTTGCTTCTTCCAGGGACGTTGGTCGTGTTCCGGTCCCCGCCCGGTGACATACCCGAAGGCCTGGAACTGGGAAAGCCCGCATCGAATAAGCGCCAGCAGATTCGATAGCGCCACAGACCCTAGCCCACAGCTTCAGCCTTCAGCCCCTGGGATGTTGAGCCAATGCCGAGAAACCGGGACCTGCATCACTAGGTTGTGAAATGTGGAAATGAGGGTTTTCGTCTGTTTTTTCTCGCGCACTCGCGAGAAGCCGTCGGGACGAAGCGTGCCGTGGTGGGAAAAAAGCCATGGGAATCTTTGACCAAAAGCCACACCCGAGATGGAAAGGGGCATTCTAGTAGACGACCGGTATTATGACGTGCTCCGTGTTTTCTATGGGATTGGCCCGTAGAGCTTGGACATGGGGGATCGTCTAGGGCTGGGGGGTTAGTTAGTTCTCTGGTTATGTCGAGACTATTTGTTTCAACTATAAGAGACTAATTTGGACTGATTTTTTTTCTGCCTTCTCTGCTCACGGCATTTTAATACGAACTTGCGAAGGGATGAATGTGTTTAGGCTGCTTAGCTGTTGGTTGTCTGGTTGGATGTGACTGTTGTGCAAGATAAACAAAGAAAGATGAAATTACTGGTTGATTTTTGGGGAGGCCATGTTGGTATCCACGTTTGAGAATGAGGTGAGATTGGTTTTTACTCGTCAGGTCAAAATGGCACGCTTGATTGGCGTTACTTCCTTTGAACTGGCAACTGGGCAGCTGGGCATGTGCTTGTAGAGTCGACTGTGATTGCCTGCAAGATGCAGGTGCTTTGGGAAGCTGCCTGGGGTCACACGTGATACACCAGCTGTCAGTGCCGGGTAGCTCCTCTACTTCCTGTCAAGTTGGCATGGAAGAAGAGAGAGAACATGATGCTTTTCTTACCGACATCAACAACAACATCATCATCATCATCATCAAAATGTTGGAGATAAACAAAAGTCTAGAGCTCACGACCACCCCCTCAGAGGTCACTGTACCCATACCAAGATCCAGCATCGATGCAAGACGAGCAGAGGCAGAGCGAGAATTAAGACGAGCAGTGGAAATTGGAAATCAAAGAAGGATCAAACGAAATCGAACGAGGACCCTTCGCAGAAGCGACTACCACGCAATTCTACAATACGTTGCCCCGAAAGAGACGCCGACGCTCGAAATTTGCCAGTCGCACAGTGAATGCAAGGTTCTCGAGCCCTATATCACGAGCAAATACCGGGTGTGCCTCTTCGCTACAAGACCTAGATACTACCACCCCGAGTGCTTCGAGGACAGATACGACGTCACATGCATGATCCCGAATCATTTCAAGGTGGAGGATCCCGAGACGTGTGGGCTCATGGCGCAAAAGTGGTTTCAACACAATAGGCTTGTCAAGTTGGATGTCATCGCCGAGTACATTATGCAAGACTACCTTTATCAACTTGGCATGTTGGAGGATCAGCCGATGCCTGAGTTGAAGGACTACACGACAGAAACGAGAGATAGATGTAGTCTCAAGGATCTGGTGGACAGTATGACGCGACTGCTTTCGTAAGAAGGCTCAGGTTCTTGCAGGGTAACCAGACTTTGCGGGAGAGCCAAGAAATTGTGCAGTAGATGTTTGCTAGGATAGGAATTGGCAGTCTGGGACCAGTAGAATTAATGATAAAAACGGCGCGCGATATGGACCCCTGGCGTTCTTTTTAAATTGTGCATTGCCTTAAGCATGGATGTTGTGGGGTGTGGGGGAGCAAGGAATGAAGGGATCGGTATGTTCCGAGAGAATCCTTCAAAGTCTATTTCGATGTAATTGGCCTATGGTGAGTGACTACCTATTCCATATCTTCAGTCCTTGTCTACTTTTCAGTGCTTCTCGAATTCCTATAGGCTTGAGGTTGGGGTGCTTCCTGGAAATGAGCATGTATAGGAGTCGATAGTGATAAAGCTGACCTTGGAAAGACAGGAAGTATCATCAACACGGTGGTCTCAAATATAAAACTGTTGACTAGATTTGTATCAACACCACCCACTGACTCGTCTGTTTACGCTGGCTGTGGTACCCGTCCTATTTCGTCCATGACCAGGTTCAGATCCCTCAACATCTGCTGATACGCCTCATCCAGGTTTAGAATCTTCTCGGCCAGATTCCTCATCCTATCCCCAATCAGGGCTCGGTCATAACCACTATCGCCCAGTGCACCCAAGTCACCCCCCAGCATCGTAATGGCCTGCTCCAGTTCGTGACGTCCGATGGATGGACCCTGGACGTGTTGCCGCATCACTTGCACTATGAAAATGGTGGCTAGATCGGTGCGGACCTCCTCAAGGGCTTTCTTGACCTCCCTCAGCGCGATCCGTCCCCTCCTGGCCCTGTCCTTGGCATTCTGGTGCGCCACCATGGCCTTATCTTTCCTCACTTTCTGATCCAACGTGGCGACGACGCCGACGCCTCCCACAATGCTGCCCCCAGCTAGAGTCTCTGCCAAGAGCTTGGTGAGGATGTCGGGTTGAAGGATGGCTGCGATGACAATGGCAGCCACACCGAGAACCCCGGTGGCAGTTGCAGCGTATTGCCAGGTTTGATGTTTGATCACCTTTTGGTCCCACTTGGTAAATTCCTCCTTGTCGACAACCTGCATCGACTGCTCGTATCTAGAGAGATGAACCATGGCTTGGCGCAAGTTCAGCATTGTATCAACGATACCTTGATTCGTAAGGTCTGAGATGATGCATTAGCCCTACATGCAGTAACATGTTGATCTGAGACATACTCTCTCCGTTCGATAGCCGGGTAAGCCTGGGCTCGAGATTCCTGGTAATGACGTGGAGCTGCTCGAATGAATGCGCTGCGTTGTTCACTGAGGCGAGAGACTCGGCCGAGGTTTCATCCGGGGATGCCACATCTTCGCCCTCTTCGACCGTCTTTCTTGCCTTGGATCTTATGTCAGCACCTATCAGATATGACCGACTATGGCCACGAGCAACACTCACTTTCTCAAGACCACCTTTCAACCATGGTAGTTGAGAAGTGAGTTCATGCAGAGTTGTGTTAGTGGTAGCGAGTACGTCGCCTGCCTTTGAGATGTCTCCTCCTTCGAAAACCTTGAACGCGCAGACAAGCGCACTCAATGTGCTGAGATTTATGACCCCTGCCTGCAATCTGGGTACGAAATTCTGTTAGCCTCGGGGCGGTAGAGGTGATTGAGTACTTACATTTCCATCATCTTGTCTTCTTGGGATACCGGGTTTGGCCTCAGGTCTCGTTGCAGGCGAAGCTCTAATGGGAAGAGGATAAAGCTGTGAGCATACCGACGCTTCATGTCTTCACCTGTTATTTCCTCCCCGTCCAGAGTTGCGTAGATGTTCATTGCATGAGGGGCACTTTGCAGCCCAATGACGAAATACTTGTACACAATTTCGGGAGCAATCTGCCTGAAAATGTCTCGGACGCCAGACTCAGGATCTCCTACCGGGTCGGCGTAAGTGGCCTTCCTGTGTACAAAATCAACCTGCCAAGTCAGCGTGGTTGAACCAGTGAAGTTGGCTAGGTGGTTAATGAATCTACCTCTACTGGAGCATATTCATCTCGGCTTGAAACGTCGAGGGGCTCTATCACATCAGCTGGAAGGATCCTCCAGTGTTTTTGCAGAGCCTTTTGAGCGAAGAATCCTGCCAGGTTGCGGTTGAACTCTGGACATCGGCCCCGAACGTGGTAGTGTCAGACCTGCAGACGAACAGTGACCTGGGGGCCATGTTCAGGCTCGCGGCCGAAGCCAAAGAAAGACATGGAGAACGGGAGTAGAGTAGGTAGGTTTTCAGTATGTCAGCATGACTCTACGGCTTCGGGACGCGGGGTTTATCAGCTCGAGCCCAATGTAATATTGGAAATCAGGCTCTCTGACATGGCACCAATGGACAACACAGAGCGGCCAACATAAAGCACCTCGGTGAGGGCTGGTCGAGAAACACGGCTGTGGTTTGACGAATGGTGTGTCTCGGCAGAACTCCATTACGAAGGGGGATTCGTCATCATGTGCAATCTTGGCATGCACTTGGAGATATGAGCTGAACAAAGTGCAAGTCTCGGGTGCCTATGAACAAAGGTGTTGATAACTCATGGACGAATAAGGGGTGATGGTAACCCGTTGTGGTGTGTAGGGGGGGCGGGCATTACTCGGCCAGGATAGTAACTGCTAAGGAGAACCTCTGGAGATATGGAGTTTGTCTCACAGCACAAGTACTTTCTAACCGCAGCGACCGGGATGTCTGTAGCACCCTGTAAGCCGCGGAGTTTCACAGGGGCCCACTCAGCTGCACCCACGTCAACCTCCAGATATCAATCAGGCTGCGGCCACAACTTCCCTTCATCACCATCAAGAAGCATCAGAGCAGGCACGATGGATCAGAGCGAGAACGCGGCCGATGAGGTGACAGCTCTTGCTGGCCCTCGCCAGCAATATGTCGTCGCTAGACGGGCCTCGGCTGCGCCGTTCTGGAACGCAGCATCGCCAACCGAGAACGAAGGCGACATCTGGGAACTATTTGAAGTCTATCGCCGATCGGCGAACCGCTACTTGAACCAGTACTTTGACTGCCTGGACCGCCTACGGGCCTCCAGCGCTGACATCAGCGCGGGTGGTCGGTCACAAGGTGCGTTTACTCCTGGACTTTAGTTACACAGCTAATCTCCATCTCCATCCAGAAATCGCCATTCGCGGAAACTCTGAGGGGGAGAGTGACGTCTGGCTGCTGAAGATCTCGCATGACAGCGCGGTACGAGATCTCGTCGCACTAGACAAGATTTTAGACAAAGCCAAGAGTGAAGGAAAACCGCGAGGGAGAGACATTTCTCCAGCCTTAAAGTTGTGGTAAGCTTCAGGGTACTCTTGGGATCAACTTCTCTCGCTGACGCCCGACCTAGGACTTTTACATGTTCTATTCTGGCCTTGATTATACCCAAGAAGGTGACTCCGACCCTCTTCCAAGTGCCCCCGACCTTCTTCCAAGTATCCCCGACCTTCTTCCAAGTGTCCCCGACCTTCTTCCAGGTGTCCTCGGTTTTCTTCCAGGTCGGCGCCATTGCCGGCGCCCTGCTGCTCACTTCCCGCATCTTCCGAAAACCTCCTCGGGTCAACAGGCTGGACCCTGTGCAACACAAGGTCCTGGACCTGATCCGTTCGTTTGAACAAGATGCGATGAAGCAGCGAGATCGGGGTGAGGTTCTTATCTCTCCTGTGGACTTGGATACATGAAGTTAAGAGGCTTGGCGTGAATAGCGCTGTCCCTGTGGGCTTGGTGTTGATATACTTTGTATTTGTTGAACATGTTTGTTAGACTGCGGTGTTGCCCGGCATCGCCAACGCCTGACGCTTGCTTGCCAAATCCAGCTGTCTGCCTAGATCTGGCCGAGGTCGAAGCTATTAGCCATGTTCTCATCACTTTGCAGCGAAAGCCTATACGTAGGCCTTTTATTTCTTATTGTGTTGCCTCCCGGGTGACTATTTGATATTCGATCTTCTGGCTTAGTTAACCCATTGAGGGCTGGGCTTCAACTATAATATAGAATATATTATTAACACATCGTAGCATTATATCCCAATGCTATCACTATGGGACTACTTCATGTTCAATATGAGTACACACGAATACTGCTTGGGACTGGAAAATCAAGACATTGTGATTGGTACTGCACCGAGAAGTTCACATCTAATTTCTGCATCTTAATACCAAAGACGATTGTGCTAGCTTGACGTGGAAAAAACGTTACCATCCTAACGTCGCCACCCATCCTGTAGTGCTTCTCGAATGGTCACGGGCTTGATTTCCGGATACTTGGCGTTGAGAGAACCCTCGTGCGGTATGTCAAATTGACCTGTGACGGACCAGATGCCTAGAAGCGCCAGAAGCTGTCGGGTAAGGGCCTCGGGAAAGGGCGATAGGGCGAGCTCTGCCTTTTGCGCGGGGAGTTCGGTAGTTTCGCCCTTCTGAAGCTTTTCCAGAGGGTCGTAGGTTACATCAAAGGAGGAGCCTTTGCGCTGTTAGAGACGGGTTTGTACTTCAGTGGCTTGGTGGCTCACCTGTCACTTCTTCGGCCACCTTGACAAACTCATTCCATGTCGTCTTTTCACCGTAGCAAAAAGTCAACTCGTCCCACTTGGGTTCTTCAAGAAAAGCGGCGACGAATTTGCCTACATCGTATGTATAGGTGAACGCGATGGGCTCATTGCCGGTCCCCGGGATGGCCGCTTTCTTGTTTGCCACATCGATGGCAAAGGACAAGGGCGGCAGGTGAGTCTTGAGCGAGGTCAAATTGTAGCAGTCGAGAAAGTAGCCGACTGCGAAGCGAGTCCACTCAAGGTCTGTCTTGCGGAGTGCCTCGAGGGAGGATTTCTGAAAGACGGATGTCGGAGACCTGACTGTGGTTAGCCTGAAGATGGTTGTGGCTTGAGGTACTCACATCTCACTGGGAAGAGATCCCCAGCCGCTCATGATGAACCGCTTCACGGAAGAAGACTGGCCTGCGGCTTTGATCAAGTTGGCCTCGGCTGCGGAGGCTTCCTCGTTTGCGACTTGGATGGCGGATATGACTGTGTGCACGTTGTGCTGTTCCAACGCAGTGGCCACAGCCTCAACGTTGGAATAATCTACTGCAACATGTACTGGCTCTTCGGGGTTACTTGGACTCTCCTATTGGGACATGAGTTACAGTGCAACATGGAGTATAGATAGTTGTGGTGAGCTCACCTTACGACCCAGGACAATGAGCTTGAAGGCTGGAGATTGGGCAAGTATTTCGACAATGGTGCGGCCGACATGGCCTGTGCCACCTGCGACAGCAATGGCCTTCATCTTGAAAGAGTAGGGAAATGGAGGGAACGTGACGTTGTGGGAGGAGAAAGCTGGACTCTCGTGGTATCTGGGCTGGAACTTCTCGTTGGGAGCGAGGAAACGAGCCTCTATATAGTAAAGCCACCCTCTCCATGACTCGTTTCACTTAAGACGTGTTATGATGAGTGGAATCCCGGTGAAAACTTGGTGCTGAAGAAGCCCAAGCAATGGTACCTTGACACATGGGCAAGGAAATAAATAAGACGCTAGAGTATTTAGAGAATTATCCAACTCTTCATAAATATTTATAAAAAATATTATAAAATTATATATTAATTAGGAGATTTTTATATATTTTTATAATAATTTATTTAAAATATTTAGAGGAGGATTAATTATTATACTCGTCCTCGTGTCTCGTTTTTCCTTTACCCATGTGCTTGACTATCTCCCTCATGAGGCCGCGCGCTTTCCTTTTTAGGCAACCCTACAAATGCTAATGCGGTCATATCAGCAGAAACTTGACGCCGTCAACCTCAAAGCAATGACAAAGACTCCATGAATCCTTGTCTAGCTGGTTTCGAAGCCCCCAGACTCGTTCCATTAGCCCGAGTGCTTCCTTAGCCGTGCCAAAGGCTTGGAAGGGTCCCATCGCCGACACGACGCTTCTGAACATGTCCTCCTGCTCGGGTGCTGCTAGGCAGCCGGCAACGCAGAACGGCCACATGATACTACGGAGGGAGAGCTGCCAGGGAATTGTGCTGATGATTTCTAGAATGCGTTGAGCGCTGTGGAGGATCTTGGGGTGTAATGGATCCCAGCCTTCTACAACGATTGTGAGATGGAGTATTGTGGCGTGTATCCATGCCTCCACCACAGGAACTCGATTTTGAGCTTGGCTTGTCGAGTTGGACATGGTGAATAGCCCATCTTCCAGCATCCGCTCAAGCTCTATGCTTTGATTCCGCACCACTTCTGCTATGCCTGCCCTTTGGATGGGTTCAGCTGAGTGTTTCAATGACTCTAGCCTTGCAACCTCTCCAAGAGTGATGAGAACCCATCCGGGACATCCAACATAGTCCTCCATGCAGATACCTTGAGGCTTATAGCTTGAGTTTTGGCTCGAAGGGTGATTATCCGAAATGAGAGAGCTATGATAGCGTCGAAGCTGGGGAGGGGCTTTTAGAGGCACACTGGATATGATATCCGCAAAGATGAGGAAAGCGGTAAAGAATTGGAAAGAAGCCTGGTCGGCGGTCCATACGCTGAAACCCAACTGTGCTCCGTTGAAAAATGGCCAATCTTGACCCATGGCTCTCAACACGGCTCCCAGATCATGTTGCCCATCTTTCATGCCGTGAGTCTCGAAAATGTCGTTGAACAACGCCAAAGCGGCCGCCAGATGCATGTTCCAATCACCCCCTCTCGCCATGATCGTTTCAAAGATCAAGAGTTGAACAATTCCCCCCAAGACATGTGTTTGGCGAAAGACATCGGCCTTGGTGTGCTTGTTTAGACCATCCATGTCCTGCCTAATGATCTTGAGAGAAGTCTTCATATGAAGCGCAAGCGTATCCCACACATGCTGCTCGCAAGGCGTACGTAGAGTATGGCTCACGTCTTTGGCAAGAGTCAGTGTGAAATAGTAGGCGCTGATGCTGAGGGCTGTGTATTTGATGCCCAGTTGACCCTTGAGGATGGCTAAGAGCCAGGTGCGTCCGCCGCTTATGTTCGTGGGCTTGTACCATGGGAATAAGAAGGGAAACACAGTGTCTAGGTATAGTGTCATGAGGAAATCATCCGTTTCATCCTGGCCGGTTGCGTGTACTGGTGCAGCAGAGCCAGTCGACGCTGGGCTGTCATGCGAGGGAGGAGGCTGAAGGGAAGTAGAGGACTCTCCAAGAGGAAGAACTTGAACAGAGAATTCCTTGTCGCGACGCGATGAAGAGCCCTGTCTCACTTGAGCCTTGATGGCCTTTGCCATGTCATGCTGCTTCTGACCCCCGTCCATCCACTCTGGCTTCACGGCGCTGTAGTGGCAGTCGATGTCCAGACCGGCACAGGCCGCACAGACGGGTCGGATTCGGTCGCATTTTTTCCTCCGAAGGCGGCACGTCCAACAGGCCGGTGATGACATGTCGTGAATTACGGCGTTGACCGAAGTTTGCTGATGCTGCACCGTGATGGAGGTGGTGAGAATGAGTGGGGGATCTTGGCCAGGGGTAGAGGCGCGCGCTGCCCGAGAAGGGTAAAGCGTCTTTTCCGCTGGCGCTAGTGGTCAGCGACAACATGGGTTGACTCCATTCAGAGGCATGCAGAAGTTCACCGTTGAGGAGTTTCTTATAAAGCATCTTGAGGGATTATGGTCAGGAGGCCTATCATAACGTGAAGTATCCGAGTTGCCCTTAGCCCTTGTAGATTGCTTACAAAAACCAATCCTTCTGGATTATTTGAGATAGAATGCATTGATATAAACCGAGTATAAAGCGTCTCTGTTTCTTCTCGAGCAGCGACTTGACCATCGACACTCACTGACCCTCAACACACACAGTCAAAATGTTATTACAAATTCTTCGCTTCACGCTCCCAGCCTCCACGACAATCTCAAGCCCCGCGTTCTTGAGCCTTCGAAAAGCTGTGGCAACGGCTGGGGTTAAGATCCAGTACTTTGGCTACTCCGTGGTAGCTCGAGTGGCGCCCCTACCCAAGAAGAGACACGAAGTATCTTGGATTATTCGTACGCGGCCTCGTCAGACTCATGAAATTGTAGACATTGCTGACACGATTCTTGTTAGAATGGCCGGATGATTTAGATCTGTCTCAGCGACCCGCTCTCAAAGAGACATTCGACGAACTGTCGCAGAACAGCGCCACGAGCTTCCTGGTAGATATTCCGCGCGATGACCCGGCCGATCTACTGACGGCGTTGAAAGCGCCGATTTGCGAAGTGGTACACTCAACTAGCTACTCTCAAAGTGTAAATGGCTGACAGGTCGCTACAGGGCGCAATGAGAATGAAGCAGGATGCGCCTATTTTTGTCCCTCCGCTTCAGACCTCGATGCACAAGACATTCACCGACTGTTACCAGATGCAGGGCTTTGTGGGAGGCGACTGGGGCTATGCGGCCAATACTAACATTTCTGGAGGCGGAGATGTGGCCTTGGTTGAAGGGCGGCTCCAGGACGAGCAGCGGAGGCTTGCGATATACTTTTTCGGATGGGAGAGTGTCGAGGTATGTTGCATCGACCGCCCAGAAACAAAGGGACTTGACTGATAAAGTTACTAGCTTCATGAAGATGCTGGCCATACTGCCATATTTGCCGAGGAGATGGATAAGCTGAGACCTTGGATGGACAAGGATAGCGGCGCGTGGTATGTCACGCTTAGGAAGCACGAGGAGAATCTGTGAAAGCGGTCCCAGTGAGCTTATGGACTTGAACATTGGGTTGAAAGTTACATGTGGCGCTGTCTAGGATGGTCATTGGAGAAACTGCCGCGGCTAGATGGTTGGGAACCCCTAGGTAGTAGACTCGGACAACCTGCAACCTTGGTCAAACTCCCTATTCTTTTGTGCCCACTATCTAGTGTCCGAGACCATTGCTACCCCTAAAAAAAAAAAATCACTTTATTGTAATTTTTATTAGAATTCGCCCAGGATGCGGGATTGTGTTGTTGGGCCGTCCACAAACAGAGCATTCCTCGCTTCAATCAACTTTAGAGGCTTAGTTTCTCTGGCCGTAGCCCTACCCCTTTCAACAACATGACTTAACTTTAGAGGCATAGACTCAAATGCATGGACTCTTTATAAAAGATTAATTCAGAGAATTTTGTATTCTATTTTCATTGCTTCTTTATTCTCTAGCAAAGCCCTCGCCTCCAACAAGGCCTGGAAAGCACTTCTTGAGACCATTCCTGGATTCAGACCGCTGAACCTGAAGCGAAAGCTGATTCACTGCGGCATGCGCGACGTCACTGAGGATCAGAGAGACGGCGTCGTTCATGCTGGTTTCCCTGTTGTATGGGGTAGCACAGAAGAAAAGGTGAACTTCAAAGATGAGCTCCAGTCGTTGTTGATCCAGAAAGATGCCTGCCCTAGAGCGGTCCATCTCGATCTCGACTACCTCGACATGTCTGTTGGTATTGCCAACAAGTACGTCGCACCTGGTGGTCTGTCAAAGCAGAATCTTGTGGGATGTATGGATATGGTTCCGGCAAGATCTTGACCTCTCTCACTGACGATTGCGTCTTACGATCCCTCATGCGATGCCGAGGGAAAGATAACCCCGGTGGCTATTGTTAGTGTTGTAGCATTTTTAAGAGCCTCCTGAAGTTTGGCGTGCTGGCACCAAAGGCTGGGTAAATCATGTCTCGGAGGGCATTGGTAGTCGGAAGGCAGATTCTGTAGTAAACGGTGTATCTCAATATTAGATCATGGGTATCTTGGCTCTGCATGTCATGAAATAAGTGTCATTCCTTTTCGTGATTCTTTGGCCGAGCCCCTGACTGCAATACGGGGTGGTTAAAAATTCTGATGATCGCTATCCCAGGAACGAAACCAGAGTGACGATAATCCGCTTAACGCCGGCTGTACTAAAGACGGCGTCGTGATGCCAAAGCGCATGTCTGAGGCTAGAAATAATGACCCCAGCCTCTATGTTTTCGGTTGTTCCGGTGTCGCGACCGCTTTGGCATGGAGATCGGGTTTAGGTAGGCAAGGGCCGAGACAGAACCGGGCCGGGAACTGGCTAGTTGACCGAGCGTCTTTACTCAAAAGGGGAAGAAAATGCGAGAGCCGGTCGGGAGGCAAACTCACGAGGTGGGGATTACTTGATAGAGTGTGAAGAAACCTCTTGTTGATTGTGGAGTGAGAGTTCAGCTACGGCCCCTGAGAAGTTGTTTCGGCGGATGCGGATGGCCAGACAGGCAGACACACGGTGATCAGCTTTCAAAATATTACGTCCAGATCGAGCCTGCTTCTCAGCTCACTGGGAATGGTGTAAAGACTAACACGATGCTGTGCGAGGTCATGATGCTATGATGTGTTGACAATCTGTTTTTTATTATAGTTGCAGCCCAGCCCTTGATTGGAACCGAGCCAGAAGATCGATGATGTGCGAAGCTGGGTTAAAATGCCGCCATTGTGTTGAAAAGTGTGTTGGCTGATACAACAGTCTCTGTGACTATATGGGAAAGGAGTAAAATAAAGCATGTTGAAATGTTTACAGAATTTATTGATCAGGTAACCAGACACACTGATTATCTTAGAAATGCACGGTTGGACCTTGACTACTCAAATCTAACACTTGAGACTACCTGGAACTAGATGCACTTTTGGAATGATCTTTGAGTTTCCGTCTACAAAGCTTTTGGATGCCATCTGGCTGCAATCTCCCTATCTCGCACCATGACGTCCGGAATTATGCTAGCTCAGAGCTTTCCATGTTGCTAGAGTACTTGCGGAACTGAGCAAACACAATCATGTCTTCGCCCACGGTGCCGAGAGGAACCATGGAACGGCATTCAAGAGGTAGTTCTTTTCCTGAGAGTACGCCAAAAGACTGGTGAAATACGTCATATTTCCAGTCAGAGAGAGAAGAAAGAAGAGAATCGCCAGACCTGGAAGCATCAGTGTTGTGAATGGTACTGATAAAAAGATCGTGCTGCTTACCTTCGCACGAATTTTCTCTGTAGTTCTTGATGATTTGCGGAATATGGGCACTTTTGTCGTGTTAGTCTGGCGTCGGGTTTTAAAAAGACGAATTTGGCTCACCGTAAGTAGCAGACGGCGCTGAAATAACCCAGAATTATACCCACTGTCTCAAGCATCTTGTTAGAGTTTGGCTCTGGATCTTGCGTATCCGTTTTGGCACTGTCCAGAAAGCCCATCTTGAAAGCACTAAGCCATGCAATGAATCCCACAACACCAACTGCGAGTAGGCTCAGCGTGTTGGATACCCAGGGGTTCATTTTGGATCTTTGAGTTGAGCTGCTCTGCTGCGTTGTGGACAGTAGTGGCGTCTCCTCACATGAGACCACATCTACTCCCGTAGAGGAGACTGATTGCGGGAGAGAGTTGGCCGTCTTGTAGTAGAAGGATTGACTGATGAGAATCAAGTCGGCAATGCAAAAGTAGCCTGCCAGCCCAATCGCAGTAGGCGCAAGGCGTGTGAGAAGAGCTCCTAGATACAGTCAGGGTTCATCCAGAGACTGGTTGTGTAAGCTAAGTACGTACCGACAAAGTTTGCTATATCTCCGATTAGTCAAATGAATAGGAAGGCCATGCCAAGGCCCTCGGCACTCCCTGACTTGTAATTGGCATGAAGCTGGGGCACCTGCGGAGCGGTTAACGTTTTCTCTGGGCAGTGAAGTAAGCACGACATACCAGCACCGTTATCCACGCTGTGAGGCTGATACTTCCCAAGATGCCTGAAACGGCTTCGTTTAGAGGCATTGGAATCATGGCGATTTTCGAAGAGAACATGTGTTGAGTAGTAGCGTAGATAAGGAATTCCCCAAACTGCTTCACACAGCGTATTTCTGAGACTCCAGAACAAGTTGCAGGTGAATTGATGCGAGAAAGAGGAACAGGATCACACTGCTAGAGTAATCCCTTAAACCAATCTTGTTGTTTCTTTTATACGACCGGGCCAAAATGAGGACTTCCTCTGAAGTTCAAGTCTAGTGGATCACTTGTGCCGGTTGATATCGGCATCTGGTGGTGCCGGCCGCTGGCAACTGCCACTCCATGAGGAGCTCAGGCTGTTGAACGAAAGGATCTTCATGTACTATAGCGGCAAGAAATCTGTTGTACCGTGAGTGAGGCAGAAGACCATTCACGTCGCGTCCTCAGAGCGGATTATCTATTCCTTACTGGCGATATCTGGGTATTCAGACATCTCAAAGAATAAGAAGAAGGAACGGATTTGTAAAGCTGTGCAGTACTAGTTGAAAATAAAGATATGCTTATCGCTCTTGACAGGTAAATAACTGTACCCAGTATCGTCATTTGAGATGCCACCACCAAACGTGCCCCCCATACACTCAATGATGACCTCCCTGGACAACACTTAATTCAACATTGGAGCCCAACTTGCCACAGACCCCGGCATAGGGTGCAGATGACAAAGTGCCGCCGAAAGGGCGTAACAACAGGGGTTCCGCATTTTCTTGCCGAGTTAGTCCTAGCCCTGGTGGGTTATCAGCCTCTCTTCTCAGGAAAAACGGGCTCATGATGTGATTCGGTGTTGATGTTTACCCCGAATTATATTTGCAAATATGAAATGTATGGGGCATCGCTTAAGTTCGGTCCTTTTGTTTGGAGTCGTTCTTGTACGTGATGTCGCGTGTTGGACAAGTTCGTCCTGGATTGGAGGCTGAAGGAATGAACCGGGGTCCCCCTCACGGAACCACCTTTGGATTCTTTCGAGAACGAGCCAAGATTTCCATTACTCGTCGGCCTCGGTCTATAGCGGCCCCCTACGGATAGCCATATCGGGGATCGGCGGGGACTAGTTATGCTTCCTTCATGTCAGCAAGCACAAACGCAAGCCAACGATTTGATGTTGGATGCCTTCTCGTCGCGGGTTTGTTGGGACTATCGTATAGTTTCTACAGTCAAAGCATTTCGTGAACCATGACCTAAGACGCCATTCGCAAAGGTTGTTAGGGCCTTTTCCTCCTTTGCCCATCTCTCATAGCCTTTCTAAAATTCCCTTACTGCCTGAGTCTCACATGATCTAGCAGAAAGCAGGCCGGGAATCGCATTGCTTTCACATTTGGTGCCATTAGGGTAGGCACCTCTTACTTGGCTGAGGCAGTGTATGTTGAGTGGAGATGTTGAGCAACTGCAACAAGGCTGTTGAGTAGGTCTAAAGGCTGTGGTTTCAAGGATCGTCTTGGTAATGCGCTAGGGTCTGTCGGTAGACATCACGAAGGGGAACATGTCGAAAGAGAGCTGACATGGAACCAGATTGTCACGGAATTTGAAACTTCCCCGGACAGTGATTAGAAACTGGAGTGATTGCGGAGCTGGACAAGCGGATAGATTCCGCCTAAGAGGTTTCAAAGTTGAAGTCCCTTCCCAGCACGTAGTAGTTCAGCTGACTTGAGTGTGCTAATATCTAGTCTCGGCACCTCCCCGAGGTCTAATCAAGACTTCCCTTTGGTCCGGTTGGTTAGGACACATAAGATGGGGTCGCTTACCCACGGGAAAGATTGAAAGCGTCTTCCACAGGGCGCAAACCGTCGCCATCGTCAGCCCCAGGTTTCTACTCCAGGTTTCCTGAGTGGAGAACCATCTAGATGGATCCCGTGGGGAAGGCCCCGCGAGACGAGACGTTCTTGTTACCAAATAATCTGAACGGTAGCGCATGGAGATCTGGGGTCTGGAATGGGAACTGCGAGATTGATTGACCTGGGGTAAAAGAGGGAGTGAGGATGGGTGTATTGATGATTAATGCGGATTTTGACCTGAGGCCCACGATGCGCCGCCGGCCAAGCTAGGGGTTAGTTGCCGAGTGGATGATCAACAACAGACTTGACGGGAATGGATTTTGAGTGGAAATACTGAGTAATTACAATGGAGAAGCTTGAAGCACTTAATTATTGATAAAATAGATGCATGCATATGGACTTGTGTGCTTCTAGAAGGCATGGAGGGCATATTCATTTACTCCGCATGAACCTCTGATACCGCCTGCAGATTCAATAGACAGAGCCTCAATGAACCAGTTCCTCTGACACGTTTCTCCCCCGACGTCGGCGCAAGGCCAAACTGACCGGCGGCGCTGAACATGACACAACCCGGCGGCGGCGGCGGCCCGCCCGCCGCTGAGGTCCGGAGGGAGCGGGTCTAGTCCGGCCCTGGTTTCTCAAACATAATACTAACGTAATGTAAATAGAAACTCGACGGGGCATGACTCGAGATTTGACAAGGCAAAGGGCGTGATAAAATTTGCTTGGCTAATTATCTCGGCTTCTTTCCTTGAGGCATCCTTTGATTGCTTGTGAAGTTGTGAGTGTGCGTTGGTTTTTGGTGTTAATTTTTTGTTGATCTGTGCCAGACAAGGAAATGTTCGAGAATGATGCAGGCCATCATGGCTTGGCTGGTTGGGGTAAGTGAGGAGTCGCGCAACTTCACGACTTTAAATACCTGCGATGAACCTTTTAAAGCACCCTTGATAACGATTTGAATAAACAATTATAAACCATAAATATCAAAGAAGTCATCACAGGCTTAAAATGACCCATTCTACCTCCCAATTACTCGGTTACTCGGCCAAATGCCTGTCATGAACTCCAAAAATTTGCACCCCCCTCCCTGTCCAGTGGAGAATGCACCCATGCGGAGTAAGCGGATTTCGTCGGCTGAAGCTGGTGACTTGGAGAACCACACGGTTCACGCTCCACTGTCAGTGCATGAAAGATTGACTCTTCAAGATGCAAGATAGACTCGCCCTGGGAACCACTGACGGTTTTCCCCATGGAGATTTACGTAAAATCATCGACTCCTTTAAATCCGGGGATAACGAAAAAAAGACTGTCATTATCTTTGGAAAAACGCGGAGTAATCAGACAAGTGAGACCATGTGTGGAGATATCGCGTAGCGTCTTGTTGTCGCCGAGACTAGAGATGGGATGGGATAGTACTAATACCCTCGCCCCGTTCAGTCAAACTCTGACTTTTCTTCTTCTTTTCCTTCTTTTCAAGCTCATCTTCTGGGGAAGATCCAGATACCCAGATTTATTTCACGGCTCTTCGTCTTTGGAGTATACCATTCACCATGTCGGTCGAAAAAGTTGTCGACACAGCTCCCGTCACGGGCGAAAAGGGTGTGGCGAAGGACGGTGCCTTTGCCGAGGAGCAGGCTCACTCTATTAGAAATGAGGGCCTCGCGGGAACCGGACAGGAGTATGAGAAGGAGGACTTTTTGACACGTACTGGTTTGAATGCCAGGTCTTTTCAGAGGAAGCATTATGGCCCCGGCCTTGTCGAGCTTGATCGAAAGATGAAGCCGAGACATCTGCAGATGGTTGCTATTGGAGGATCTATTGGTGCTGGATTCTTTGTTGGCTCTGGATCTGCTTTGGCTAAGGGTGTAAGTGATGGCATATTATTGCTGGTTGACATGATGCTGATCGTGTAGGGACCTGGTACATTATTCCTCGACTTCTTGCTCATCGGAATCATGGTTTTCAACGTTGGTAAGTCAAGACACTTTGCATTACTCACGTACATATCAACTGACACCTTCCAGTCTACGCTCTTGGTGAACTCGCCGTCATGTACCCCGTATCAGGTGGCTTCTACACATACGCAACCCGTTTCATCGAACCCTCATTCGGCTTCGCCATGGCCTGGAACTACGTTCTCCAATGGGCCGCCTCCCTCCCCCTCGAGCTTACCGTCTGCGCCATCACGATCCAATATTGGGCCCCCGATGTTTCCCCCGGCGTGTGGATCGCCGTCTTCCTCGCCGCCATCATCATCCTCAACGTCTTTGGCACCCTTGGATACGCCGAAGAGGAATTTTGGGCGGCGTGCTTTAAGCTCACATCCATCTGCATTTTCATGATTGTCGCTCTTGTGCTTGTTTGTGGCGGAGGACCTTCAAGTGGACGATACGACACATACTCTGGCTTCAAGCTCTGGCAGGACCCGGGTGCCTTCAAGAACGGCTTCAAGGGCTTCTGTTCCGTCTTCGTTACTGCCGCTTTCTCCTTTGCTGGCACTGAACTGATCGGCTTGGCTGCGGCTGAGGCTCGCAACCCTACCGAGTCGGTGCCCAAAGCCGTCAAGCAGGTATTTTGGCGAATTTGCCTTTTCTACATTGTTGCTCTTTTCTTCATCGGTCTCTTGATCGACTGCAATGATGAGTCTCTGCTCTCTTCTAGCTCTTACTCCAGCACAAAGGCGTCACCATTCGTCCTCGTCGGGAAGTACTCTGGCCTCAAGGGTTTCGACCACTATATGAACGCTGTCATCCTGTCGGCTGTTCTGTCTCTTGGTATTGCTTCAGTTTATGGAGGTTCTCGCACGCTCCTTGCTCTCGCGCAGCAGGGATACGCGCCCAACCTCTTTACATGGATTGATCGAGCTGGCCGCCCTCTCCCCTCGGTCATCTTCATCATCCTCTTTGGTCTTCTGGCCTTCCTTAACCTGGACGCTGCTGGCCCCGTCATTTTTGATTGGCTGTTGGCCTTGTCTGGTCTGTCTATGCTTGTCACATGGGCTTCCATCTGTGTCGCTCACATCCGATTCCGAGCTGCGTGGAAGCACAACGGCCGCAGCCTTGATGAGATCCCTTTCAAGGCCATTGGTGGTGTTTATGGTTCATGGTTCGGTCTGATTTTCGTCATCATCGTTATGATGGCTCAGGTAAGAAAGAGACTTAAAATCCATTCTCAAGATGCACAAGCTGACAGTGTTTACAGTTCTACACCGCTATCGTTGCTCCCCCTGGAGAGTCAGGAATGGGCACAGTTGAGGGCTTCTTCAAGCAATATCTTTCCTTCCCCATTGTGCTGGCATTCTGGGCCGGAGGATGGCTCTGGAAGCGAACAAAGTGGATCAAGATCGAGGAGATCGACATTGACACGGGTCGACGTGAGCACGACTGGGAGGCTATCCGTGCCTACCGAGCCGAGCTGGCCAGCTTCCCTGCTTGGAAGCGCCTCGCTTATACTATGTTCTAATTACTACATCTTTGCTGTCTTGGGACAGAGACGCTAGAGATGAGCTACGTGAAGGAGCAGTGGCTTGTACATATATGAATAAAGATCATCACAAATCGTCTTGCGCACCCCTAGACAAAGTTACTCGTGAGCAGAAAGTTTTAAGACGACTGACGGCACAGAATACTTCTGCAATGGTGCATGCCCTGAAGAACAAACGTTCGTTGATCACAGCGCCTTGGCTTGTCAACGAGTAGTTCTACGGCTGGCTCAGTGATTCATTCATTAGTAACAAGACTTCCTCAATGTTAGTTTTCTGAAGCCAGCGTGGTGGTCGACTCAAAAATACGTTGCAAGTTATTGTGCCCCTTGTGTCAACAGTGTGATTGACTCTGTTCTCCAGTCGAACATGCTCTCTATATTGCCCTGATGCAGCGGTTGTGATCGAGGCTGGACTAGAAAGCCTTTGTTCTTATCTACCCAGAAAAACATCCCTGAATACAGGCTCTGTTCAACAGTTCACGCCCAGACCAGTGTCACGGTCCAGCAGATTTCCATTTATCCACCTCCTTTGTTCACATTCATTGACTCAATGGCATTCTTTCTAAGGGTCTATAAAGAGCATCCCACCCTGCATAAATGTCGAGGCAAACTTGAAACCATCTCACAAATCGGGACAAATTCTCAACTAACCCACCCAACTCCACCAGCGATCAACTACTGACAATGGCTTTTGCTCACCAGCTCGATCTTGTAGATCGTCAGTGCAACTTGTGCTTTAACCCTCTGCCACTCACTGAGGAACCAACTCCGGAAGTAAGTGAGCTTGAACTGATGATGAGACAGATCGAAATTCTCTTCCCAGTCGACATGCAAGGCGCCCTCCTGACAATGAGTGAAAACATCTCATACATGGATGTCTGCCTCGATGCCCAGGAGCAAATCTGCGGCATTTGGAGATCTGCCGAAGCTATCGACTGCTTCCTTCGACCTCTTCAAGGAACAGCCCGGACGATGCTCGTGGATCGCTTGATCATGCACCAGCAAGCCCTGAACGCGGCGGCTGCGAGGCTGCACCAAGACTTGACCAACTTTATGCAGTCGCTTGGATTCATGGGACAGCCAGATGGCTTGGAGGATAGGGCTTGGAAAATGTGAGTTTTTAATCCTCGAGATTTGATTGCTGATGAAGCTGAGACCGACATCCCTAGGCGTGCCACAGATTGAACAGAATACGCCAGATGGGTATGGGTCTTTTACTGCAGGCAGTACAAAGGCGAAAAATAGGCCACTATCTTAGCATTGGGATATAATGCTATGATGTGTTGATATTGTGTTTTGTTACGTACTTGAAGCCCCGCCCTTCATGGGACAACTGCGCCAAAAGATAGAATAGAATATGCCAAAATCAAGCCCCGTCGCTAGGTAAAGCAAATAACTTCAAGTCCCCAGTCTAAAAAATACAAAGAGGAATTATTTTTCTTCCAAATTCATTATTGAAACATCGAGTTGTGAAGTGTTGAACCTTGTAAAATGTCCAAGAGGCACCACCTAATCAGATAAGCTCAATTGTTCTGCTCTCCCAGTCCTGACAAAGGTTCATGCCCCCGAGAACATGAGTTTTGGGATCTGAAACAAAGATGCCTATCCGAAAGAACCTGCCCGGTTCTTTGGCGGGATGTAACAAGAGCCCGTACACAACGAGTTGCTTCTTGCAATTTAAGCACAGCCGTTGATCGTCTTCCTCAACCTGATCCGAATCGCCTAGATCCAACGCTTGTTCTTCCTTGGCATTTGTATTGCCAAGTGTTTCGTCGCTTGGGCTATCCTCGTTAGCGCTGAGCTCGTGGCAATAGCAAGGCTGTGGCCTTTTCACGATGCAACTTCCGAGAAGAAACAAGGTGAGCCCTCCAGCATCTGCTCCTCCCTCCTTGAACCATTTCCAGTCAGGCCGCAAATGAATTCTCTCCTTATTATCGAGATGGTCAAATTTCCGCACAAAGTCCCAACCAGATGGAACCTCTGAAGCTTTTGATCGCAAAGTGAGCTTGCCACTTCTTAGCCGGCCATACGGATTGGATCCAACTAGATCCATCTTGGCATCAAAGAGTGTAAATTCTTGCTGCAGCACTTCCAATTCTTGCCAAAGATCAAAAATCTGGCTTCCATAAACACATACAGAGCGACTGTCTCTGGCCCAGCTCCATGAGGGCGCAATGTATGGATCTGGCGACTCCAAGGAAGTAATGAGATCCTGACGGTGGGGATGTGGGAATTCGGCCTGCCAGAAAAGACCTCGACAAAGATCATTTCTCCACAATCCCGCCAGGTATTCATCGTGCAGCACATCTTGGTATAGTTTGGCCAAACCAGAAATAGCCGGGAGCCGGTCTGTTTGACGTGTTAACCGAGTGCCTGAAAAGCCCGTCATTATTCGAAACCATCCAACGTAGTTTAAGTATCTTTGTGCTGAATGTGCGAAGACGGTGGTGCTATCGTCTTTATGGAATTGAGCCGAGAGGCCTATGCGTCCAAAGAGAAGAATCCTTTGCCCTACCACCCTTTCTTGGTAAACCCAGCCTCTGGTCCTCCACCTCGATGACAAGAAATCTTCGACTGCAAGTTTGTAGAAAATGGCCGGGTTACCAAACTTGTCCGGATGTGGCACCTGTACGAGGCGGTATGATCCATGAATTCCTGGTTTGAGCTTTGAATGGAATGGTAGGTGGATGAAAGGCTTGGTCAAGGAGAGGAAGCCCTCGTTGCACGAGTCAGATGCGGGTGCGGCGATGACAAAGTAAGCATCCTTGAAGAGCATAGCCATAAGGGCAGACTCTTGTTCCCAATCGTAGGCATCGTCCTGGATGATGCAAACGGCATCGACCCAGAGGTATCTCACACCAAAGGCCCGACATACCACCACGGCGTCTCTGATCACTGGGGATACTTCAGAGAGCTTGAAGCCCCGGTATCGATCGTGGAGATTACACCTCAAGGTCTTGAATTGGGTTTCTGCATCTTTGGGAGTGCCCCAGCAATAGCTAAGAGCAGCGTACGATTGGTCAAGGCGCTCATGTTTCGTTACAAGTTTGAGCTCTTCTCCCTCTGGATCTGCGCCAAGGTCAATGACGCGGGTTGGAAAAAAGTCCGAGGTTGATGGGGGGAACTTGTTGAGCTTAGCACTCATCTCGCTGATTTTCTCTTGAGTGAGAAAATTTAGCGATGGTGTTGACTGCACTCGTAGCCATCCTTGGCATTGTTCTAGAGGCATTAGCAGGTTGTCACGGGCATACTAATGGCTTGCATCTTACCATCCTGTGAGTCAATAGTGAACCGTAACCTGGGTCAGTTGTTAGCCACTCCTCTGAGGGTCATGGCCTTCTGTGATGGGCCTAGGAGAACAGACGTTTCAAAGGCATCCTTGTAGCCAGGGCGGAATATCTCAAGACACATCCCGTACAGAGCGAATGGCATGTTGTTGTTTTGAGGCAACCACGCATAAGCAATCTTGAGGGAGATTTCCTGCACCTCAAACTGGCAACCTATTTCAGAGTCCATGATGGCCGATCTGAGGAAGCAGCAAAAGTAGCATTCGGCCGAGGCGGATAAGAGAGGCAATTCAGGTAGCCAGTCGTGGAATTCGAAATCGGACGGTAAAATTGCGCCTTTACCTGCGGTGTATGTGTTCAAGTTTGAGGGAAATTTGAGCATCTCGGATCCTTGCGATAGGGCAATGGAGCCTCGGTTGAGGCTGTCATCGAAGCAGGCGCCTTGGCATCTCTCGCAAAGTCTCTTGGAGCAGCTGTCGCTGCTCGTTGGGTTGGGCTCTTGCGCGCTCATTGTGAAGGGAACTCGACTTGCGTTTTTATGTAATGGGGCATCGATATTGTAAAAATTTGAGGTTGAAAAGGATCAACTCTGACTGAAGTGGCGGTGCTTATTTTCTATGAGGGGATTTACCTGCTGGGGGAGGCTTAGCGTTAGGCTTTCAACGAGGCAGATGCTCACGTGCTCTGCAGTGATAGAGTGAATAGCCCAGGTCACAGACTTGTCATGTACCTACCTACTTTGACGAGGTGTAAAAGGATTTAACTAGGTATTTTTAATGAAGTTTGCGATGTCTTGTTGATATTTGGCGATATTTTGACTGGCTTGTATATCGTCGACTGTTCTGATTATTTTATTCATCATATGGAAATCGACGGGATTTACAAAACGCATGGCTGGTTTTCCCCCCCTCCAAACCATGCCATATATCTGGCAGATAAAAAATATTCAGACTTTCTTGTCCATGGATCAGGAGATTTCTGCAGGAGATTCCTAGAAGCCCACTCTGCTGAAGTCGTGAAATACCCATGTTGCGTCTTAATCAACTTGCATGCATTAACTCACTGGCGAATTTTCAGAAACGTTTAGTTTGAATAGTAGCCTGTAGGTTCAAGAGCTTTGATTTGTCTACATCTTATATCCACCTTCCTATGCATCCTGTCTGGTCATTCATTCTAGAAGATTAACGAGCCGCATTTCCGACTCCAGCCTCATTGGTGAGTGTGGTATTGACGGCACCAGTCACAAACTGTGCCTCGAGGAGGTTTGGCGACCACGTAGCAGCCGCAAGGGCATGCGCACATAGGATTCGCCATGTCAACTGGCGCGGGGGCGTCAGTGGCTCCGGTTGGGCAGGTGGCCTTGTTAGACTGAGTTGAAGAACACATCGTGAATGTATAAATGGTGCAAATCTGTAGAGATGATATCCTGCAAGACATGTGTGTGGCTATTGGCTAGCCCTGGTGGTCATGGGACTAGATATAAAATTGAGTTAAGCTATTGAATTAAGCTTAAGTGGACGCGCGACCCTAGAGGCCGCCGAACAAACCATCACCGACCAGCCCAGTCAATTAATGACGGTCGTTAAACTGTAGCTAACCTACACTGATTTGGAACCCTGGGCATCTGTGAACCATTTTCTGTTGTCAAAAATGATGACTGATTATTACATTACGTATCTGAATGAGGGCGGTGCGTGGAGGTTGATACAGTGCTGAGGGCGAGAACTATAATCACTGATTCATTTTCTTTAGAGCAATCTTCTCTTCATTTTGCCTTTGCTTGCCCAAGCCCCTCCGTCGTGGGAGAATTTCTGATCCAGGTCTGCCGAGGCACTATCACGACATCCTGGTTGGACTCGCCTCATAGATGCCAAGGTGGCGAAGTGTCCAAGACGTGTTGTTCAGGCTCACACAAGGCCCTGGGTTACATTGTTCACCAGCCACAAAGCGAGAGATCTCGAGGGACAAAGCAAGCGGGGTTTATGCTGGAACCAAAACAAAGTAGCTTTCAAAGTACCACACAATCAAGGCAGGTCGGTGTGTTCAAAGTTTGCCGTATCTAAAGTGACTAGGGCCTCGAGATACGACAGGTCTAGTGCAAACAAAGGAACCATGCTGTGGCTGGCAAGATTCCAAAGATTCCGCTCGGAGCACCCGGTCCTACATCAGTCCATTCCGCGGTGACGACAAGACCCCTGCGGTGACAACAGATAACCCTACAATGATGCTTAACACGAATTGAGCCACTCACATCACCGCCACCGCACGCCTATCTCTCGGCGCCTAGCCACCAGAACCTTGCGACCTGCCCTTATCAACCAAGGTCACACTTGCGAATGCGCCAAAAGTTCCACGCGACGTGGGATCTGAGCCCGGCGCTAGTTCCTGGAAGAGGCAGTTGCGGCGGGGAATCGATTCGCTCGCCAAGAAACGATCGTCCCGCCCATCCCTACAACTGCCTCATTGGGATGGTCGCCGTGACGCTGCCGTTGACGTGATTGGTGCAATCATATATTGTGCTATGCAGAAGTGCCATGCAGTCAATGAAGAAGGTCATTGACCGAGGAGAGTTGAGATGAGAGTGTTGTAGCTATCTGCATAATGCAGAGCGTCACCTATAAAAGGCTTATTCTCACGCTCGAGTGAATCCTTTTGCTCATCACTGCCTCTCTTGTCTCAAGGTAGCTGCTCAATCTTGTCTCTAGCCCATCATGAAGTCCTCTATTCTTTCGCTCTCCCTCTACGCCTTGGCCGCGCCTTCACTGGTCAGCGCCGGCAGCAGCAAGAAGCCCCTGGTCAACTCACTCAAGCTGCAGAAGCTCATCAACATCGATGGACTCCTCGCCGGATCCCAGAAGCTTCAGGACTTTGCTGATGCCAACGGAGGAAACCGTGCCTTTGGCAGCGGTGGTCACAATGCCACCGTCGACTACATCTACAACAGCCTGAAGAAACTCGGCACTTATGATGTGGTCAAGCAGCCCTTCACCGAGCTCTACTCGCAGGGTACCGCTTCGCTCAAGGTCAACGGAGAGGACTTTGAGGCCGCCATCATGACCTACACCCCCGGCGGTACCGTCCAGGGACCTCTGGTCGTTGCCTCCAACCTCGGATGCGAGGTTGCGGATTTCCCCGCCGAGACCAAGGACAACGTCGTGCTTGTGTCACGAGGCGAGTGCCCCTTTGCCCTCAAGTCGACCAATGCCAAGCAGGCCGGTGCCGCCGGTGTTGTCGTGTACAACAACGTCCCCGGCAGTTTGGCTGGCACCCTCGGCGCTGCTTTCGGCGATTACGCGCCCATTGTTGGCATCAGCCAGGAGGAGGGACAGGCTATCCTCGAGCTGGTCAAGGCTGGCGAGGTTACCGTTGATCTTGACATTAACGCTATCACTGAGAACCGTGTCAGCTACAATGTCATTGCCGAGACTAAGGAGGGTGACCACAACAACGTTCTTGTTGTGGGAGGTCACTCCGACTCTGTGGCTGCCGGCCCTGGTATCAAGTAAGTGTCACGAGAACGTCCTGTGGTGGCATTGACTAACCATATCCCAGCGACGATGGTTCTGGTATCATTGGTGTGCTGAAGGTTGCTGAGGCCCTGGCCAAGTTCCGCGTTAAGAACGCTGTTCGCTTTGGTTTCTGGAGCGCTGAGGAGTTCGGTCTTCTTGGATCCTACCACTACATCAAGTCCATCAACGGTTCTGATACCGAGCTTAACAAGATCCGTGCTTACCTCAACTTTGATATGGTAGGTTCACTCTCACCTATTCGAGAAGACCCATACTAACTAGTATCAGATTGCCAGCCCCAACTACGTCTATGGTATCTACGACGGTGATGGCAACGCCTTCAACCTCACTGGCCCTGCTGGCTCTGACGTCATTGAGAAGGACTTTGAGAAGTTCTACAAGACCAACCGCCAGCCCTATGTTCCCTCTGAGTTCAGCGGTCGATCTGATTACGCCGCTTTCATCGAGAACGGCATTCCCTCCGGCGGTCTCTTCACCGGTGCCGAGCAGCTCAAGACCGAGAAGGAGGCCAAGCTATTCGGTGGCGAGGCCGGTGTTGCCTACGATGTCAACTACCACCAGGCTGGTGATGATATCGCCAACCTCAACCGGGAGGCCTATCTCCTCAACACCAAGAGCATTGCCAACTCTGTCGCCAAGTACGCCAAGAGCTTCAAGACTCTGCCCAAGGTCCACAAGGCTTCCCGAAGATGGGACGCCGACAAGGCTCAGATGCTCAAGAGGTCTAGCGAGCACACCCACTCCCACAGCGGTCCCTGCGGTGGTATCAGCCAGTAAGGCTGGGAAAAGTTATGAGAGCCATTTGGCTACGAAGAAGTGTATAAGACTTGGAGTTTGGGGGTTGCATAAGCAATGAGTATGATGTAGAGTAACATGAAAATCAATTCACGCATGATGTGGTTATGATATCATAACTTGGCTTTTCGTTTCAACCGCTCCTGTGATTCGAGAAGATGGCATAGTCGAAGCATAGCCTTTGATAATGATTTAAAGCCCAATTAACTTCCAATGCTGTGTTGCTAACCCGGGAGCTTAGACCATAAACCTCCCTTGCTTAACGATCCCCTTCAAGCTCCCTAAACGACCGTGATCAAGAGGGTGTCCAGAGGAAGGGAGATGACCAGATAAGATAAGACATGGGGTAATAACAAAGACAAAGCACATTAGAAAGAGTAGAAGTGGTGAGAATGGTGAGATCATCGAGACGAATCTCAGGAGAAGAGCAAGGAGGTCCCTCAAAAAAAACGTATAGGCTTGTAAGGCAGCCCGGCCCTCGATGAGTTAACTGAGCTCGAAGATCGTATAGGCTTGTAAATCAAGTTAGCATCGGGTCACGATGCTATGATGTGTTGGCAATGTGTTCTTTATTATAGTTGCAGCCCGGCCCTTGATGGGAACTGAGCCAGAAGATCGTTGTAAATCAAAAGTGTAAAAGTCGTAACAGGCCATCGAATCCATGGTCTCTCGTCCCTAGACAGCGGTACTGTTTCAAGCTCGCCGGCCATTAACCTATTTTCGTTTGAAAACCCGGGTTCGGCCCGTCAATGAGGCCCGGCTACTATTTCCTAGTCAGCGAGCAAAACCATTCTGGAAGGTTGTTAGGACACTTTGTTCTGAGTACGTACGCTCAGGGCCTGAATTCTATCCTCGCACTTCTCTCGTGCTACCTTTTTCTCTGAACATGTTTGGGACCCGATGGGAAGCAATGATAGCAGAATAACGCCGCAGGGCGGGGAAATAGGGATGAGATGTCAAACATCCCGGACAGCCACATCTGAGGCTGACCATTGAGCAGTGCAGACAACCATCGGCGTAATATTTCATCCGTTAAGGCAGGAATTGGGTATTGTCTTATCCATTATGCCCGGTGATCACCCGCCCGATCATGAGGTGACGAGCCTGGCCATACACGTTGGTTCCATCCACTTCTGGGGACAATTCCATTGGGATTTAGCACGAAGGCCGAGCTCGCCGCTATTGGTCTCGCCAGCAACATTCTCCAGTTCACCGAAGTCGGCATCAAACTCTTCTTGGCGGCCCGAGAAAAGTACCAGTCTGTTTCCGGTCGCGGTGAAGAAGATGAAGACATTGTTACAGACATGGGACGTCTTAGGACCCTAGCCAATACCATTCGGGAAGATTCAAAGCCTCATGTGAAGGAAACTGACGCTGAAATCTATAGGATTGCCTTGTCGTGCAGTCGTGAGGCATCTTCTCTCATTGAGACTCTGGATCGCCTTGGCGTGGGCAACGGCAAGCATCATGGCTGGGAGAGCTTTCGGAAAGCTCTAAAGCAACTATCGAAGAGTTCGGAAAGTGAGAAGAAAGAGAATAGGCTCAGAAAGCTACAGGGAGATATCACCCTGCATCTGGTAACCGCTTCAAAGTAAGTCAAAAGAATACAATCAAGATACCAAAGGCAAGCAGGTTAATTCATCCCAGGAAGGATCAATCGTCTATTCTCAGCATCGTGCACTAACTGAAGCTACATAACCAAATACTGGAAGCTAAGACAATGGCAGAGCTGAACAAGGTTCAGACCACTTTGGGAAATATTCAGAGAACTGAACAAAATGCAGTCTCCAGACTTGTCGCTCAGCTTGAGAAGTTGGCAACGGAAGTTCCCCACGTCAAGAGACAACAGACAATACTTCAGAGCCTCTACTTCGACAAGATCAAGGACCGTCAAACTGAAATCAAGGACCACCACAAGAACACGTTCGAATGGATTCTGGCGTCTGAGGACACACCATTTTCCCAGTGGCTTATGGATGACACCGACCTCTTTTGGATCAAGGGGAAGCCGGGTAGTGGCAAGTCAACACTGATGAAGTTCTTGGCCACACATGACAACACTAAGAAGAGACTCCAATCATGGGGCGGCAAAGACACAGTGGTCATCGCAGGCCATTTCTTCTGGATTGCTGGTACCCCAATGCAGAAAGATCTACTAGGCCTTTGGCGGACACTCCTGTGTCAAGTCCTGAAAGAGTGTCCCGCACTTATCGAAACGGTTTGCGCCTCCCGCTGGGCCGAAGTGGACGGGCCCTCAGTCTCTGAGCCGTGGCATAAGGATGACTTGTACAAGGCCATGGAGACTCTTTCCTCTCAAAGGTCCCTTGATGTCAAGTTTTGCTTCTTTGTGGACGGCTTGGACGAGTATACCGGAGGAGAGAAGGAACGCAGTGGCGGTTTTCAGCAGCTGATCAACCCGCTGAAAACGCTAGCTTCATCCCGATCGATCAAGATATGCGTCTCCAGCCGGCCATGGACTGAGTTCGATGAGTTACTCGGCCAAGAGGAGCAAGTCAGGCTTGAGGACTTAACCCGGGAAGACATCAGAAGATTTGTTGAGGATGACCTGGGTAGCAACCCTCGGTTTCAGAAACTCGCAAGCAAGTATAAACGATGTGAGAGCATACCTGGTCTCATTATCGAGAGGGCAGATGGGGTTTTCCTCTGGGTCTACCTTGTCATTCGCTCCCTTTCAAGGGGTCTAGTCCACGCAGACAACTACCCAGAGCTCCGAAAGAGACTTGACGATATCCCTAGCGACCTCGAAAAGTATTTCAAACAGATGCTGAAGTCCATCGATCCTTTCTACAAGGACCAGACCTTGAGAATTTTTCAAACTGTCGTCGCTGCCGAACAGTCGCTTCCTTTGTTGGGGTTCAAATTCCTTGACCAAGAGCTTGAAGACGCTGGTTATTCGGTCAAGATGAAGCCGCAGCAATGGTCTCTGGATGAAGTGAAGGAAACCTGTCAAAGTGTGAAGGAGCGCCTTGACGGCCGATGCCGAGACTTGCTCTACTTTCGGGAGAAGGTTGACCACATGGGCCTCGTCTTTCGATTTCGGGTCGACTTTCTGCACCGAACTGTTAGAGACTTTCTCCTCAACACAAACATACTGGATGACATGGTTAAGGAAGCAAAGGAGGAAGCAAAGAAAAAGGGAAAGCAACGCAACTTCGACCCTCGCCTGGCCCTCTGCAACATGATGCTGGCTCTCACAAAACTAAGAACGATCAATAATCAGGTACTTAAAGAGAGGGATCAGCTATTTGCTCTCACAGATAGTCTAATGTACTATGCTCGGCAAATCGAGGAATCCGTCATCAGACCCGAACAGACAGCCTCCGGATCACGGACTCAGCTTTCTCAAGTATTCGTCATCTTGGACGAATTGGACCGGTCAATCTCGAAAAGACAAAAGGGCGACGAAAAGCACTGGACAAACCAAAAAAGAGAACCAATGGAATCTTTTCTCAGGGATAGGGGATCTCTTCACGAGAATGGAGGGAAAACCTTCCTCGCGGCCGCCATTCAAGCTGGGCTTGAGTTGTATGTCAAAGACCGCCTCAATCAAGGCAAGTCTCAACTGCGCAAGGACGGGCGCCCTCTCCTCGACTATGCACTTCGCCTAATAATGGCTAGTCCGGTTCAATTATCCAACTCTGAGGAAGGCCCCATGCTGGGTATTCTGGAACATCTTCTGAAACTGAAAGCAAACCCCAACTACAGAATCAATATGTACGCCAGAAAGACACCCTGGGAACTATTCTTGTATGAATGCTATGGACATGCTAGCCGTGGTTCTTTATCGGAGAGTATCACTGATGATATTGCGAGGGCATTGGAGCTCATGATCGAGAATGGCGCAGATGTGACTTGCACTTTCGAAGTGGACGATGGGTATAGAGTTGTTGGTGTGGCCGAGGTTATCGACAAATTGAAGTTTCGGGAGGACCAGATTGAACGACTGGGGGATCTAATAAGTAGGAGGAAGGGAAGCGGCTCTTGGTTGTCACGGGTTTCTAAATGGGCTTTTCGCATGTAGATGATATGGGCCATGGTAGTTTCCAGTGTCGGGTCTAGTTCTAGTTTTTCAATGACATCGCTGTCAGCCACATGATCAAAAACACACTTAAAGACACACGGCAGCATCAAAACCCAATGCTGCAAAACACCGTAAACCTAAGTTAAGCTTCTATAGCCATAGAAACCTAGTAGCAGGAGCCTCGCAGTGCAAGATGCCACCTTTCCTTTTCCTCCAGTGTCGGGTCTTGGTGCTAGGATTTATGAATGACTGTGTTTTTCGTTACTATGGTCGATGGCCTTGTTTGAAAGCGCCGCGGATGACTGATGACAAGAGGGCGTCTAGGTCGCAATGCTAGACTCTGTTCATCTCACCCTAAGCTTTCTTTTGTGACCTCTATGGGATTATAGATTGAGTAGATAGTCCTTTGACTGGCTGTTCTGATTTGTTGGGAATGTAAAACTTCACCTGACCGCTAGTTACTATTAAGAAAGAGAGGAGCAAAGGCTTAGGTGCTAACCAGAATCCCTCTTAGCCAAGTATATACTCTCTTACCATACAAGAAGCCTCACTGTTCAAGGCCTCGGCCCTAATACCGGCCCGAACAAAGCACTGCCTAGTAGCGACAGGGATCAAGTGTCGCCTGTCGGTCACTTTCACTTCAGAGAATCGACAACAGTTGTACTGAGGAAGCAGGGAAAGGACAGGTACGCCATTCCTGGGTCTTGGCGGCCGATGTGGTTATTGAACATCACCATAGGCAAGATCATAGATGCCACAATAGCACACCGGCTGAGCTATGTGGCGGAGACACACAACCTGCTCCCCTGAGCCCACATGGGGGTAGGAAGACGAGACTCGCCGCGCACGCCTTCCATTGGAAAGACTATCCCTTCGTTAGAGCATCATCACCCTTCAAGACGCCTCCCGGAGATCCTCGGTATTCCCCAGAATACTATCCTCCAAAGAAGTCCATCCGGGACGTCCCAGCTCCCGCAGTAAGTGCTCGGCCCGGTCCCTAGGCTCAACAGTGAGACTATACCCGCCATCGGCGAAGTTCTTGTAGAACCTGCGTCCAGGGTTCTGCTTTCGCAAGATGGCCAGAATCTTATCCCAGTTAAGCGGCTCTGCCATGCCGAAAATGCGCTCGCCCTTAACATCGGGAAGGACGGCTGCGGCAATGTGTAAAAGGGCATCGTCTTGGACGTCGATGAAGTATGCTATGATGACCATGTTAGTTACGTCTTCATTTTGAGCGGACTTTCTGCAATCTGTGACATACTGGGATCGTCGATCCAGTCCGGGACTTTTTCTCCGGCCCACAAGGCAACAGGTACGCAAGAGGTTGATGCGTGTCCCTGGTGGACGAGGTCGAGGCTTTTCCCTAGGTTTAGATTGGGAAGGACTTCCTTTTGTTACCGAGTTGATCACACACATACCGCGTTACTGGGAGCTTACCTGTATTAACCACCATGTCCGGCCGCTTGTCCTTGTTCTCGTCGTAAAACTTCCAGATCGCCCTCTCCTGCTCGATTTTGCTGGCTGCATATACGGGCAAGCTGCGCTCTGGAGCGTAGGGTGGTGGTGCCCATGCCAGCTCAACAGCATCTTCACTCCAGGTGTCGTGGGTGATTACCAGGCCATCTTGCCGCTTCTCAGGGTTTACTGGCATTAACGTTGCAGTCGATGATGTCAACACAAAGCGCCTAACGCTAGGCTCCTTGTAGGCGGACTTGATTGCGTTAACCGCGCCGTCAATAGCAGTTGGGATAACCTGGTTAGGGTCTGGGCTGAGGTTGACGACAGTCGCAACATGGATAAGGGCTGAAACTCCTAGGAGGATGTCAAAAGAGGTAGTCTTGATGATTGAAGTACGGGGATCTTACCCTTAACACCCTCGTCCAAGGCTCCGTCGACCGTCATGTTGGGAACAGAGACTAGCTCGAAGCTGCCTTTTCCATATTTCTTTTCAAAAAGATTGCTGACCCAAGTGTTCTTCGCCGTGTCACGGACGGTGCCGCGGACCTTGAAGCCGAATTGGAGGAACTGGTCTGCGACATGGGAGCCGATGAAACCGTTGACACCTGTCACCATGACGGTGGACCCTTTGGGAATGACGAAGTTGTCTGACGGCACCATGGTGTTCGGCTAGCGATAGGTCTGGAAATACTGGTGGTGATGGTGCTGAATCTGTGATGAGTTGACCTGGCGAAGGGTGGAATGAAGGGATGAGATGTCTAACCTTGAAGACATGATATATGCCGTGGGATTTTCACTGTCTTAAATACGAGATCAACCCCTCGCTAGAGAGAGTAAACTCCCATGAATAGGAGAACGGAGTTTGGGCTTCTCAGGCGCTGACAATTGTCGCCAGGTCCACTATCTCGCACTCCGTGCGGAGGATTGAAGTCACTCTCCATGTGGCGATCAACTGACTTATCGGGCAACCTGTTTTGCGGGCTAAGAGACTTGCGGTGATTAGCAAGAGTTTAGCAAGCAAAAACGGAGCATCGGATTTGAATCAAGGGCCGAGCTGCGAGTCCATGGTCGCTCGAGTACTACCCAGCCCTTTCTGGAAGTCGCCCAGACTGCCGTTGTAAGTGTTGTACTTGAATAACACAAACTGTATCTGGGACACATGACCCTTGCGGTCTGGCTAGTCTGTGCGCCATACCAGCAGGAGTTGTGATTACCAAGTGGCGAGGGAACTCTTTCGAGCTACCGCTGACTACTTACCCGCGCGGGGGCATTCATATCATGCGACGACGAGTATCCCACTCTCGCTCCGGATATCTAATACTTACGCAACTCAATACGGTGTGTGCTTAGCAAGAACGGCAAGAACGATTCTGCCTTCCTGAAATGGCTATGGAAGTGGTTCAGATGCATGGCTTGGAGGATACAAAAGGTCCTGCTGCCTCGGGACTTCCTCAGTGTTGGACCACACATTCTACTCATCACATTCCCGCCCTTTCTAGCAATAAGTTATTCAGTCCTCGTTCCCACGCGATCAACGTACCCAAAGTCTAGCCGAAAGCTCAACAATGACCGGCAAGAAGATCATCACTGTGTTTGGAGCCACGGGCCAGCAGGGCGGCTCAGTGGTTGCCACCTTCTTGAACGATGCTAGGCTTTCAGGAGAGTGGTCAGTTCGTGCTGTGACACGAGATGTGAACAAGGACTCTGCCAAGAGGCTCGCAGCCCTCGGTGCCGAGGTCGTCCAGGTAGGTGAGTTCTTGCAAGTTGGAGAAGCATGGGACTGAATACTGTTGACTAGGCCGACCTTTCGGACAGGCACACACTGGACAAGGTCGTATCAGGCGCTGAGGCCGTCTTTGCCGTCACGAATTACTGGGAGGCGATGGACGCCGAACTTGAAGTCAGACAGGGGAAAGCCATTGTTGATGCCGCCAAGGCGGCTGGCATCAAGCTTTTCATTTGGAGCTCGCTCTACGATGTGAAGAAACGTAAGTCCAATGTCACAGGGAGTTTGCCTGGTAAAATGTCCCTCCCGAAGAGCTAACACGGGCGTACGCAGTAACGAATGGCAAGCTTCCGCATGTCTACCACTTCGACGGCAAGGCCGCCGTTGAGGAGTATATCCGTGCTCTAGGCATTCCAGCGGCCTTTTTCATGCCAGGCTTCTACATGTCCAACATGCCTGGTCAATGGCTGCGTGCTGATCCACCCGAAAACGTCTGGACTCTGGCGCTGCCGATGCCTGACAGAGCGCCCATCCCCGTCTTCGATATCACCGCCCTTGATGCTTATGGCAATCTTGTCGGCGTCCTCGGGGTACTTGTCAAAGTATGCCGCCAGGAGGGTCACGCTATTGTTCTCAGGGGTGCCGTAGAATTCGCCCCCATTCCAAAAGGTCATGTTGCCATCGATGGCAGCTCTCAAGGCCTCGAAAGCTTGGTCGTGGGCGATGGGGTCTTTTCGCCAGGTGAGGTTCATCAGGCCATAGCCTCGGGGGCCAACTTGGCGTCCGGCAAGCTCAGGCATGATGGGATGCGATGGAGAGAGAGAGAGAGAGAGGCGAGAGGCAAGTGAATGCTCCTGTAGGAATGGTTTCACTTGTGCGGAGCTCACGTCGTATGCAGAAATGTTGTGTGTTAAAGAGTAATGATCGAATTGGAAGCGTATCTAGTGCTTTCTGTCTGTTCATTTATACTGACATTCCGTCGCGGCTGAGTTTCACTGCAGAGAGCCAGCCAGGCTTTCCCATGACGAGTTGAGAGCGGCCGTGGCTAGCATAGATTGGTAATGCGGAGATATCGGTCTTTACGGACACTAGATGAGCAACCATAAAGTGCCCTGCAAGTAGACATTCCACGGCATCTATACCTACCATTACGAAGACCTTAGTCGAAACCCCAGGCGTGGTGTTGTAAGGCGTGGTGTTGTGGAGGCGGCCTACCCCTGTTGCCAAACACTAACTAGCCAATGCCGGAAGCGAGGAAGAGCTTGGATCTTTTTTAAACACAAGCTAAAGAGCACGGACCCTTGGGGAGACGCTCGGTGTCTTGGCATCCGCCGATGGCCTTACCGCGCGGCTGTCTTCCCATTGTACGGTCGGATTTAAGCTCAACGGACGAGCTGGATTCAACCTCTCCCATTGGTGATGAGAGGATGGGACAGTCGGCCTATCCCACCCGGGCATTACCAACTTAGTATGAACTCCACAGACATCCCAGCTTTCCTTTACGCGTATGATTCGAGGCAAATACGTACGCGTGCTATGTCAGCACATCCATCAGCTGCGAACAGATTCGCAAGGTAACATACTCCAATATACGGGATGCTTAAGAGTTCTACAATGATTGAAGCTGTGTAAATCGATTGGTAATATGGCAGAGGGCGTCAAATGGGTGGTGTAGATGTACATGTGCGGGTACCCCAGGACCTACTGCGGTGTCCTCTATGGTTGGAGATCCCGGAACATCTCCATCAAGGATGGCTAGGAAAGAAGAAACTCAAGAGACCGGAGCAATGGCTGCTGGGTTGATTACCAAACAAGATGGCATAATTCATCCTAATCATCGGCAAGAAGTGGGAAGGGTGTACAGAAACACCTACTCTATGGAAGGGTTCCGTTAATCCGCTTGAGTTAGACGATCACAATAAAGGAGGGACGAATCCCTACCTTGATTCATCCTAGCCACTCTCTGAACACCCAACCTTCTCCCATCTCGTTTCTCAACCATCAAACTACCTTCACACACCAGACTTACTCGCGGATTCGGGACAATGGCGGCCTCCAAGCCTAGAATTCTTGTTGTTCTTACATCAACCGACAAGGTGCCGACGAACGGAAAGCCCATCGGCTGGTATTTGGTGAGGAACCCCGCACGCTGGGGAATGGCGGTGCATTCTCAAGTAGTCACAACTAACAAGTGTTTTTTCATCTCAGTCCGAGCTCGCTCACCCTTTCCACGTCCTCCACGGCAAAGCAGACTTCACCTTCGCCTCCCCAATGGGCGGAGAGGCACCACTTGATCAAGTCTCGGTCGAAATGTCCATGGAAGATCCCGTCTGCAAGGACTTCCATGATAACCACTCGTCCACCTGGAGGGAGACACGGAGACTCTCCGAAGTGGCAGACCGTACCTCCGAATTCGACGCCGTCTTCTATCCGGGTGGCCACGGCCCCATGTTCGACCTCATCTCGAATCCCGACTCCCTTCGTATCCTCCGCGACCTTCACGCCGAGGACAAGGTCATCGCGGCCGTCTGCCACGGGCCCGCGGCTTTGGTCAACGCCAAGACTGCCGACGGCGAATATATAATTCAGGGGCGCGAGGTCACGGGATTCGATGACGTTGGTGAAGAGATGTTTGGTTTCGATGAGGACGTGGGCTTTTCGCTAGAGGGCTTGTTGAACGAGAGAAGCGGCGGCAAGTATTCCAAGGCTGATGACGGTCCACTTGGGAAGAAGGTGATCGTGGACGGCAAGCTTATCACAGGGCAGAACCCAGCTTCAGCTTATGATGTCGGTCTTGAGCTGGCCAAGGCATTAGGTGTTTAATTTTGGTTTCTTCCAACTTTACGCCATGACCCCGCGCTATCACCCTTGGGCTTCTTAGGGAATAGGGAGGCATTTGCCCACGTCTCCTTACCATATTTCTCTGTTTTGAGTAGCAGGAGGCATGTGCCGAGGAAATACCTAGCGACGCCGCAATGGACTGTACCTAGCCCCAGGAATTCTAATCAAGAGCTGTCACACACCAACGTGTCTGGACTCAAACTGGCGGCGTAGTCGCGCAATGTACCTTGGTAACATTAGCCTGCATGATGCTTTGTGTCCAAGACCATACTCCTTTCATCACGGGTCTGAACCTCATCAGCCCACAACCAGTTCCCGTGAGGAGTTGAACATGTTTGGCTTTGACCCGTTCAGGGGTTGAACTCATGTCTGAGCCCTCAGGACATGTTTCAAGTTACCTTTAGACCAAGCTCTTTCCCCATCCTTGGCTTCCAGTTGCGTGTCAGGACCCTTTGTGACGCTAGGGGGCTGTTAGCCCAATGTAATTGTGGTCCAGACCACAAAATCCACGGGAGGAGGTTCTCAGACAAATAAGCTTCGCACTAAGACCGGGACAGGCTCCGTAAAAGTAATCACGTTCGGTAGCGGCCATGCGTAGTCGGCCGACGCAGTCGAGACACCAGGCACGGGGAAAGGGAAAAAGCACTTCGAATTAAGCTATTCACAAGGTCTGTTGATGCCGGCAGCCTACTGCAATATGACCGTTCCGCCAGGAAACTATAAAGACTCTTATTCGTTGCTCATTGCTTCAAGTCTGCCCATCTGCCTCCGTCCCCACCACCTTTCATCTTTCCCCCTCACCACATGGTAGAGACTCAGCAACTTCATGGATCAACAGGATATCAGCCCCAAGAACGAAGCCGACAAGGAAGCCATCGGCGCCCATGATTCGAGGCAAAAAGCCGTAAGTGGAATTATACTCTAGATGATACATTAATACTTGACGTGTAACTCTCGTTGGGGAAAAGCCGTCCAGTCTTGTTGCCGTAAAAAGCACTCCCCTTTTGAAGACATAGAAAGGCTGACATCTTTCCTTCTTGTTTACAGTGTGATCAATGTCATGTACGCAAGGTGAGCCGATCTTTGTCTTGCTTTCTGCAAAAGGAGCAACAAATCCAGAAGACGAGAATCGTTAACCAATATCGAGCTGTCTGTGCAGATCCGATGCGATAAAGAAATACCTTGTTCAAACTGCCATGTCGCCGACCGATCATGCATTCGAGGGAGCTTTCTCCGAAAGCCTCGAAAACCTCGACAGAGAGTCGCTGTTTCGACGCAAAAGTAAGCTAGCTAGCTTTTTTATTTCACCGACATCACCCTCCAAGTATACGCCATGGCCACTTGGTCGTGGGCATTGGTGGATTAGGGCCTCTTTGCTAATCGTTAACGTCTACAGCGAGCTCAAGATCGACGAGATCGGACTCCGCCTGTCGAATATCGAAGGGATCCTCCGAGACGTTTCCCAGCGGTCCGCTTCATCTCACAGCAGCAGCAGCCCGCCGCAGTATACAACTCCCCAGCAGTACCTCGCCATTGGCGCGTCGGTCGTCGACGACCAAGATTCCGAAGACGAAGAGTCGGCATTCAGGCACGACTCTGCCATCGTTGACCAGGCTACCGGCACTGGCGAGGACCTTGAACACGCCATCAGTAGCATCACGATCGATAATGCAGATCCCGACCTTCACGATGCATTGCTTAATCTGAAGCTGCTCGTGGAACTACAGAATCGCCAGTCCATTCGCAGCAGACCTCGCTTTCCGCTACAGCAACGCTTGCCTGCGGGCGGGCTTGGACAACTGCCCCTGCCGCCTGTAAACGTTGTGGTTGGCCTACTCAAATATGCCCAAGGCATGTTGGAATAATGCTACATCTCGTCTATATACACATCTTTAGGCATCATCGCTAACACGAAAGCCTAGCTTCACCCCCGGGCCTTTTCACCATCATCACTTCCTACGTGGGCATTCGCGATTTTATGAAACTCTGCCAGACAGTCTACTTTCCTGCCCAAGATGTATCTCACACGACCTACACAATCGTTATCGCTGGTCTATACTACCTATTTCTGGAGCAGCACATCCTCGTCTCAGCCAAGGGCACCAAGGAAGAGTTCGCTTCATACGTGCAGATCTGCCGCATCAACCTCGAGACATCGCTCGCCAATGCGTTGGTTTTTGCGTCGCCCAGGATTGAGACTGTTCAGGCTCTCTTGCTAGGGGTAAGCTAACATGATGCTTCCCTGCCATCAAACTGGCCCTTGCCTACTGACCGATATAGACTCTGTATGCTGTTCACATGTCGAGGCCAACGGTCGCCTGGTTTCTAAACTCGGCAGCTGCCAACATTTGCCAGATAGCTGGCTTCCACCGCCACAAACAGTCGGCCTCCGAGACCCCGGCCGCGAAGCTCAAATCGGCAGTGTTCTGGCAGACGTACATAAACGACAGGGCGCTCGCACTACGGCTTCATCGCGCCCCTATGATCCAGGACTATGACATCAGCATCCCTCGAGCCTTTAGCTTTGAGGGACCAATGGGCCTTGAGATGTCCGGTGTGGCTCTGATGTGGTTGAAGATGGCAGCAGTACAAGGCCAGGTCTACGAGAAATTGTCCGTCCTAGCTAGCCTACAACAAGACAAGCTGTAGCTAATGGTGGCTAGCAGATACAGTCCGGCTGCCATTGCACTGCCACGGTCCCAATTGGCTGAGCGCGCTCGTGTACTGGGAGCGGAGTGCCGTCGGCTGGAGCTGGAGGCTGAACACCACCGAGCAGTAATGGCCAGGTCACTTGAGGGGACAGCGGCATCATCCCTAATACCAATGTACACCAAGGGAGACGAGGTTCAGCTCTTGTCAACCATGACACTCATCTACCGGGCGATCCCCCCGCCTTTAGGATCGAAGAGTAGGTTCTGCGACGAGTGTGTGAATGCAGCGAGAAGCGCCATGCAGAGCCATCTGAAGTGTATGGCAACCATCAACAGCGACATCTCAGCCAGGTCGATATACATTCATTGGTATGTCTAGCACCAATAGTATGAATACGTTATCCCCTATGGCTAACATTTTGTCTAGGAACTTGGCACTCACCCATTTTACCCCCATCTTCGTCCTTTTCGGCTACGTCATCGAGACTCTCTCGGTCGAAGACCTCCAGCTTCTCCACGCGGTCGGTGCGTCGCTGGAAGGCTGTGCCAAGTCTTCTGAGACGATCCAGAAGGTATGGCGACTGTGTGAGGTCTTGTGCAGAATAACAAGGCTCTACGTTGATATCAAGACGCGGAAGCAGGAGAATCAGTTCAAGGTCCTTGGGGACAGGTTCGATGCATACCTGGACCAGCTAGGATTGGTTTCGATGGACCGGGAGGGTGTAGCTGATCTGGGAGGAGTTGATCTTCCTGCGCTCGATGATTTCCAAACCGCGGATTTGGCCAGCTGGATATCGGGAAGCCAAGACCTCATGGGGCTGGCGGAACAAGATGTAATTAATTTAGAGGGCTATTCCTTCACAGGTACTGATGGTCCATGAGGATCAAATGAGCTGTTAATCTCGTTTTAAAAGAGCGGCGATGGTCAGTGTCTCATCTCTGTGTTCAGTCTGTCGATCTCGCAGACAACAGGCTCTTGCATGACGTTAATGGTGGTGTAGCGTTCACGTTGACCCTGAAGCTATTCATGATGGCTGTGAACTTGCGGCCCTTGCCCTTGACATGACCAACATAGCTCCCAAGGGTGCGCCACGACTTGCGAGGGATAAGGGTAGTCATTTCGCATCAACTCCGTTATCTTCAGCTTGAAGGAAGTTAATCACATATGGGGGCAGGATCAGCTATTGTTACGGAGAAACGGCCAGTGTAAGTTGCGATAAAAGGTCTCATCCTTTGTTCTTTAAACTTGTCTAGGTACTAGAAAACTCTTTCGCAAAATGGGAGCGTGTGCCATGATTTTCAGAGCCCCTGGCGTGTTTAAACGCCGCTCTGTGAGATCGTGTCCGCCACCTTCAAAGCCATCACGTAAGTAGATTGCTGTGGGAAAGCACCGGGGACTCGCGGGAAAACCGACATATCCACAATACGTAAGCCTTGTACACCATTGACGCGAAGCTCGGAGTCGACACAATGGTCAAGGGAATTGCCTGGACCCATTCGACAGGTACAGCCACCGTGATGGCCAAAGGCCTCATCCTTCAAATTCTGGGCGACATCAACTCCTTCGCCTGGCTGGACTCGGGAGAAAGGGGAGGGGGGAGTTGGGGAATCCTCCATTATGCTGTACAAGAGTTCAGCACCCTCTGTCAATATTTCCAGGTCGCGCTCCCCATGTCCACCCTGGAGCCAATCAACCACGATATCAGGCGTATCGCGTGGGTTCGCCGATCGTAGGGTGACAGTGCCCGAGGACTCATCACCAGGTGTCTGAGTCTTGATGATGGCAAAGGACAAGGCGGACGGGGCAGGCAAGGCTCTGGAGAAACCAGGGTACCAGCCGCGAACAATTGCACCAGTGAATCCATATATCCAAAGGTCGATTTCTTCGTCCTCGCTCTGACTGGAACGGTGTCTGATCGACAGGGGGGCGGCACCTTCGCCGTATGGGCCGGTCCCTGAGTTCTTCCATTCGACGAAGCAGGGGTCTGTAGAGTCGAATTGACCGGTGCAGTTCGTGTTAGGGTTATTCGACCAGGGTTCGGTGGCGTTAACGACGACGATCGCCTCGGTATGATCCTGGAGATATTTTCCCTATTGGGCCTGTTAGTACGAATTTCGGTGCTCCAACGTTCATCGATGAGGGTTGGATCACAAGGCCCTGGAAAAACAGGTGACCGTGAAGCAGCTGAATATTGAACGTACCACAGAAGGAGAGTCGACAATGACATCAATCCCGAAGCTTTCCAACTCCTCGCGTGGCCCGACACCACTCAGCTTGAGGAGCTGCGGTGTGTTGAACACACCTCCGGAAACAATCACCTCTCTCGAGGCCCTCACAGTTTTTACCTGGCCTGTTTGGGAGACATTGTATCGAGGATCGGCGCCATACAGAGCTTCTCCGACCAAATACTCAACCCCAACAGCCCTTGGTGCGCTGCCAGAGCGGTTAAATAGGATCTTGGAGGCGAGCGAATGGGTGCTGAGAGTCAGGGGATATCCGGCTTCAATCGTGTCCACGATGTAGTTCCGGGCTCCAGATCGTCGTCTGTCCTCCGTCTCAGCTACACTTAGTTGATACGCACCAGGCGTGTAGCTGTACAACGGGTCGTTCACATCTCTCTGCAAAAGCTCTGTCAAGTGGTCGATACCGGAGACGTTGACCCCTTCGGTATGCCGTATGGCGTTTGACATGAATGCGGCCAGATCAGGTCGACCCGTGATGTACGACACATTATTTCGGTTGGTCTTTAGTTATTCAGTTAGACTCTCAGAGGAAAAGCAGGGAGCTCTAGTGACTTCAATCATACCGAGATGAACCCATCAAAGCCAAGTCCTTCCTCACGGTAAGTGCGGTTCTCCAAGGCTTTGAAATAGGGTTTCATTGCCTCTGCACTCCAGGAATCGTCGCCGGTGTACTCGGCAATCAGGTCCCACTAACACGTCAGCTCTTGTATCTACGGTACGAGGTGCCGAGTAAATTGACTTGACTTACATCTTTGTCCGAAGCCGCGGCCCAGTTCAGTGCATTTATCTGTGTACTCCCACCCACCGTCGCTCCCCGAGGGTAGAGTGTACCAAGACTGAGAGCGCAGTGCCTCGTTAGCAATTTACAGCAGTTACGACTCGTGCTTAGCGCTGTTCAACATACGGTTCTGCACCGGCCGGTGGGTCGAGTCCATAGTACAATGTCCCGTCAGAGAGACGATAGGTGTACTTGGAGTCTCTCCGGCCCTGTGTCTGGTTTCGATAATTGTTGATGTAAAAGTGCCATGCCATCTCGCTATTCTCAATAGCGGTGCTTGCTCTGTTTAATGCGTATTCAATTTCAGTCAGCTACGCAAGTCCAGTCTGGGGGAGAAGAAGAGAAAGTGTTGAAGATGCCAAACTCACCGGCTCGGAATCTCTTGAATCAAGTCGTCTCCGTGGTCGCCTCCTGCTTCGATGAGAAACACAGAATGCCCCTTTCGGGCAAGAGTCGCTCTGCATCCCTCGCTAGTTAGTTAATTGAGTTACTAGCCAACATTGTGAGGTCCACGTTGTGTGAAGTTTACTTACGCAACAGTCCCACCGCCGGCCCCTGACCCGACTACAATGTACTCGTAGTCGGATGAATTCCCGCGAGATGGAATTGCAGCTGCCAATTGGCAAAAGGTGGCCAACGCGGCCATTGAGGATGAAATTCTCATAATGTACAGTGGATGCCGTTCTTTATCGTTGTTGTATGTGTTCTAGATGTGTGTGTAAACTGGTAGCTAAACTAAGGGTCAAACTCACTGGTGGCGGTCCGTTAACGTTTTCAACTCTTTAGAGAGCTCGAGGCCTCCCCAGATCAATAGAATTGTTGATTTATCAGCGACGGATTAGGAAAACAATTAAATCTGCTGTTCCCTAGATGAACTTCCTTACTAGGCAAACAATACAGACTTAGATGACGTCTCGTCCGTCGCTGATCAATCAGGATAATCTGTTGGTATGTGGGAGATTCAGAGGTTATGCATTCACATCGGAAGCTGGTGGGATACAGTTCATTTTGTCGCCTCATTACTCCCGGGGTACCGCTACTTTGTCCACAATCACGAGCAAGCTTTACAAGAGTGTGGATGTGAAGGGGTGGCCACGTAGGTCCTCCGGCCGATCCGTCTACTGTCGCGATGTTGACAAACTACAAGCCTTTAGTTATTAGGGCTGGTCTCTTGACATGAGTGACGTCCCTGGCTCTTCTATTTGGTACTCAAAGTCGGACTTTAATGGTAATGGCATCGGCCCTGGTCCTAATGGCACCAATACTCCCAAATGCATCCAGCATGGTCCATCCCAAGACTTGAGAGTCCACTGTTCGCAGTTGGAGACCAAGGAGCACTGTCTAGAGAGAGAGTAGAATGATGGCAACGAGGAAGCAGGCGATGTGCTGGCCCAATTCTACACCCAGGAAGTGGTGAAAAAGGTCCAGCACATCATGAACTATAACGACTATCGCATAGAGCTCGAAGGTGGTTCCCAAGGAGCTCTACGCAGCGAGTGATTCATAACATGGCCATTTAGATGCCAACCTAAAATGTTAACCTGGTCCAGTCAAAGTTGTTCCGAGAGGGGACAGAACAAGTCAACAGGGTGACGCCTCGCCTTTGTCTGTGACTTCCTGGCATAAGGGGCAAAGAATCGCTGCTCCGCTCCGAAGCGTTCTTAGTTGTCGCACTAAAGAAGATAGCTTCCCTGGTAAAAGGAGGAGGAGGGGAAAAGGGAGATGCATATGGAGGACCATTTACTGTTTTGGGTAGTGATTCTCACAGAATGGGATGACCGAATACCGAACTTTGGGACCAATCTTCTCCTTCCATGTCCTCTAGTTCACTCCTCACGGACAGTGGATCCTTGGATATCCCTGGTTACTTTCACATGGGAATGCTCGGGTCCATAGTACCAAGGCTTTGATCCATGTCCCGCCACCTAGGCCAGGGCCCTCGGTACAACACGGGGATCATGGGGTTTGTTTGGAAGGCGGAGCACGGCGGCGTCGTCGAGTACCCTGGCCGGTTTAGGAGTGTGGCCAGTGGGGTGGGCAGCTAATTACTCCGCACATCGACTCACTCGAGTCATGCATGACGATCAATTCGCTGTCCCATGACACACTACACTCAACACCGGGTCTCTTTGCAGGACAGAATCAAGCTAGGATCAATGTGGGAAAGACTGGAACGTTTCGGCCTGATTTAGAGGGCGTGGCTGTGCAGTCATTGATAGCCTTTGCGAGAGTAGACCTGTGGTTCCATGGTGTGCGTTCAAAGTCACACCGCACCGTCTTGTAGGGACGAGACAGTCGTTATCATCGGCTCAATTGCGTTGGCACCTTGAGCGCATCCGTAGTCGACAACTGCCAGGGATTTATTCCCCGGATAGCTCGGACGTAGATGCCATGCTTGAATCCAGCAGTCTTTATTGTAGGTGGTCAGGTCTCGCACTACAATACGCGTATAGCTCAAGGTGTTCAGAAACCCCGGACTTAAGTTGATCGCTTAGCTCCGACAGGCGCCGTAGAAAGAAACGGAGTTGCGCGCGACAAGGCCCGAAGTGAGCGGTAAGACAGTTGATTGGTCGAGTTTCCGAAGGCAGAATAAGGTTAAACCAACGTTATGAGATGGGGCTTTCTACTGATTGGTTGCGGAACTGCCGGGGTCCGAAATCAAACCATCCCCAACTGTAATTCAGCACCAGAGGCAAAAAGAAAGAGAGGGAGGGGGGAACATGTTGAGACAAAGTCGCGGATGGTTGGTCAGCTGGTCTATTGATTCCGTTGCTTTCTTGTTTTCAGGTTTGTCTGGTCATGAGGGAAATATATGGGGTGACGACCTACTACGGATTGAGTGAGCTCGACATCGATTTCAACTTCAAGACATTGATTCACCATGAAGGTAGCTATCGTTGGCGCATCGGGCGAGACAGGAGGCTCTATCGTTAAAGCCCTCTTGGAGTCATCCACACCCAAGTTTGTAAGGATTCACCAAACCAATCACTGTGAATAGTTCCTCAGTCGCTAGAGAGCACTAAACATGACCTAGGACATCACCGCTCTAACACGACCGGCATCTCTTACCAAGCCTGAGAACCTCGAACTTGAGAAGCGTGGAGTCAAGTTGGTGGCATGCAAGCTTGATGGCCCAGAGGATGCCTTGGTGAAGTCGCTGTCTGGACAGGATGTGGTCATCTCGGCACTCGAGCCGGCCGCATTCGGAGCCCAGATCCCTCTCGCCAATGCTGCTAAAGTCGCCGGAGTCAAACGCTTCGTCCCCTGTGCCTTCGCGACTATCGCTCCCCCAGGGGTGATGAAGCTTCGAGATGATGTGTGTCCCCCGTCTTTGCCCAATCTTCTAGAATGGAGTACTGACATCCTGATACAGAAAGAGGACATCTTTAATCACGTCAAGAAGCTGTACCTTCCCTACACCATTATTGACGTGGGCTGGTGGTTTCAATTGGCAGTTCCGCGTCTTTCATCTGGCAAGACGGACTACGCTATCGTCGTGCCCGAAAATACGGCTGCCGGGGACGGCAACGTCCCTTCAGCGTTTACTGATATCAGGGACATCGGCCCATATGTGGCTCGTATTATCAGCGACCCAAGAACGTTAAACAAGATGGTCTTTGCTTACGACGAGGTCGCAACCACAAACCAGATCTATGAGTTGCTGGAGAAGTTGAGTGGAGAGAAGATTGACAGAACTTACGTACGTCACCATTCTCCCCTGGGTCAGGACATGGCTAACCAAATTCATTCGTCCCAGTTATCTGCTGACGACATCGAGACTGGCCTGGCACAGATCGAAGGATCCGACGATCCCACGGCCCTCAACAAGCTCTGGATACTGCAATACCTCCGCTCTTGTGGAATCCGTGGCGACAATAATCCCGAATATGCCCGATACCTAGGATATGTTGATGCCAAGGAGCTGTACCCAGACTTCAAGGGAAACACGTTGGAAAAGTACTTTCAAGAGGTTTTGGTCGGCAAGGCAAAGGGTGTATATAAGAAGAGAAAGGCATAGGTTCTGTCATGCCAAGCGACTACTGGCAGTGGCTGAGCTTTTTATCGCGCCTTATGGTAGCTTTAAGTAGACCAGTGATTAAATGATTTAAGGCTCATTGCATGTCCTTAAGTAGACGTTTCATGGAAGTTTTGCCAATATCATCGAAAGTAAAGTCTTAAGATATAGAGAAAGCAAATGCAGTGCACAAATAGGTACAACAAGTAACCTGACGAGAATAGCAAGTATGAGACTAGTAAAAGTCCCAGGTTTTAATCCGGATTAGAATCCCTGTTTTCCAGCCAGAGAAGGAGAGTCCTCGTACTCATAGCAGAGAACGCCCTCGCCATCACGATTAATAGTGTCCATGACTGCCTTGACCGGTACGTCGTCATTCATGAAGCCCATCCAGAGAGGGGTATCGAGGGTAGTGAGCTCAACTTTGTCACCACTGGGACCGAATCCATCGAGCGTCCTGGCGCCGCCCACATCAGCGAGACGCGACTTGTCCGCCTTTTGCCATAGTGACCACAAGTAGTCGAGTTGGGCATGGTGCACCCAGAAGATGGGGTCGTTTGGAGATGAGTACAGGTCCATTAACTGTCCTTATGTGTCAGTGACTTTTTCCCTTCCAATCGAGGTTTCCAGGCAACGGGTTGGGACCTACATCTCCACCAATGACCGAGTGGCCCAGCGTATGGGGGCTGACAAATGCTCCCGTCTCTACCTTATCCTCCTCTGTAATAAAGTCGAGACTGTCGATGAAGGCCTGAAGCTGGACGAAGCTCCTTCTACTCATCGTCGGTGGATAAATATCCTCCCAGCCAGAGCTTGTGTTGAAAAGATCCTCAGTGATCGCTCTGGTCAAGCAACGCGGGTTTTTGGCCAGAGATTCCAACGGCCCAATGTTCAAAAAGGTGTCGCCGGTGAAGGGACCGTCTTCGACACAGTTGTTCGTTGCCGATCCATCGCCGCCGAAAGATTTCAAGACAGGGGATTTGAACAGTGATCCATTGGACGCAGGGTTGTCGAGGGTCCAGTCCCAGTATGGCTGTGTACCGGTGTAATTGCACTCCGTACGCAAGACAGACTCGAAGGTCCAGATGGCATAACGGTGCCATGGAAGGAAGACCCCAACGCCGTGGACACCGTAGATTGTAATTTGAGGCTGAGTTCCGTTGTCTAGAAGACCCATAGGTTAGCTTTGAGGGCATAGAGAGGCTCTGGCAGGCGTAGGGGCGATACTCACTTGGAGGTTGGTCGATAAGTGACGGTGCATCCTGACCTCCTGCCGTGGCTCGTCAGCCAAACATCAAGCAACGCAAACATTTTAAAGACATACCTCGAGTGGCGTTGATATGCAAGGCCACAAAGTCATCATAGCGACTCTGGAGGGTATCGAAGACGCTTGTACCCTTGGAAGGGGCATTCTTCAGACATTGTACAGCGTCGATGTAGGCCGCTTGCTCAGAGGAGCTCAGCGTGCGCCAAGAAGGGCGTAAGTATGCTTTCGAGTTTTCTGCAGAGTCTTGGGATGCTTACCATTCTTTTCTAACGCGCAGCTGGGAGCATTTTGCGGCCGGTTGTTCGTTAGCGGGGGACGGGCAGGCCAGTACGGCCACTGCATAAGCGGCCAGCAGAGCGAGGTTTTGGATGGGAAGAAGCATGATCAAAGGACTTGCGAAAGGAAAAGAGCTACACAATTAGGTGATCTGGGAAAGTTCCCGAAGCAAAGGGTTGGATTTGGCGCCAAAAAAGGAATATGCAGGAGTCTTGTAGAGGGAAACCTGAAGCTCTTATACCAGCTACCTCGTGATATCTTGACGTCCATGCAAATTCGAATTCATACTGCGATGGGGCTGTTCCATTGCTTGGGTTTGACTCTCGTATTCCCAGCATTAGCACGATCAGATCCAGTCTGGTGAAACCGTAGGTGGAAACAGCGTTACCCCTCTGTCTCATTGGCATGATGTTTGATTGAGGCGCAGTGAGGCGGAGTTGGGGGTCAAAAGCTGGTGCCTAGACCACCCGGATATTAGGTGGTTCATGCACTGATAATTAAGACGACTCAGGGGGTTTCAAACCCTCCCAGCCTGTGGATAGAACTGTTTGGTTTTCAAAGCCTAGATGCCTTTCTGAAGAGAACTTAGAAGGGTCTGAAAGCAGGGGGGGCCGAGACCCCGTAAGTCATCTTCGGTGGTCAGGGTTAGTAAGGACAACAGCCTCTGTGACCTTCCAGCTGGCGGTATACGATGCGATCATTTCGCCTGCACTACTGGTGGAGCAATCCCTCTCGTTATCGACTCATGGGAGTCTGCCTGGGGACCACAAGGTGCAGCCATATATGCCAACGTGCCGTGCCTCGGCGATCGTCCAGGCACCGCCAGTGAAGGATCTAACTAAGCACGTCGCGCAGTTAGGACTGACCAGCTCCATTAGATTACAACTTGAGTGCTTCTTGTCGCTGTCTCTCTCCATTTACCACAAACAAGGAGCATGGGACCCGCAAGTAAGGCTTCCTTGGGCTGCCGGTCTTGAGTGCTCGGGTCCTTCTACCTCATCTCCTGCTATAGCAGTCACCCCCATAATCCACGAGGGCACGCTCGATTCATTTGGAGTGGAAATGCCTTCTAGCCTGATGCCCTCTTGTCGTGGCGCGGGAGCATGGTATAGCAGCTCTGAATCGTGTTGACGCTTCATCTGTGTGCCTATTGCACGCACATGTTCTCTTTGTCCTCCTGTAAATCGGCCAAACACGCCGCGTGTTTTCTTTGGCAGTCATTACGGCCCACCCTATCTTGACTTTGAATGCCTGTGGCATCTTGTGAGTTGATCCCGAGTTTCTCGGAGATGTGAACCCGGTCCGCACAACTCGTGCCGGGACTCCTGCATCTAGTCGGATGAACACACGGAGGTCTTCACAGCGAAGAATCAGACTACGCGAATCAGGAGGTAAGATGATCTGTTGATAGGGCGAGAGCTGTATAAACCACCAAACGATCACAAGCGCCTTATTGTTAGTATCTCAAAGCAGGAATCTTAACAGTGAAGATGCATTGTAACACATATTTAATGAATGTGCTAGATCCTAACCTAAGTACAAGCCCAGCATTAGAGGGCATCTATCAATCCGACATCCAAAGCCAACTCACTCTACAAGCCTCCTTATTACAGCCTTGATATCCTCATCAGAGAATCTAGGGATACCGAGTAACTCATTATCATCCTTCTCCCATCTTGTCTCGTACTTGGGATTATTATCCGCAACGTGGATAAAGTCCAACAGGCTTTCCATCTCCATGTCGCCTGCTTCGACCTTCTCCATGGACTGCGCAAACATCTCCTCCGTGTCGCGATGCTTGACTGTCCAGTCGTCCTCGCCCACCACTTCCTGTGCCAAGGCAAGGAATTTTTTCTGGTTCGCATATGCGTTGGCTATATATATCGGTCGGTTGGCCGTCTCTTCTGGATGCATGAGAACACGCACAACGGCCTTGCCTAGCCATTCGCGCGTTGTATAGGCAATCTCGTTGAAGCCGTCGTCGTACAATGTCATAACTCGCTCGTCCAGCAGGATGCCCGTGAACCCCGTTTCGAAACCCCAGTCAAGAAGGCCGCCGTTGTGTATATCCGTGTACGTCATGACACCTCCGGAAGCGGCGCACTTTTCTCGCAGGTGCTTCAATCCTTCCGTAGCAGCCTTGAAAACGGGCAGCTCGCCAATCTCTGGCTTGTTGTTGTTAAGCCCAAATTCGGAGGGGAGGTAGCGGTAGACGCCAGCCGCGGCAGCTGCATCGACGAGATTGATCTGGGGAATGGGCTCGACTATGTTGGTGGTGTTGATAAGTGCATCTTGGCCTCTGAGGGCTTCCGTGAGTTCGGTCACGGACGAGTAATCGACGTGCTTGACAGCAACCTCCGCTGGAAAGATGCGCTTTGAGCCTTTGCGAGTCAGGATAGTCACTTGGAAAAGGTTCGAGGCGATGAGAGCGTCAAGGATTGGCCCGCCGGTAGTGCTGGCGGCCTATGATAGTCAAGTTAGCGACGGAGAAGTTAGCTCGAGTTGAGGATCGACTAACTCCTGCAATGGCAACGTTCTTAATCGTAGAGGGCATTATGAGATTTGGTTGTTGTCTGTGAGTAAAAGCTGGGGAAGGAGGGATAGCTTGGATGAGGTGAGGCGGGCAGAAAAAGGTGATGGAGAGCGGGTGTGTGTGGGAGGGACTGGACAGACTGTTCACGGCTGGAAGAACCTTGAATTTAAGCTTCTGGCCTCTGTGACTCAAATCCAGAAACAGCTAGACTATGAATGTGCGGTGGTATTACTAGTCAGCAAGATCGTTCTCGTCAGCAGCCCAATTTGCCTCGCTCCAATGTCAAAGGGCATCACGCGCCTACAGACATTGAGGTCCGGCGAGCTTCCAGCACCGTCAGCTTTCTCAATGGACATTACCACTCACAGTTCCATCGGAACTGTTAGTCAGAAACTGATATCTAATTTCAGTAGTGTCAATAACTCCGGCATCTTCGGCGTTAAGCTTAGCACGCCGCCACGCGCGGAGACCTAGCAGTTCTAGACGTCCATGTTTTCGACACTACTCCGTATGTTGCTGACAAAAGGCCCCAAAACGCCTGGTGATCATGCAAAAGTCAACAGACCCTACATTATTCATGCGTCATTTCTACCAAGTAAATAGGTAATCACGCGCGCGGCATAATTAAGCTTTTCGGCGTTTACGGTCGATCGTTCATCATTCCTTGGCCTAAAGGTGGGATACCGATATTAGTGGCACACAACATGCTCAACAGCAGGAAGATGCGGATAGGTAATTGCTCTAGGCAAGAACCAAGAACCGAAGCATTCAACCATTCATTGTAGACAATGTAAGTGATTGACTGGCGGGATCCTCGGCATGCACGACTTTTAGGTACATTGCCTAGCTATTCTCGGTGGGCAATGACCTAAATCCATAACCAGTGCCGCTTATTACTAAACCAGGTTCAGAAGATGAGGTCTCCCTGGTTGAGAGCCGGGACTACCGGCTGCCAAACAACCAGGTGAGCAGGGCTACGGGGAGAATCCAGCACGACTCCAAGTAGGGCATTATAAGACGGGCGACATGCCCACGTTTTTGTTATTATCATAAGACTGCAGACGAAAAGTCAGTAGAGAAAGCAGCATTTCTCACAGCTCCTTTACAGCTTCACACCTTCACGACACGATGTTATTCGAAGTGATACCGCTAGCACTGGCCGTGTTGGCCCACGGTGTTCTCGGAACCCCCCAGAGTCGCCCGGCTCCCCTCACCAACGATACAATCGCCAGAGGTATTACTGCCCTGGGTGGGCTAAAAAATCTCTCTTCGATTCAGACGGTCACTTACATTGGGGGACGGTGAGCATTGCGGATCAGACGAGGACATGCGAAAAGGAGCTCACTATCACTAGAACTTACCGGACAAGATCGCTACCTGAAACATACTCTCTGACTGGCGTTGATACTTTCGTCGCGAATGCTGGTAGCCAGAACATCTCCTTTTCCTTTGAAGGGGATAACCTCAAGCAGCGAATTGACAGATCTCACGAGCTGAGTGGTACGTGGCTACCCATATACGTGAATGACCGTGATCATGCTGACCCCATGGCAAGCTTTTTACTATTTTGCTAGGCCTCGTCTGGATCCTATTGAGTATTCTCTTGTCGTTCAAGGAGGCGAAAAGGGATTCGCTGCGACTGTTGATGGGAGTAGTGTGCTCTTTGCTCCTACAGCACCCCCTTCAGGTTACGCCGATGGTTGGTGATGCTCCAGCTGTCGTCTCTTGTCCGAGACTACTAACCAACCTCCATTTAGGGCTCCTAGCTTCATTTCTCATCAATGAAGCGTATAGGTGGTCACCCATTCTGCTCTTTACTGTACGCAATCACTTTACTCTACCTTTACAGAAATAGTGAAAGAACCCTAACCTCTGCCAGATCTTCTCAAACAATAACTACTCAGTGCGAGAAGAGGAGATTGTGAGCGGTCAGAAACTCCCAGCCGGTAATGCTACTCCATTCCTCTCTCTTATCGCTATCTAGCAAAAGAGCAATCTCCGCTAACGCTTTTGACCTTGACAGTGTACGACGCAACTCTCGACCTCGCCGTCATCCTCAATCCCAAAACATACCTTCCTTACATCATCCGCTCTTACGAGAACCACAAGATCTTTGGCCGATCAACACACGACCTACTACTTCAAGACTACACCTTAGTCGACGGCATTATGCTCCCACACCGCTTCAAGATATACTACAATGGCGACCTACTGCTCACAGACTACGTCGCTGACGAAGTGCTTGTCAACACAAACTTGGAACCGACCTTGTTCAATGTTCCAGGGAGCCCTGCAGAAGCCAATATTCCAATCCGTGACAGTTCCTACGACTTTGCCGAGATTGGTGGGTTCTACCAGAGTTACCTGTGGAATGGGCCCTACGGCGGCACTTTGTCCAACGTTTCAGCCAGCAACCCGTACCCAGATTTTCCAGGCGTGTGGATTGTGGTAGTTGAGGATGCACCGCTTTACAGGCAGATGGTTTTGGAGCTGGATGATGAGGTTATTGTGCTTGATGCCCCTCCGCATCAGAGTCACCTCATTATGCAGTGGGCGCTCAAGACACTGGGAAAGGCAGTGACACATGTCTGGGTATGTTTTGTTCCAATGAGTCTTGAAGTTAGAGGTAGCATCCCAATAGGCTTGGACACTGACTGGCCTCATACAGCCTTCCCACCACCATCATGATCATTCGATGGGCACTGCAGACTACGTAGCTGCCGGAGCACAAGTCATAGCTCTTGCGCAAGCACAAGAGCACTACTCTAACGTTTCAGCGAGTCATTTCGTTACCTACACGTAAGACTACCCTTGAGCGTCGAGAGATGAGCGGCGAAACTAATGTTGAATCGTAAAGAACCAATGCGCCCTTTGTTTTAAGGAGTGCAAAAGTTGAGCTCACCATTGTCCATATGGAAGGATCGATTCATTCCTCCGACCATAGCTACGCATTCATTAGACCAGCATGCCCAAGTAGCAACAGCACTACCCTCGTCTTCGACGCCGACCATGGAAATCTCGCAACCCTTGCAACTGGTGATCATGCAGGCGCCTTCGAGCTGGTCCACAGACTCGCAAGTGATCGGGTAGCATTCAACACCACGTAAGAGTCGCCTACCATGAGATCTATGGCATATCAAACTAACAGATACATAGCATCATCGGTGCACATGACGTCCCAGCCCCCCTTGCAGGATTTGCTGAAGCTATCGGATACCGCTATCCTGGCTATTCGCCCGCAGACTTCAGGTTTGGCCAAGGCCAATGCTGGTGAGACTACTATTCAAGGGTATGTCCGTTACTTTCTAGCAATTGCATATGTATATATTATTACTAGATAAGTTATACAACCACGTACTTGTAGTTCTTCCAATTATACCACCATCTATGTATTGTTCCAATTGCTCAGCCGCGATTCCTCAGTTCCCATACTGACCGACCTGGGCATCTTGTCTCTGTTAGGCAATTTCTTGCGGGCGGGACACCAAGAGCGGGGTTGGGTTCGCCGCAGAAGCCAGCGACTAATGACATGTACGGCGCCCTTCCAGGGAAATGTTGCACCCTCCCGGCCCGGTCCGTCCTGATATCGAGAGTGATGGGCAATGACAACAAGTGCGGGGTTATCAGGATGTTTATCAGTCAATCTGCGATCTGCCAAGAACCCTCAAGATTTAAAGCCAGCTCTGTGACTCTCGACTCCCATTAAATCTTGCTCCTGTAATCTTGTTCTTCGAAGGATCGACTGTGTCATCAATTTTACTCTAGAGCCCACTCCTGCACGCTAGACACCATGACTTGGGAAACGATAGCCAAGGACAAGAAGCGTCGGATTGACGAGTCCATTCCAACGGAATGGCGCGTCAAGGTACCCGCGTACGATGGCTCGATGCTGAATTTTCCTAAAGACAGCGGCATCATGACCTTGGAGGAACTCGTCATCACCGAGTCTTCCGCTGCTGAGCTAGTCAGCAAGATGGCTACTGGAGAGCTGACCTCTGTCGCCGTCACGACTGCGTTTTGCAAGAGAGCCGCTCTTGCTCAACAATTGGTTCGTCCAAGATCATACCGGGCATTCAAACGTGGTTCTGAAAGCCTTTAGGTCAACTGCGCGCACGAGTTCTTTCCGGAGATGGCCCTCAAGAGAGCCAGCGAGCTGGATGAGTACTTTGCCAAAAACAAGAAGACCGTAGGGCCTCTCCACGGATTGCCCATCTCACTAAAGGATCAGCTCAGAATCAAGGTATTTCTTCCGTCTCAAATTGCCTCACCACATGGTCAATAATAGTAGGGCCTTGAAACCACCATGGGCTACACAGCTTGGGTGGGCAAGTATGACGAGGAAGATTCGGTTCTGACAAGCCTTCTCCGTAAAGCCGGAGCCGTGTTTTACATCAAGACCAGTGTTCCCCAGAGTCTTATGGTATGCGAGACCATTAACAACATCATCGGTCGAACCTTGAACCCCCGAAACAAGAACTGGTCTTGTGGAGGCAGCTCTGGAGGAGAGGGCGCTTTGGTTGGGTTCCGTGGCAGTCTCATCGGCGTTGGCACTGATATCGGTATACAAAACCCTTTTGCTTTGACATTGTTACAATACTCTTACTGACAATATAAATAAGGTGGCTCCATCCGAGTCCCATCTGCCTTCAATTTTCTCTACGGCCTGAGACCCAGTCACGGGCGTCTGCCGTATGCTAAAATGGCCAACAGCATGGAAGGACAAGAAACCGTGCATTCTGTATGCGGCCCTCTTACACACTCAGTAGAGGACATGCGACTCTTTGTTACTTCGGTACTGGCGGAGCAACCCTGGGAGTTTGACTCCAAGGTCATCCCAATGCCATGGCGACAGGCCGAAGAAGACTCCATCAAGACCAAGATTTCGTCCAAGAGCTTGACTTTAGGCTTCTACAACTGTGATGGAGTGGTAGGTTCAGCTTTCTCGATGGACGACACATTCAGCTAATCAGTTAGGTCCTCCCTCACCCTCCCATCCTTCGCGGCGTGCAGACAGTTGTCGACAAACTGAAGGAAGAAGGCCACACGGTTGTTCCCTGGGAACCATACAAGCACTCATATGCTGTTGATCTCGTCAACAAGATCTACGCCTCGGATGGTGGAACAGTAGGGTCCCCTCAGTCTACAACCACACTTGTCTAACTGGGCCTCTAGGATGTGTTTGAGACACTCAAGGCTTCTGGCGAGCCCGACATCCCCAACTTTGCCGATTTGATCAACCCGTCTCTGCCCAAGCTGGACATGAACGAGCTCTGGAGCGCAAACCTCAAGAAGTGGGATTACCAGCGCGAATACCTCGCCGCTATTCGAGCCCTGGAAGAGAAGCTTGGCAAGCAGCTGGACGCCATCATAGCGCCCATCACGCCCACCGCAACCATCCGACACGACCGGTTCAAGTACTACGGGTACGCGAGTGTGATTAACCTCCTCGATTTCACGAGCGTTGTTGTGCCAGTTACTTTTGCCGACAAAGCGGTCGACGTCAAGAATGAGTCTTTCAGTCCTCTAACGGAAATTGACAGCACGGTTCAGGCAGAGTGTGAGTTTCCCTCTGGAAGGTCGAGGGCACGGCTAATTTTGACCTGAACAGACGACCCGGAGGCCTATCATGGCGCACCTGTTGCCGTGCAAATTATTGGACGAAGACTGACGGAGGAGCGCATCATGGCGATAGCTGAGGAGATTGGTAAATTGCTGGGGAATGAAACTTCGTAGGAATGGACTCTCATCAAAGATGTTTCCATCATGTACTTGGGTGGATTCTGTTGGAAGGAGGGAACCCAGAGTGGGCACGTGACAAGGAAGTTAGCAGTGGTGGTTTCGGCGATGGAGGTGAGCGGGGACATCTTCATTTCTAGCACTCACATCCTCCATCAAATGAACCAAACTTGATCAATCATTATTAAAATCTATGCCTCCAGTTATTTACACATAGTGTATCGCATCCGCAGCTGCCATGCAAGCGCCTCCCCGCAAGTCCAGACATGGTTGTCTCCGATGCAAGGCAAAAAAGGTAAGAAGCCCCGGACACAGGTAGGGATCGTCATCTGACTCGATGTTTACCAGATCAAATGTGATGAAAAGAAACCAGACTTCTCACGCTGTCAAGAAAAAGACTTGCCATGTCCTGGATATGCGCTCAACGTTCGTTGGTCAGAGAAGCATCAATTCCAACATCGTCAACCACGCCCGCGCTCTCAGAGGGTAGAAATTCCATCAGGATCCATCCCGGACGGTACAGAAACCTCCAGGCCCAGTCAGAGCACAGATCCTGTTCTTACTACCATTTCAAATGAAGCCTCCCATCACCAGTTCAGACTTCTTCGACCATGATGATAAATAGGTACCAAGCAAGATCACCCTTTTCCACCCCTCCAGCAGTGGACCTCGGTAGAAGATATTGTCTCTCTTCAACAACCCACATCACCTTCACTTGGCCTCGATATCGCATCAATAAGTGATCTCTTGCCCTCTAATATTGATGATGGCGTATTTGATCTCTTGCCAGAGGACACCAACATCAGCAATCAAGACCTCCTCGATCCATGTTTCGACCTTGATATTGGAGACTTGGTCAACTAGCCACTCAGCTCCGCGGTGCAGAGTTCCCAAACCGCTGGGTAAAACTACCCATACATCTGGTTAGCTCTCGCCACCTCGTCTACCTAAGTTGCTACATCTACCTTCAGCACTCACAGACTACTTCTTTAAAGAAGTGATCAAGCTCTACTGCACTTGGGACAACAGCTTCAACTCACTACGAATCATAATCGGCAGGATGTGGCAATCTTCCGGGGCGCTTTATCATATTATGCAGAGCATGGCAGCCATCTGCCTATCAGAGAGCTTTCCTCATCTCACCTCTACAGCATTCAGAGAACGCTCCTGTGCTTTGGAACATCTGAAATAAAACTCAATATCTCTTTCATGCAAGGAGGAGCACGCTCCGGCTACCTTCTTATTCGGCTACAGCTCAAGCTGGTTTGACCCACACGACCTGGCAACTGACAAGTTCCAAGAGGCCGGTGTAATTATCTCATCATGGTCCTTGCCGGATAGTGAATTCAGTTGGTCATTCTTGGAGGAGGCATTGGATTTTTGGAAGATGCTTCTTGCCTTTACCACAAAGACAGCCGATGGAAAAAGCTCGACCCAGCAGACATGTGCCAGTCCTTCTCGACTGACTAATCGCACCTTTCCTCACGCTTGGAATGGAATCTCTCACGAGATAGTCCAACTTATGGCCGATGTAGGGCGCTTGGTTTTCAATGTGCGGACAAGCTTGCCAAACGTCCTCTTCACTAATGAGCATCATATTGACTTCTTTCGAGACACCTTGGAGGAGGCTGGCCATCTCGAGCAACAGCTCCTTGCTTTCGTTGCGGCAGATGCTTCGTACATTGTGGACCCTGGCGACCCCAACACCCCACCGACGCATTTCCAGCACATGGATGAAGCTTTCCAATACACAAGCCTTCCACAATTATACCGCATCTTCCCGGAGTTGCTCACGCGGCGTTACAGGCCCTGGAACCAAGACGAGATCCTACTACCTCTAGAAGCTTCAAAAATCCTCACCAGGCACGAAAGAAGCGCATGGTTGACCTCCTTAGCCACCCATGTCGTCCAGATTCTGCAAGCGATTCTTTTCGAGTCTTTAACGAGATGCATCCAGCCCTTCGTCATGGTTGCAGTGTCAGGGGATCTACTGGGTAGACTTAGCTTCACAGAAGAAACTTAGCCCTCTAATGGCGTGAATGCACGCATTTTTTCGGTATCTCTTTGCAAGTACACATGCATACCTCCCTGTTCAATCTTCCGGTCGACTCGGCTCCGAATTTGCCGGATTAGGCAAGAAAATGCGAACTCGGCCGAGAGGAATTCCGGCCGGCTCCCAAACCTTTATTGCGTCTAATGGGGTGAAATTTCATGTTTCCAAACGAAATAAAAAGAAATTTAAGGCGTTTTGCTCAGGTCGCAAAGTGCCAAGAAAGACCAAGATGGAGTGACAGGAGCGCAACTTTTCGGCCTGCACAGTCTAGGGTATCCCGGAGCCCCGGCTCAACATCAGCTCAGCCCCGGGTGGCTAAAGAACCTACTGGCTCAAACTCGGGATGGGCATTCTCAGGAGTATGAATCTCCTCAATGGTAAATATGCCAAAGTGATTGATCAAGGCTTCGAATCAATATGTCGTGTATTATTGCGGCGAGGCTGCCCTACGTGTTCCGATTTACACTACGAGACGTCCAGACAGGTGGAGTCTCTCCATGCTTTGGATGACCCCTGTCCTGCAGATGCCAATTCTCATAGGGCTGTGATGGCTTTGTCGGCAGCCCAACCGCAAGAGCCGTCTTCCCGCTGGAGCCTATTGCCAATCATGATACTCTAAACAAGATTTAAATCGTTTGACCGTTACCGAAGTTCCTTCTGTTAAGCGATGTCACCAAATCCTTCATGGTGGAGTCGTCTTGGCAGGCGTTCTTAATTCCCCATTGGCCAGCTCGGACTCTAATTATGCTTGTCGCCCTCGCACTTTAAACTGGCAAATTATCCATCATGATTGGCTCGGTAGCTCAACTGGGCCCCGAGGTCCGTCTCCGTCCAATATATACCCCCCGCTCTCAGCCATGTCTCACAGGTTCGTTCGGACTCAACCGACACCACTTCAACGCCATGGCGCGAAAAGGCAGCCGCAAGGTCCGCACTGGATGCTTGACCTGCAAGTAAGTGACCGCTATGCGTTCCATAACTGGAGGAGGCAGCTATTAACACTGATCCCTTCTAGAATACGCAAGGTCAAGTGTGACGAGGCCAAGCCATTTTGCCAGCGGTGTGAAAAGACTGGCCGAAAGTGTGATGGGTACTTGCCTCCATGGACCCTTAATATGGACAACTCTCGACCGAAGCCTGACAGGTACATACTACCGTGGACCCCTGATCCGGCCAATTCTCGATCTCTCTACCAATACGGCGGAACCGAGACCGAAGCAAGGGCCCTGCAATTTTTCTGCGAAGTTGCAGGGCCATCACTTTCTGGCCCTATTGAACCCTCATTCTGGACAAAGGTTGTCATGCAGATCTGCTGTTCTCAACCAGCCGTCAAACACTCCGTCGTCGCAATCAGCTCCTTTTACGAGGAGGTAGAAGCTGAGGTCCAGTCTGGGAAGAAACCACAACACACCGTCGCGCTGAAGCACTACAACACGGCAATACAAGAGCTGAAAAAGATGGATAACCAACCGCTGGTACTATTGGTATGTCTTCTCTTCGTCTGCATGGAACTCCTCCAATCGAACCAGGGATTGGCTGTCCAACACTGCAACCACGGCCTTGCCATATTAAAGCAGTGCATATCTGAAACTTGGGTGACGGAACACCTGGCACCCATGTTCCGACGACTATGCGCAGTCCCACTGTTCTTCGGTGGAGACTTTGCCAACTTCCCAGACCTGAATGTTCTGGAATATCCAATACCGAGAGAAGCAGAGTTTTCTAGTTTTTCAGACGCTCAAGGTATGATTGACGATATTTTCAACCGAACGGTACGGCTCGTTCGATGGGGCGAGGAGTACTGTGTCGGTGAGCTGAGGCATAAGGAAGTAAATCCTCGCCTCCTCGAAGAACAAAAAAGAACCGAGGCACTTCTGGCTCAATGGCAGACACTGTTTGACAAATGGGAAAGCAAGGTGAAACCATCAGCCGTGACGGACATTCAGAGAAGCTTCCTCGTCATGCGTCACCAGACTTGCCAGATCTGGGCTCGAATGGCCTTTTGCCCCGAGGAGTCGGGTTACGACAAACACGTGGACAACTTTAAACGAATAGTCGAAGAGTCTGCACGCATCGAAACGAATCACAAACGGTCGTTGGCGTTTTGTTTCGAGATGGCCTTTACGCCGATGCTCTTCTCAATTGTGATGAAGTGTCGGGATTTGACCACGCGCTTAGAAGCTCTGCGGCTGATCAAGGTGCATGGAGTACCGCGGGAGAGCCTTTGGGAGAGCCAAATAATGCATGCTATCGGACGACGGTTAATCGAAATCGAGCATGGTGCGATACTGGATGACCAGGGACAACTATCACCAATGCCAGTTGCATGTCCTGGCATGCCACCAGAAGAACGAAGGATCCACCGACTCATATCGGAGCCTTCAGAAAGTGCTCAAGCTGGGGTGTATGGTGGAAAGATACGCAGGACAAGGGTCAAGTTCTTTATGCGGACGCTTGAAGGCAAGGTCTTTCATCATTCGGAGCTCCTTGCGACGGATGAAGCACCAGCATCTTTTAGCGCCACTAGCTCGAAGAGTCCTGAATCGCGAGCCTGAGACGACACCTTATTTGCAAGCCTCAAGCTGTCTTCTGAACCTCAGGGTAATCTAATTCCACTAACCTGGCCTTCTGGCTGTAATACCTTGAACTTGATAGTATCCCGGTCGGAGGATATCCTTGAATGAAATTTGTGCAAGGAAAATTGGCGCCTTGACATTAGTTAATGGGCTCTTCTGGGTTTGTCCAAAGGGGTTCCCCCTGAACGGGCCGCGCTCCGACCTCAACACCAACTCAGCTTAGAGCAGCAGGAGCTCGGTTTCAGAAAAGGGAATCCCGGATTTCGCCTGAAAAACTAATTTCCCCCCCAGCTGTGTAACATAAGACGAGGCAAAGCCCTCATATGGAGTGATGTAGGACAAGATGAGCCTGGCTGAAGCGACGGTTGTCTTACACTGGCTGGGCTTTTTCTCGGCTCTTACTGTAGCTTATGGTAGCACCTCGTAATGCAGAATTTCACGATCCTATTCTCATATTTCTTTTGCTTCCACTCAGCCACGATCCGAGGCTCTGCTGTCTGATGAATAAGATAGCTCCGCGCGATCTCGTACAACCAGCTTCTATTATAAAATGCCTTCGTCTAAGGGCCTAGCGTCATTGTATTGACCTAAACAGCTTAAAACTTTCGCCCTTCAACTTTCAAACGCTCTCCATTGCCAACCGTAGCGAGACACCCACTAAGTTGAAATGGCCAGCGATCACTGTAGTCCCAAACCAGCGGCAGCATGCCATCCAACGCCACAGCTTGATGATGCAGGGTATGGATCATCAGACTCCAATTACCAGAGAGAGAATCATGTCCACGTCGAGTATCAACGATGGGAGACTTTGTCAGCAGAAGGCTGGGGCTTAGAGTTTCTCTCGAGCTTGGTCAGTCTGATCTCGCTGGGAGGCATCATGTCCATCTTCTACTACATGAAAGAAATGCCAATCTCACTCAACGTCATCATCTCTATCCTTACGACTATCAGCAGCGCAGCGATAATGCATGGCGTTAGTACCTCGATTGGCCGGCTCAACAAGCCGTTAGCCTTGAGGCACGCGACGTTGTATTTCCGGATGACGGTGTGACTTTTGGATTCGCAAATGCTTATGGTCGGAACAAGACTTATGTCGATGGCAAGTTGTCGCGGTCCCTTCATATGAGACGAACGCTGCTGACATGTCTAGGCTCTGCCGCCGGACCCTGATATGCAATCTGCCATAAGTTGAGTCGGGGGGATGTGAACCCCCCTGGTTTCTTGAACCCCCCGATCAGTGTATTAATTCGGTTGGCTGTTGAATTTGGATATTCTATTCTTCTGATCGAATCCAATCGGTGCGCCTTACCCTGGTCCAAAGACCGGGGGTCAAGAAACAAGGGGGCTCACAACCCCCCGACCCAACTTACTCAGGGGTCTCTGCAAGTTCAATAGTCAGCCCGAGCTCACCTGTGACGGGTCTTGTCGCTGGAATAGATTGTGCATCTCGTTTGGCTTTAAGAGCGAATGTACAAACGCCACGGCCGAGACATTGAAACACCAAATCTGCGACAGTGTTGGGTATAGTTTGTGCTGCTCGACCACCAGGGGTAGGTGTTGAAATTTGGTCCATACCTGTCTCTATTTACTGATTAAGGCACATCCTCGCAACGACATCAGATGCAAAAAGGTATAGGTGGGCGTTGATTAATTGCTCATCCGTAGAACATAGGGGGTGATTATCTAGCCTCTCATCCAAAACTCCATTATCGCGATATTATGCCACATTCCTTGCCTCGACGCGTTCGGGGTATGTCTCATTCGATACGCTGGAGCCAACCTCGCTTCGCTTCGCATCTTCATAAACAACATTGACATTGGTGGTCCGCAAGATACCATCATATGTCATAATCTCCTCCTCAGATCCGGTCGGGGATACGCCGCGAATCTCAGTATGTGCGTGCTTCCGCGACGGGTGCAGATCGTTAAGCATGAAGCCCCCCGAATGGCCCTCGCGGTTCGTCCGTTTCGTGTTGGCGTTGGAGAATGCCATCCAGCTGCTGCCGTAAGGTTTCTCGCTCGACTTCTCCGAGCTGTTGCCAAAGAGCTTAGGGTACCAACGACTAAAGAGCGGTCGGAGGGCGGGCATGGAGCAGGATACAATAGCAAGATTAACCTCGACGGCTGTCCAAACGTAGGCGATGTTGTGGTGTCGGGCCTTTTCGTTGTGGTATAGTAGCCTGTAGATGTTGACGAGTCGGATGATGGCGACGATTGGGACACTGCGTCAACATGGTGATTAGTATCAAGTCAGAGGTGATTTCTATCCACTTACAAAGCGCCAATGGCAAAGATGCCCAGTACCGCCACCTTTACTCCGCGCTTCATTCGAAGGCCCAAGAAGATCCAGAACGGCAACGCCAGAACCATTACGTCCATCAGAATTGTCAATGATGACTGAATGATGTGGAAGCTGTTGTCGATGCATCTGGTATCGGGGTCTTTTCTCAGCTCGGGGTGCCAGTTTGTCTCTATCGGTACACACTGGAACAGGGCAGCGAAAAAGATGGCAACCGCGTGGAGGATCGTGGCAATAATCAGCCCCCAGATGACCCTGAAGATGGTCTTGTCGTGTCCTTGCAGACGTAGGAGGAAGACCAGGATCGAGCATTTGACGAGCGCGAGGACGGGATTATAGCATAGTTGCTCGACGAAATTCCACCAAAGACCTGCGCTGGGGTTGAAATCTGGGACCTTGTCGTCCTCCCAGCCGTAGTAATTGAGCTTGAAAACTAATTGCGCATACGTTGTTAGCAGATGGGTATATAGTATGGATGGACGAGGACATACACATGAACAAAGTAGACGACACCAAGATCGCGGCGACCTAGGCCAAATGAATTAGCACAATGAAAACTCATTGATAGCACTCGTGTAGCCTCTTACCAGTGCTAGACCGCAAAGCCAATCATCTTGAGTAGAAAGTCAGCATGAAGAACGTTCGAATAGTTGACAGAAACAATCCTCGTCTCTCCTGATAAGATCGAAGACGTACCTAAGCCAAAAGTACGCATCGTGATGCGAGTGTAAGCCCGGAGGGCGTAAGTCACCGTCGACAAGGCAGGGAAGAAAAAGATGATGAACAGTCCCGTCCGTTGCAGCGGCGGTGTAGGAATTTTGGCAACATCGGGGTACGGACCGGGTCCAAGGCCCCTCTGCTCAAGAGCCGAGCCATCCATCCATCCAGATCGCATTTGCGCACACAAAGATAGAGTCGTCAGAGGTCGTTCGATTTCCGAGTTGTTCCCTTCAGTAGTATCAGGTGAGACGATCGTAGGATGGAAGATCCATCGTGGGGAAGGGGTTCGAGCGATCTTAACAAAGAAAAATATCAGATTGTGTGCACGAGATGTCCAGCTGCATGCCCCTTACAGATGTCAAACCCACTTTACTAAGTTACGTTACTGTCTAAACGAGGCAAACCCTGCAGAGAACCGTTCGCAGGTTGCGGGACTGTAGGATTCACTCTCGACGAGGGTTGCGACACTTGGGTTCCTAGGGGAAGGGATCAGCGCAATCCTCAGCTGTCATCTGCATTTGACGATGGCGCGAGAGCCTACAGTTTGCTGATCAGTAAGTTTGGACCGCTCATGGGCCCGAAGCCGATCAAGATGGCCTTGCCGAAGCACGACTTCGATCTTGTGTCTTAATGTCTTCCCTGATTAACTCGTCGATTAGGTCGAACCGCCAGCTTAGATCGCTCTCTAATGCCGATTGACTCACCTCTAGCCTCATGCCAACGATTTTAGAGACCCGTCAGGGAGGTCAACCACCCAGACCCTTAGTGTGCTTACAGTATCTGGCTGCCTCCCTTCTCTGACATCGCCTATGGTTACTCCGTGCCTTTTCCAGTTGGCATACTTCGCATGAGTGGACTTAGTGCAATCCGTCTTGTTTCCAACCCATGCTAGTCTTCGCCCTAGTCACGGTAGAACCAGTTCCCCGACGAACGGAAAGATCTTCAGCAGATCGTCCAAATTTGGGAATTTGACGTCCAGGGGTTCATAGGGATTATTCCCGTTGGTCAAGGCTCTCGTCAAGGCGAACAGGTCTCCAGTTAGCGAGCCCAATGACTATACACGTATCCCTCAGCCGCTTACTTGGTGGAGATAACCTTGGTTCCCCGAGTGCTACGCCCGACAGGGAAATACACGACGCGGGCAAACCATACCCTGGAAACCCGGAGCCACGGGCTGGGAACTTGGGATGACAGAAACCTGGGAGGGAAATGTAACATTGCTAATGCCGGTTTGCGGCATTATTTGTCTGCGCGAGGCCATGTCGCGCCTAGATTTACTCCGTACTATGTAGACAAAGGAGCGGTCGGGGCCTCCCTTGATAATGACATCCGCCACATCCAGTCGTCGATTTGTCATTGACAACTGAGGCGTCTGACCTTGTACCGTGGCTCAGACACTGCGAAACTCCTCTTCGCATTTAGTTCATCCTCGCAAGAGGATACCTTTTGTGTTTGGGGAGTTGAATAGGTGTACTTGATAGCTGCGGCGAAACTCGTAGGATGACACTGCACACCACGACGCGAACTACGGAGTACAGCTCCAACTCCAAGACCCTGCGTAGACGGAAATTGAAGGATGCATCGATAGCTGAAGGAATGCGCTAAAGGGGGCCTCGCCCGAGCCCAGAAGTGAGCCCTGTCAATTCTTCAGCGTCGTACTCCGCTGATCGGCAATAAAATATACAGATATGGGAGAGGCAGAAGAGATGCTCCATTCGTCGGCACTTTGGCCAAGACTTTGACTTTCCCTGTCGGCATAATTACCCGACTTAAATCGCTGCTTTCGTGGCATCGGTAAACTCGCCTAGACGAACAACCTGGAATCCTGGACGGCAATTTCGAACTCCTCGCGTGGCCCACAGGGTTCTCCCGGGAATAGGATCCTACCCTTCCGCCGGTGTCGGGTCGTCGAATGAGAGGTTGCGTATAAGTAGTTTTATCTGCAACGTCGATTCATTTTTCGGGATAGCATCGTTGTTCTGCAGAAGATCAGCGTCTCTCAAAATGTTTATCCAGCGGTCCAGTTGGTTGGCTCTGGCCCTCCTCCTGTCCTCTTCCAACGCCCAAACCATTGTCGTCGATGGCAAGACTGTCGGTACGTCACATTGCTTCTTCTAGAACATTCTTGTTGGAGAATTAGCTTTGCTATGCGAGAGTTTATTTTGCTAATCAAATTATCCCATGGCCAGCCGCCGATCAGTCCAATGTCGCTCCAGCAGCTGATGTTCCTGCGGGTGATTCCCACACGGGCTTTGAAAGCATCCAGTTGACTGAGGATGTACTCGCCAATCTCACGGACCTCAAGTTGAGCAATGTCTCGCTGTTCTACTTTGACGACGACTCCACCTCAGAGAAGCGAGCCGTCGGTAGTTCTCAGAAGTGCAGGGCGTTGCCTGGCGATGCCCTCTATCCCAGCAGCATCGTCTGGAAGGTCTTGGACATTCTCAGCGGTGGCGCGTTGATCAAGACGGTGCCCCTGGGTTCTGCCTGCTACGATGGCGAGCATTATGACGAGACCAAGTGTCAATTCCTCATTGACAACTGGAACAAATCCGACACACAGTGAGTTTCATTCCCGTATTCCCTCAGTAGCTTCATACTCTGCTGACACTTTGCAACAGCGTCGTGGATCCCTCCTCGGTCATGTCCCCTCTCTTCGAGGGTGCCACATGTGAACCCCAAGGCGCTGCTCTCGGCAAGAACTGCACGCTCGGAGGATTTCCATCGTACTCACTCAACATCACCAACGTGGCCCAAATTCAGTTGGCTATTAACTTTGCTCGCAACGCAAACCTACGTCTCGTTGTCCGCAACACTGGTCATGACTTTCTTGGCAAGAACACCGGAGAGGGCGCTTTGTCACTCTGGACGCATCATCTTAATGACATTGAAGTTATTAAGAACTACAAGTCCGCTGGAGGCCGCTACACTGGGCCGGCGTTCAAGCTCGGGGCCGGCGTCGTGGTACATGAGCTTTACGAGGCTGCTGAGCGCGAAGGCTATACCGCTGTTGGTGGCGAGTGTCGTGTAAGTTGTGAAGGCTGTTTTCTTAGAATCAAGACTGACTTGTGACTTCCCAGACTGTTGGCGTGGCTGGTGGCTATGCCGTAGGAGGAGGTCACTCTCCTGTGTCGCCTATTCACGGCCTCGGTTCCGACCAGATCCTTAGCGTCGACATCGTCACTCCCGACGGCCGCTTCATCACTGCGGATGAGACTCAGAATAAAGATCTTTTCTGGGCTCTTCGTGGTGGCGGCCCTGCTACTTGGGGTGTTGTCACTTCGATGACGGTCAAGGTCCACGAGAAGACAGTCTTTTCCGGCATGACGTGGGATACCACCACTCTGGCCATGAACATTACGGACGACACCTTCTGGAAGGCCATCGAAGCCTACTGGCGACGCTACCCTGAGTTCTCCGCTGCCAAGGCCTACGGTTACTGCCGAATGTCTGGACTCCCCGGAGGTGGCTATGCCTGGCGAGGCTTGCCATTCATGGTCCCAGGAATGAAGCTCACTGATTTCAAGAAGCTTGTACAGCCTCTGATTGACGAGTGGACTGCCCTGGGTGTTGATCCCCAGCTCAAGTTCTTCGAGCATGACAGCTTGTACCCGGCTTGGACTAGTCACTTCCCAGTCTCCAGAGTCGGTAGCCCTTATGCCCGAACTGGATCGCGCCTCTTGCCTCGAAAGAACTGGGAAGACGAGGAGCTCTTGAACAAGACTATCCAGACGGTTCGCTCCATCGTTGAGGATGGCGCTTTCCTGGTTCACTACAACATCAATGCGGATGAGCCTGACAACACGGCCGCAAGCTCCGTCAACCCGGCCTGGCGTGACGTTATGATGTTCAACATCATCGGTCTCACCTGGACCGAAGAAACGTCCGAGTCCGACATTGCTGCCATTCACAAGAAGCTCACCGGCGATCTCGTCCAGCGCCTCAAGGACGTCAGCCCCGGCGCCGGCGGCTACCTCAACGAGGGCGACGTCATGGACCCCGAGTTCGCTCAGTCCTTCTTTGGATCTAACTACGAGCGTCTGTTGAAGATTAAGAAACAGGTTGACCCCAAGGATCTATTCTGGGCGCCTACTGCTGTGGGTAGCGAGGGCTGGTACATTACCGGCCAGGAAAGCTATGTGACGAAGCAGACTGGCCGTCTCTGCCGTAAGAACTAAGCAGCGGTTACTTTCTATGCACGGCCAGTTTTTAGACTTTAAAAGAATAACATTGTAAATACATAGGGATAGAGGCAGATTGTCTTATCCACCAACATGCGACGTGTATATTATGACACAGTAAAACTCCTTCGTCTTTACGCTCCTCCGGCATATCCTTGCGCCGCAACTATTCTATTCACTCAAGCCGAATCTGCTTCGTTGGAGGGCTCGTCGGGCTCGTCTACAACCCACAACCCCTGAAGTGCACCAACAGCAGCAACGGCAGCCAGAAACCACCAACCTAGGGCTCCAGACCCGACACGGTCACCAAGACCGATAAAGATACCCATGGCAGCCGGTCCAAGAGCCCGGGCCCCAGCCGCAGCCGTCTGGCCAATGCCGTTAACTATCCCGAGCGTGTTGCGAGACGGGGAGGCCATACTGAGCAGCACGGAGTTTTCATTGAAGGAAAACACAGCTGCCACAGCCTTGGCTAGCAGGATTGTGGATGCACCAGTGATCGGGATCCAGGCTGGAGATGCTGGAAGAACAGAAAGATAAGGCAGGAGGAGATAGGTAATGGGGTATATCATGACGCTGCCCTGAAGGCATAGTAGGCTCCCCAGCCAGCGGTCGACCACCGGGAACACAGTGATCATCAGGCAAACAAAGACAATTCCAGCTGCGGAAATTAAGCTGGCAGCCAAGCTTGACTCGAACCCAAGACCTCCATCGAGGTAGAACGGTGGGTGACTAGCTGCGCGCGATGTAACCATGAACACGGGGAAGATCTGGTCAAAGCAGATGGTGTGAAGGGCCATCAAGGCATACGACAACACAACATGGATGACTTTAGAGCTTATTGCGTCTCTAAAGCTAGGGCTGCGCGGTGGTTCATGTGCTGAAAGGAGAGCCGTGGACTCGTCGTCCTCCCCACCCATAATCTTGCGATCATCGGGCTTCTCCAAGGACTGCGGCAATGATTAATTATCGTCTGAGCGGTAGTATTCGTGATATCCAGTAAAAATACCTCTTCTACAAGAAAGAAGGCGACGGCAAAGCTTAGAGCAGCCATGGCAGACAGCGCGAGATTCGGTAGGGCAAACGGGTAGGTATACAACAACGAATTCGCGTCGCACATTTCGGGGAATTGACGACATGGCTGAGCCAGATAGCCGCCGACCAAAGGACCCAAGACTGACCCTACCTGATAGACAGTCTGGTTCCAAACAAAAGCGCGAGCTACAATCTCGTCAGATTCCGAATACTGGTCCATGGTAATCTTCCATACCTTTATTTTCCCTTCCGTGTACAATCTCGCCAATGACAGTCCGCACAATGACAATGTTCCCACTCAGAGAGCCTGCCATCACACGGAAGACAAACATGGCCGGGATGCTGCGGCTGAGTCCGAGGCCCAACATGCTCACACATGTCGAAGCCAGACCGATCAGGACCACAGGCCGTCGGCCGATGCTATCGCTCACGCGACCCCATAGCAAGTTTGTTGCAAATTGAGCAAAGGAATAGGCTGAGAAGATCAGCGTGAGTATCTGGGCGACTTCGTTATCGTTCGCGGTCGGCTTCATGTCCTTGACCATGGAGAAGGCATAAGGTATGATGGAGTTCATCGACAGGGGCTCTACGAGCCAGCAGGCAACTATGGCAAGAAAAGAAATCGAGTTAGTCTGGCAATCTTTTATGGTGAAGAATAGAAGGGGGTTCATGTTTACGAAGAATGCCCAGCTGGGTCCGGGGAAAGTCGGGCTTCGCACGCAATCCGATCGCCATGGTTGCCTCGCGCGTGCTCAAGGTCTCTGGGCTTTCCGGTCCTCGTATCAATCTGCTGAGCTCTGTGCAGTTGCCAAAGAAGCTCGCTGGTTTCTACCGCCATAGATAAGGCACGCGCCATCATGGATGCTGCGGAAGCTCGCGGCTTTATCACTGGTGTCTAGGGTGTCGCGATGCCTGTGGATAGTCTCTGGGAAACGGCAAAGAAAAGCGATAGGCCAAAAGTGTCCCTTCTCTAGAGGGTTAGACCAGCACAAGGTGATTAACCCTGGGGCGTTGTAGTTATCTCCGGGGTCTTGAGAGGGGTACAGTGGGTCTCAAAAAGTAACGACACATTTTCCCGTACCCCGCTTTCACTTCTACCTCCACCAAAATCATCACCAACTTCAATCATTCATCACGCAATCAATTTACGTCCAAATGGCCCCAAAAAGACATCATTCTCCTCATACGCGAACGAGGATTATTTGGAAATATAATTCGGGCGTGTCGGCCGCCCGGATCGCGCGGGAAGAAGGCATCTCTCGACATACAATTTACGGTGTGGTACGAAGATATCGCGACCAAGAGAGTGCCGCGGACCAACCTAAGTGCGGTCAGCCGCGCATCATTAGAGAGAGGGAAAGAAGGAGAATTTTGAGGGTTATTGCCCAAGATCCTCATCTTCAGATACGTGAATTAATTGAGGAAGCCGGGTTAAGCTGCTGCAGGGCAACTTTAATCTTATACCTACGGAAGGAAGGAATTATATATTATAAGTCTCTTCTTCGACCTTTCCTTAGTAAAGCCAACGCCAGAAAGCATCTACGCTTTGCACGGCGGTATATTCATATGGCTGAGGACTTTTGGGAGAAATAGACCTTCTCTGATGAGGTTATCATCGCTCGAGGAGAGGGCCAGAGGCATACATAGGTTTTCTATAAACCGGTATATATTCTTTTCATAACTACGACTTTTCTAATTATTTCTAGCACGAGAGACTCTTCAGAAAGAATATTCAGACACGCATACAACCGACAAGGCACTCACAGATGTTCTTTAGTGCTTTTAATCATCGCAGGCGCCTCCCGATGGTCCCCCTAGCCGGCGATCCAGAAAGCCCTCGCGGCGGAGTAACTGCGCAGATTATCCTCGCATGCTTATAGCGATACCTTCCCCGGATTGTGATAAGGAATAGTTACTTCCAACATGACAACGCCAGCACATTTATAGCCCACATCGTACGAGACTGGATCTATGAGTGGTGTAAGAGTCGAAGGGCCGAGGTGGTAGACTGGCCGCCTTGCAGCCCGGATCTCAACCCCATAGAAAACCTATGGGCGATCCTTAAAGAGAGGATTTGCAAGCGATATCCAGAGCTCACATATATGCCCAAGACCGACGAAGCAAAGCAGGCTCTTATTGCAGCTGCGATCGAGCTGTGGGAAGAGATTGAGCCAGAAGTCATCGATAACCTAGTCTACTCAATGAAGCGAAGAATGCAGGCTGTTGTGCACGCCCACGGCTAGTATACTAAGTATTAGATATACCAAAAGATACAGCTCTCAATTATCTATAGATTGATATAAAATAAGATGCAATTGGCCTTCATTTGGCTGCGCAATAAGGCGCTGAAGATGTAGTCTCATTTGGTGATGGTACTGATATAGCGGGGAAACCCGGAATGTGTCGTTACTTTTTGAGACCCACTGTAGCATTAGACTATGCCAGGGATGGTCACTATTGCGTCAAGGTCTAGTGGCAGGGATTGCTGTGGGTTGGGGTTGTGACCACTGGTCTTTAAAAGCTGATGCAATCCCTTGGTGTGTGGATCTTGTCGCATCGGCCTTCCATTCCAAGTCACCTTGTCCACAACGATGAAGACTCCAGGAGAACGCCGGAAAACCAAGGCGAGGACCGGCTGCTGGTCGTGTAAGCGTGAGTTCGAGTCGAGCCCATAGCCCAACCTGATGAGCTAACGAATCCCTGCATAGAGCGCAAGGTGAAATGCTCAGGTCAGCCCTTTCCCTATCCCACACGGTGGAATGGTATGATGCCAACAAGCCTCGTCCTGCAAGAAGAAAGACCAGTGTGCAGATCTTGCGCCCGGTTCCGGCTGCCGTGTCACTACGACCTGCGGCTAAGGTGGCATACGAAGGCCGCAGACCAGGCGATCTCTAGCTCTGATGGTTTCACCTACACTCCGCGGCGGCGCGGGACACCGCTTCACTTTGTGCACTTCAGTACGCAGGACTTTGCCGATACAGAAACTGGCAGGGGTGTATTCATGGACGCCGAGTCAGACGACGACGTGAGTTCCTCATCCCGAGGTATGCTGGGGGGTGGTACTGTTTCTACATCCCCCTCTCCGTCATCCGCCTATCTCATAGTGGATGAGCCGTCGTGGTTTGCGCCGCTCGAGTTTTCGTCTCCGCTGGACGATATCCTTTTCATGTATTGTGAGTCTTTATTGGCCAGCTCCTTTTCATTAAATCGGACATTCTGACCAGGCCTCCCCAGACGTCATCGAGATATGTCCCAGATGCACCATGTTCAACGATTCCTCCAATGGATTCGAAAACATCATCATCCCCCTATCGACCAACCATGAGTCGATTATGCATTCCATTCTCGCTGTCGCAGCCTTCTACAGGTGCCGGGACACAGCGGCGTATAAAGTCGTCTCATTGACACAGAAAGAGAACGCACTCATCTACTTGCGCAGTAAGGTAGCCGCAGGCCTGGTGGAAGACTATGATGAGTTGATCGTTTCGGCTATTATGCTGTGTGTTTTCGAGGTCAAAGATGGGTCCGGTCCGGACTGGGCTAAACACCTCAATGGGGGCCGCTCTATTCTCCAATCCAAAGTTCAGGAGTGCGGCAGCCAGAAGTGGGCTGGAGGGATTTCCTGGTGGGCCAACAAGTTCTTCGGTTATCTCGCCGTCAATTGCGCTACTGGGGAAGAACTGGAGTCTCCGGGGCCGTTGGAAAGACCCGAGTTTTGGCTCAGTCAAGGGTTCGGGGTAGAGGTGAGCTAGGATTCCTCCCATGTGGGCAAAGTCGTCCTCTAACCCAGAACGCGAAGGATATCGACGGCTTTATGGGCTGCTCAAGTGAAGTCATGGCTATTACGGCAGCCGTCTGCAATCTGGCTAGGATGAGAAACAATCACCACATCGAGGCCAGCGATATCGCCTTAAGTGGCAATGAACTAGAATGCCGTCTTTTCGATGTCAGACAGAGGTCGACACAACTCCTCCTTACGATACAGGAATTCTCGGACTTGAGGGACATAGTAGCCAAGCTGCTGGAAGACCAATCATCTATGCCCCGCGCAAAGATTCTCGCACTGGCGGCAGAGGCGCGACGACAGGCCACATTCATTTTACTCTACGTCTGTGTGAAGGATATCCCCGTGCATAGGCTCGAAGTACAGGCTAGAGTCATGGACTGCCTGCTATGCATTACCGCAGTTGCTCAACTGATGACTGCCGATGACTCCCCCGTCTGGGGGATGACGCCCATCATCTGGCCCCTCTTCGTCACTGGAGCCTCGGCCTTGAGAGACGAGGACCGCTTCCAAGTGGCGGGGGTCTTGGATCAATTACAAAAGTTGAAATGCCTTGGCGTAAGGTCACTCCCGTGAAGTCTGTTGACAGGGAAAGCTGCTAATGACATTCTCGTAGAATGTTGCCCGTGCTAGGACCATGGTCAAAGCAATTTGGAAGCAGTATGACATGGGGACACATTTCCGGCAGGCCGAACTATGGAGGCTATACGTGGATCCGAATGCCAAGTGGCCCTTGAGCCTTGCATGAGCCTTGTGGGAGCATTCGGAGCAGGCGTAGAGACATCTTCTGGGCGGCTGTGGAATAGGGCCATGGAAGCGTGTTCAAGCCGACGAAAGAACAAGCTTAGTCAAACTTTTGAATGCACAGTCAACCTTTTCTGAACTATAGTTGTATCAACGTCTGATAAGGCCGTGAGACCGCAAGGAGCTTCTTGGGCCCCAGCAATCTCATGAGGCTAGTCTCCTTAAGGCAATGCAGGGCAGCTTTGAGCTTCTACCCGAAGAAAAATAGAGGTTAGATGACTTTTCAATATTTATATTAACAAACTAAAAGACAAAAGATCAAAGGGACCTTAAGCAAAACAAGCACACCACCGCACTGTATATTCACTCTATGGACTGGACTACTACATGCCCTTGGGAGAGGCCAAGGTCACGCCCCCATGCTTCCGACCCTGGTAGAAGTAACTTTGTCGATCATCAACAGCCGAAACATCAAATCTTGGGCAGTGCCAAAAGCAGTCGCCAGTCCTCACTGGGCGTCCTTCAGCGGAACAGATACTTCCCTCTCCTTGGTTGCGGGTTGCTCAAGAACCTGCGCATCATTCATGACCACCATGTTTTCTTCAAGCTGAGAGAGAACTAGCCAGGTTGGATATATGCAAAAGAGTAGGAGTCCGAAATTGAGACCCATGCTGATAAAGTGATCGGCGTCAGTGGATTGCATCCTAGTCGTTGTCAGTCTATCACAGAGTTCACTGTAAGAGGAAGAATACTCACCCCCATGCAATTGCTTGCCCCATAGCCTCAAATGCCCTAAGAATGCCACAGTGGCGGTTGAGAGACGCGATGTCATTGGAGAGCTGACCAACCACCCAATAGCAGAACTGCTGGAACGCTTGGCCGCCAAACACCCAGAACCAGATGATGGGGTACCCCTTATTGAATCCGTCCGTGAACCAGTCCCACACGGGAGGCTCGTCCATCTTGTTGTACTTGTCTCGCATGATGGTAGCCCAGGTCCACGTACCCAAGAGGACCACAAGAATGGATGAGAATGCGATCTTCGCTCGGGTCCTGATGTTGATTCCTTGGCGATCCAGGAGGTAACCGATCATGTATGAGCTCATGACGCCAGCCCAGTTTGTGACAAAGGACGAGAAAGCTCGGGCCCGGACGGTAAAGTACACTGTGAGCCATGTGCTCAGAAATCCCAGGTAGAAGTAGCTGACGAAGAACGCCGGCACCAAAAGCGCCATCCGCTTGGTCCGCAAGAGCGAGAAGACGGCCTTCATCTCGGCTTTGGTGGTGGGCTCCTTGTGAATAAGGATACGAGAGCCGTCTTTGCGCCACACCCGCTCAGTAGGACTCAGCAAGAACGCTACGGGAGCTCCCGTGCACATGATGGAGAGAAAGACAATGTAGGTTGTCCGGCTCACAGACCCCGCGACATTCGTCCGAGAGTTGAGAGCAAGGTTGATGGCACCGCCCACGATGGGACCAGAAGCCTTGGCGGTCTGCCAGATAGCCAAGTAAAGGCCACGGTCCTGGGGATGCGGATACCCAATCATGAGCGTAGCCTCAGACGTGTAGTAGAAGCCGACGGAGATGCCGCAGATGGCGCTGCCCAAGATCAGGAACCATGTCGTGGGGTGTTCGTTGTTGGTGTACAGCGCAGCACCATATATTGGCATGCCAGCGGCTCCGATGGCCAGGGCATTACGCAGTCCGATGCGGTTATTGATGCCGCCGGCGATCAGGCAGGTGACGGCGAAGAGCGAGTACATGGTGGCATTGCCAGCGGAGACCGCCTGCGGCTTTGCTGCACCACCAGCTCCGAGGCCACCAAGGGCATCCCACATGCCCGGGGCCGTGAAAGAGACAAAGCAGGCAACGGCAACCTGGAAGGCGACGGACCGGAACCAGGAGCGCTTCTGCTCTGGGACTTCAGGCCCTGAACTGGTAGAGTCCGTGGTGGTGTTGGTAGTGTGCTCCATCTCGGCAACGCTGCTCGAAAAGGGAGAACAAAGGTGGCGGGATAGTATACAGGACAAGAGAAGGCTCTCCAAGAGCCAGATGGAATGATAGAAAAAGTGATGCGTGAGAGGCAATGGTGTGGTGTTGGTGAGGTTTAAATATCCATGTTGGAAGCTCTCCAGACTGGTCTCATGTCCCGTCTTGTTATCAGTGTCATGAGGAGGACAACTCTAGGATATGTTCTCCGGATCCCCCGTTACCCCGGGGCTTGGTACGGGTCGACCCCGCGTATTGCTTCGATAACCGAGAGGCTCACTTCAGCGTCGAGGAAGTCAGGCAAGGGGTTGCATTGATACAAGGGTCTTATTCTGCGAGTGGAGACACGATCTGGGGGGGAAGTCTGATGCGAGACGGCAGTGTCTGACTCGCGTGTTCTAGGCCGAATCTGACCTGGTGGTCTTGGTGCATCCCAATCCCTGGCTTCGCGGAGACTGTTGATAAAGCCGCCCGACGCTAGCTCGCTTGGGAAATGCTCACCCTCGAGGAGCGTCGAAATCAAGTGGAGGGGCGGGTTTCTTAGGCTCCCTCGCATCCGGTTGCCTTTTTCTCAGCGATCGTCCCATGTGTCGACTAGCAAGCAAATCCGGTGGACTTCCGGCCTGACGGTAGATGGATACTTATCTGTGTAGATTTAATATCCCTCGCAACGCTGTCTATCAACGCTCGGATATCCTCCTCAATTAGCCCTCAAGCACTTAGTGCCAGTCGAAATCATGAGCAAGCCTTCTGTTCTCATCATTGGCGGCGGTGTCTTTGGCACTTCTACCGCGTACCACCTCTCACTTCGAGAATATCATTCCATCAAGGTCCTGGACCGGTTCGACGCGCCATCCAAGGACTCAGCCGCAACGGATCTGAACAAGGTCATCCGTGTCGACTACCCTGAGCCATTATACACGAAGCTAGGTCTCGAGGCTTTGGGTGCCTGGAAAGATCCCAGCTCCGTCCTTGCCGGCCTGTATCATGAATCCGGAGTCATGTTCTCCGGGGAAGAGCCGACGCACGCGTGGCTCGAGACAACGCGCAAGACGATGCTACAAGCAGGACGCAAAGGCGTCAAGTACATGACAAGCCAGGAGATTGGGCAGAACTGGCCGGCAGTCACGGGCAAGTTCCCCAACTGGCTGAACCTTTGGAGCCCGGCAGGTGGGTGGGTGAGTAGATCCGCGGTTCTGCAGATTGAACAACTGCTGAGATATATGTTGTGCAGGTGCCTTCGGGTGAAGCTCTCCTCCGGATGGCCAATGCTGCCCGAGCCAACGGCGTCGAGTACATATCCGGCGATGCAGGCTACGCTAGGCAACTCGTTTACGATGGTAATAAGAAGTGCATTGGCGCAATCTGCAATGATGGTTCCTTTCATCAAGCAGACATTGTAGTCATTGCGGCGGGTGCCAACACGGCTACTCTCGTGGACGCAAGGAACGAGGTTGAAGCACAATGTTCAGCGATTTGTGTTCTACAGCTGAATCCAGACGAGATAGAGAAGTACAAAGATATGCCTGTCATTTCCAACCTTGAGCAAGGTACCACAGCCCCTCGGACGGGAAGACTATGCCTAACAACACTCCAGGCATCATCTTTCCGCCAGTTCAGGACGGCTTGGTAAAGCTCATCAGCTGCCGTGCGATTACAAACTATAAGAACAAGATTCTCCCCGGTGCCTCCATTCTTCACTCGACTGGAGACTACCCTTTTGATGGCTGCCCCAGAGAGATCGAGGGCGAAATCAGATCCTTCGTTCGGGACACGGTGCCCGAGCTTGCTGACCGCCCCTTCATTTCAACCAAGCTATGCTGGTAAGTTATAGCACCCCCTTCCCACCAACTCGATAAACAACCCTATCTAACTACGATGCAGGGATGGTGTGGCGAAGGACCTCAACTTCCGGGTTTGCCCCTACCCCAAGACGACGGGCCTCTATGTTGCCACCATCGGGTCGAACCACGGCTTCAAGTTCTTGCCCGTCATTGGGAGATACGTGGCGGACATGCTCGAAGGCAATCTCGGCAAGGAGTGGTCTGACCTCTGGGCCTGGAAAGACGGGAGAGTGCCAGGGGGGAAGCCCGACCCCTATCCCTTCCCACTCAGAGACCTTTCTGAACTCGATGGTTGGAAGGATAAGCATAGCGCTGGGGGAGGCAGGCTACCCTGGACATGGAGCCGTTTGTAATTTCCGAGACTTATATTTTTACGTGCCTATAATAGGGTAGGCGCTACAGTAGGCAGGCGAGTGGTCGAGAGTAGCAATATATTTCCCAATTTTTAAAGATCGCTACTGAAAGACTAGCACGCAAACCGTGAAGGTTCCTATCATCAGAGAAAGTAAGATCTTCGGAATCGCCAGATTCGCACACAATAGTGGCTCGGATCGTGCCAGGTAACTTCATGGCGCAACCTCCGTATCGCCCTCCTCTGGAAAACGGCGATCACGTCTCTTAACTTCTTCGCCCTCTCTGCAGAGGCGAGGAAAGAGTTCTATCTCGTACCGTTGTACTGCTTTACCATCAACCCGCCAAGGTCGCGAAGGTTCTAGAGGACCTGGCCGAATTCAAGGAGCTCCTCCTCCGTAAGCTTTCCATAGGTGAGGTCGAGAAACCGCTCTCTCCGCTACGGAGATCTTCTGATCCAGCTCATCAGGTTGTACAACCTTGGAATTGCCGACGATTGACGCTAGTCCAGATACAGTGAGATTTTTGAGTTAACGCGCAGCAGATCCGGCTTTAGTTCCCCGTTGGGTTGGGTCGTCGACCATCGCGGCCCTCTATCGGCCCCATCGCCGTAGCGGCCGACTGTCACTGTGCCAGGTTATCTCAACCTCTAGGCCGAGCCGATGAAACTCAGTTGGGACGGCTTCATCGGCCCGCGGTATTTGGTCCACCATCTAGAAGTTCAGTTGGGTGAGCCGGTCACGGAGGTTGGACCAAGGGTAAGGACTTTTGAAAAGGACATCTACTCAGTTTACAGGAAATGATGCAATAAATTACAAAGTGAAACTGTATTAAGTTATCCCTCGCCTAGGTCAAATTCTGTTTTCCTTCATACCCATCTCACAATGTCAAGCTCGAATTCATCCATGCTCATCATCGGCGGAGGAGCCTTTGGCAGCTCCGCCGCCTACCACTTCGCCTGCCGTGGCTATGAATCGGTCCACGTCCTCGACCGCTTTGTTGCGCCATCCCACGACGCTGCTTCGACGGACCTCAACAAGGTCGTCCGCGCTGACTACCCCGATGCTATCTATGGCCGTCTCGCTCTCGAGGCCATGGAGGTGTGGCAGTCCAAAACGTCATTCTTGAAAGGCCTGTACCGAAAGTCTGGCTGGATTCGCTCGGCATCGCCGAAAGACACCGCCTGGCTCAAGGCAGCTTACGAGATGGGCAAGAGGCTGGGCTTCACGGGCTCTAGGTGGATGACTGGAGAGCAGATCCGATCGACATGGTCAGAGATCTCCGGCCAACTGGGAGACTGGGAGAATCTTTGGAATCCTGAGGCCGGATGGGTACGTCGATCTTGGCGAGCCGCGTCACCTGCATCTTTTTCTAATCAATATGTAGGTTCCATCAGCCCAGGCTCTTGTATGCATGACAGAAGCAGCACGCAAAGAAGGCGTCCAGTTTACAAGTGGACTGGACGGAGACGTTGAAAAGCTCCTTTACGATGACAAGCAACAGTGCGTCGGCGCCCTCAGCCGTAGTGGCAAGGCGCACTTCGCTGACATGGTCATTGTATCAACGGGGGCGTGTCTTCCCGAGCTTCTCGATGCCAGCAAGGAGTCGGTTGCGCTCGCGGGCTGCGTGGGCGTCCTCAAATTGACGCCAGCTGAAGCGGACAAGTACAAGAACATGCCTATTGTTGATGAGGCTGTTGGGGGTGAGATGCATTCTCGAGTTGTACGCTTGTTCGTGCTAACATAGAGCCTTCCAAGGACTTCTGTTTCCCCCAGACGAGAACGGCATGATGAAGGTTGTCTCCAACCGAGGTATCACCAACTACGCATATTCTTCAGTCAAAGGGGCATCAGTAACACACGGTTTCAATGATCATCCCCATGATGGCATGTCCGTGGAGATGGAGAAGCAGGTTCGGGACTTTCTTCGTGAAGTCCTTCCTGAGCTTGGTGACAGAGAGTTCTTCACCACTCGCATGTGTTGGTAAGTTAGACGTTGTCTATTTAGTTTGTTTACGGCGTCATTGTACCACTCTGCTTACCGGAATCCGCACCAGGGACTCTGCCACCAAGGACTACCACTACCGTATCTGCCCGTACCCCGCTGCGAAGAACCTCTACATCGCGACCTGCGGCGCGACGCACGGATTCAAGATGATGCCAATCATTGGCAAGTACGTCGTGGATATGGTGGAGGGCAAGCTGCCTGAGCACCTGGCGAAAGCCTGGAGCTGGAAGAATGGAAAGGGCCCAGAGACCGAGATGCTGTATCCCCATCCCCAGGACCACGATGACCTGGGAGACCTGAACGGTTGGAAGAACAGAAACCAAAAGTTGTCGCCGCCGTCTCGTGCCCTTCGCGCCAATCTGTAGAAAGATGCATATTATGCTCTTACTATAACCGTACACTCTAGACAATAGAGCCTATTATTACTCCCCTTAACAACAACGACAGCCAACCGAACCAGCCAGTCAACCAAGTGATGTTGAGTAAATATCAAAGGATGTGAAATCAATGACCGGCTGCTCCAGCAACTCCGCCCAGTCGTCAAAGCCAAGCTCTCTCCCTAATCGAATGTCACCCACCCGGAACGAGCCATCGTTTGTATCCCCGTTACTTCCGGCTTGTGCTGCGGGCAGCGATATCAAAGCTCCATCCAAGTTGCTGCTGCTATTTTGACGGGGATGAAGCATGGTATCTCCGATCGATTCGATTTCGGTAAGCATCTCCAGGTGATATCTTGATGAGATGTTCCCGCATTGAACCATGTTGACCAGCACCTTGCGTGCTTGGTCATAGAGGGCAACATCCTCGTCCCGTTCAGTCCCTTGCCACACGAACGGCCCGGGAAGCCTCCCAGCCATGATCTTAGCTAGACACATGACGGTCAGACATGAAAATAGATGGACAGAGTCCCAATATCCGTACTCCACCAACATCTCCGATGCAGCAAGGTGCAGCATGGTTTTCGCGTTGGTCCTGGCAGCCTGGAGACAGGTGTTGTTTGTATTCCGGACCTCTTCCTTGAAAGATATGGACATGTCGCCGCGAAGCATAGAGGCCAATTGATGCAGCAGCAGAGGCCGCAGAAGCAAGACGTAACACTGTGAAAGACGTTGAGTTAGCAAGGTTACGACATGTCCGGGATAATTTAACGTGGTAAATGTCCCCCTACCTGGTGATAGCGTAGAGACAGCGAGAAAGGAACTCGGTTATCGGGTATGGCATTCGGGAGGGTCTGAAAGTCGAACTCGAGCAGAGGGGCTAGATTAGCCGGCATGTTGGTTCGGCATTGTTCCAGGCGTTCCAAACACTGATGGAGCAGGTCGTATCGCTGATAGACGTGTCTGCTCTTCAACTGCCTGACCACGGTGATGACATGACCCTTGATTTGCAGAAGCTTGATTTGCGCTGTCAGCAAGTCCGGGTCAAAGAACTCCTCGAGATCTTCCGCGGAGAGGCCACTAGAGTCCGGGTAACCGAGCGAGTCATCTATTCCAACGTACGCCGGATGGAAGCATAGTTCGGTGCTGGTGGCATGGTCGACGCAAAAGGCGGTCCACCATACCCGCTTCCTGTGCTCTCGCTCAAGGTTGGAGAGAGAAGCCGGAGCTGGTTGATCAAGGCCAAGACTGTGAGCAAGCCGAATGCTTTGGCCCGCATACGCGTACGCGGCTTTGCGACGATTTAGAATGAAGCTACAATGAGACTGGACATGGAGAGAGTCAGCTGCGTGTGGAATCTTCGCTTGGCGAGATAGGGAAGGCAAGATCTCCTTACCGCCAAGTTCAATGCCTCGACATCGTCAACAGTAGGGTCTTCATAAGATACTTTCAGCATGAGCAACCCTTGTTCAAAGTACTCAGTCCCAGGCGGCAGCGTGTGGAAAATGTCGTCCGAGTTGTCTTTCTTGCCTTGCCATGAAGGGATCTCCCCACTTTCATCCAAGGTGATGGTGAGAGATTGGTTGTTGTGGTTATTGGCCTCGGCCAATGCTAGGACAAAGGAAAGCCTGCATAGCCAGTTGCGATCCTTGGCTTGCGATGACAGGTTCTTGTAGGTCGCGTGAAGTCGCCTCCAGAATGATCTGCGAAGGAAGGTATGGTAATCACCAAAGCTTTGCTCGGCCTGGGAGATGAGTTGCACGGCGTATTGATAAGGGGGTAATTTGAACGAGAGTTTTGAATCTGGGCCATTGTGTCAGTGGCCGAGACTCAAAACTTTTGCGAGATGGGAACCTACGGGTGGTATCGAATCTCATATTGGCATGTTGACGTTGTGAAGCAGCCGAGCCTTCACCACAGCTGCTCGAATATGGAGAAGAGGTGGCGGGGAAAGCCGTTGCCGAGGTGGCCAAGGGGTTGTCTGATCCCCTGCCGACGTTGGACAGAACTTCCTTGAGCTTGCGGATGAACGACTCGGCCGTTGAGTCCTCCACGAGCGGAGCCACGGCGTCTTCGCTCTCGGATTCTGCGTGAGCATGAGCCTGGGTCGCTGGGGCTGAGGCTGGAGGTGTCTGTTCCGCCCGGGTGGTCCTCGGCGTGGCAGACCTGGATGTGGGTTTGAGCGTAGAGTTGCCAGTGACTCTGATGGCATTGGTGAGGTCATTGAGAGTGGTGTTGAGGTGTTCCAGATGCTTCTCAGACACGGCGACCGTGCGATCACCACGCGGGCGGTAGGTGCAGTGTCTCTGGTGTTGGCGACATCGCTGGCAAGGCTGTTCTAGAGAGGGATTAAGCTTCCCAGGTTAATCAGGCGGTGGGGAACATGGACGCACCTCCGCTGCACTTGACCTTTTGGCGGTGGCAGTAATTGCATGCTGCGTTGCTTCGACCGGCGAACTTGGGCATGTCGTGTGGGATGGTTCAAGATGCATCAGGAGGGATGAACCTGACGAGACATGGACATCACTATAAATAAAAATACAACGAGTGTTGGGTGCTAACTAGCGCACGGATAAGGCACCGTAAATTATGGCTCTTCAATTACATCAATCATCCACGGATCGTTTGAAGGACGAGCCGAGGTTGAGCTCGCTCAACCAACACAAAAACACAAGCAAGAATCGCCAGCCTCAATATCACCATGTTGACCCTGAAGGGTGTAAATAATCCTCTTTTTTGACTGGACCTCGAAGATCTCCTGTGTCTAACCATGAGCTCCATGTTAGATTGACGCTGCTGTAGGGTCTGTTGGATAGCGATATTCTGTCGCTGTGGCGGTAAGTGCTGTAAATTGGATCACCCCGCCCCACGATCGACGCAGAGCACCCCGCAAAACCCATGGACCTAAGAAGCAAAGATCCCCGTCACTTGCTGCAGGGCCGTGAGTTGATGCCACTCATAGACCATGGGCTCAATACGAACGGGCACCGTCATGGCAGGTCGAAGGGCTTGGTGGCCTACCCATGTACCCATTTCCTCTCTCAATGTCCTGGCCTTCGATCCCGTACCGACCTATCAACTATCGATCAATTCAAATCCTTCACCCAAACAACACCGCAACTTCCGCCGAACCGAAGACTGGGCTGGACCAAACGCGGCCGCTACGGTGCAGACAAGGGTAACGCCGTAGCGGCCGACAGAGCCAATCCTCACCCGAGGCCGATAAGGAGAGTTCAGGGTCCTGTGCCGTAGCGGCCGATGCCAATCCAGCCACCACGGGCCCAAAGAAGTCTTGACTAGGATGGGCAGGGTTTTCATCGAAGGCTAGTAGCGATTGCGGCAATCTGGGGTACTCGGCCGGGGGACTTTACTACGTCCATCGGTATCTGGTGTTGCTTTGAGTTCAGTGTCCTTTAGCAACACCCGAAGAATGTTGACCAGCAGGATTAGGAGATCTATAAGACCTGGTGCGGCCCTCGTAGAACTTTCCCATCAACTTAGTGCGGTCGTCGAACCTGTCCTGATTTCTGCAACCAGTACAGCCGCCAGTCATTGCAAGTACCTACAACCACGTCTCTCGACAGCATGGACAACAAACCTCCCCCGACGGATCTGGTGATTTCGTCCAGCCACGATGAACAGGCAGCAGTTGATGCCGTCGAGTTTCCTCGCATCGCGACCATGACGCTGGAAGAGCGAGCAGCTCTAGAGAAGAAGCTCCGTTGGAAGATTGACCTCCGCCTGCTTCCGATGCTAGTCCTCGTATACATCATGAATTATCTCGATCGGTACCTCTTCCTACACCATTGAACGTCTACAAGGCCATCAAGTGCCAGCAGCTAACCCACAACGCACAGAAACACTATCGCCCAGGCAAAACTTGGAGGCCTCGTGGAAGATATAGACCTGACCGACAGCCAGTACCTCGTAAGGATTCCAGCTAGCAATAATCCAAGAAGAAAGAGAGAAACATAGCTAACGCGTGTTGTTCCCAGACCTGTGTGGCCATTCTTAACGCTGGGTAAGCTCACGAAAGCGGTCGGCATTCGAGCCAACACACCAATTAATCCTATTTCAATAGATATATTCTAATGCAAGTTCCTTCAAACATCTGGCTTAATAAGATCGGAAAACCTGCTCTCTACATCTCGGTCTGCATGGCCGTCTGTGTTTGTTAGCCCCTCGATCTACTCACGAGAGTCCCCAATTGACAGTCTATTCAAAACAGGGTGCTATCTCTGCTTCTGCTGGTGCCACTCACAATTTTGCTGGCCTGCTCTGCGCACGGTTTTTCCTCGGTTTCGTCGAGGCGGCATTCTACGTAAGTCCCTCTGAATGACAGGCAATTAGGTCTGTTGCTAAAGCATACTTCCTTTAGCCTGGCGCCATGTTCACGCTCAGCACCTGGTACAAGCGGGAGGAACTGAGCAAGAGGATGGCTCTGTTCTACACCGGCTCTCAGATCTCAGGTGCTTTCTCCGGCTTAATTGCCGGAGGTGTTGTATATGGTATGGATGGGTACGTTCTCCCAGATACGGTCTAGCTGCCTCGCTCATTTTGCTTACCGACTGGTGATAGCCTGAGAGGTCTCCGTGCCTGGAGGTGGCTTTTCATCCTCGAGGGAGCCGTGACAGTCGCTATTGCCATTTCCGCGTACTTTGTACTTCCAAACTTCCCACGGACGACACGTTGGCTCTCTCCTGAGGAGAAGGAGATGGCTGTCTACAGACTACATGCTGAAGTTTCCCACTCTGAGTGGACTTCGTCGGAAGATCAAATCACCTGGAGGGCCTTTATCATGGCCATGAAGGACTGGAAGAACTGGTTCTTTGTCGTCATGGTGTACGGCACCGGCGCTAGTCTCGCAGTCAACAACTTCTTTCCCTCGGTCCTCTCTACCCTCGGCAAAGGTCGAGTCGAGACCCTGCTCCTAACCAGTCCGCCGTTTCTTCTCTCGTGTTTTACCATGGTCACCATCTGCTGGAACGCCGACCGTACTCAGGATCGATACTGGCATTTCACGGTGCCCCTGTCGTTCTCACTGGCGGGTTTCATCATTGTCGCCTCTACGACCAACTTTGGTGCTCGCTATTTCGGCGCCATGATCATGATCCCGGGGATCTACTCGGGTTTCAACATGGCCTTTGTGTGGACTGCTAATACCATCTACGGACCACCCGGCAAGCGTGCCGCAGCCATCGCCTTCAATAACGCCTTCTCCGGGATTGCTGGGTTATACTCCTCGTACCTTTATCCCTCCAATGCTGCGCCGCGATATGCCATTGCTCTAGGCGTCAGCGCTGGTATGCTCTTCATGGCAATTTGCGCTGCTACTGGTCTTCATTTCCTGCTGGCTCGCGAGAACAGGAAGATTGAGAAGCAGGAACAAGATAGCAATGGGGATGATTCTTTGTTAACTCACCCGCGTGGTTTTCGGTTCCTACTGTGAGAGTTCTTAGCAGGTCGTATGAAGAATATGGGGGACTTGATAACTTTACTGGGATTGCTCCCAAGATCAGCTGCATACTACGTACGTAACTAAGACTTGATAATCGAAGAGGGAGGGTTGTGTTCTTGCTCGAATCTCCTATAGGTCCACCTGGTTATCCTCCGCCTCCCTATTCTACCTACAAGGGAAGCTGCGGTGAACATTTGCACTTTTTGACGCTCGGTTTTGCGAAAGCGTTTCCAATTCCTTCCCCTTTGGATGCGGCGACCCTTGGCGAAGCTCTATCTTTATTGTTTTTATTGCTATTATTATTATTGTTGTTGTTGTTCTTGCTGTTATTGTTGCTATTCTTATTACTATTGCTATTATTCTTGTTCTTATTATTGTTGCTTTGTTATTATTATTATAACAAAGGTCCTATATCAACATAACCGACTGCCGTGTCCGACTCGCTGCGTACGAGTATTCGAATGCCCGGGCAAATGTAAGCAACTTCTCATTCGAGAGCATCCGTCAAGTCGAGCCTAGTGATGGAGAGTACGGCGAATGATGGAGGCGATAGGGGTAGTTGGTGTTGTTGGACGTAGCAGGTGATATCGATATCCAACGGATCAGTGATGGAGAACTCGCTAACACTAACCCTATCCTCACTTGACAAGAAGGCATTGGTCCAATTCTTCCTCTCAGACAGCTTCAAATCAGAATGGCTCCAGGGAGTTGATGATAATCAAAACCCTGGGTTAAGTACGGTGCTTGGAGGGGATGTGGACCTTTCTCAAGCTTTCCAGGAGATGGCCACGAGCATGAGCGATTACTTACGCAACGGAACCAACGGGATGCTAGCCAGGGGAGCCCGGATAGAGAGCAGGATATTCGTCTTGATTCGATGGTATGGGTTGATTGGACCGGTCGCTATAGAGCTCGCTGGTCTGACCCTGACCGTCCTGACCATTGCTGGTAATAGGCGCAACGTGCCGTTGTGGAAGTCATCGGCATTTGCAGTCATAACCTGTCAACACGACGAAGAGAACAGTTTGATGCGGGCTAAGATTAGGGATATGAAAGAGATCATAAAAGCGACGGAGAGCTCCAAGGTCGGGCTAGAATAGGGAGTCTAAGTCTAGCTAGTATAGAATGATTTTCTTAGTTAATATAGCCTCCCTTTTTTAGTTGATCTGGAATTACTTTCCTCGTTAACGCAGTCTGGAATCAGCTTCCCGGTTTCTAAGTCCAAGTCAGTTCATTCGTCTTCAGGCCATGTCTGATAAAAGAGAGTTTCTGGCAAAAAGCATCGATTCTTGGCAAATTTTAGGTCTCTGTTCAATTTAAAAGGACAGTCAGAAGCGTCAACAAGCTCTAAAAGGAGCTAATGAGTAACAAAAATCCTGAGCGCGGGCTCCGCGGCCCACGCGGACTGGCTAAAGGAACGTGGGGACAACCATCTCCATCAGTTCAGGCAGTTGGCACAGCAAGATCATGCCCGTGAGGCACAAAGTCATAAGCCTCAGGCTCTCCGGAGTTATTACCTACGTAGGGCCGGCTTAGGTCGTAATATCATACCATATTGAATCCAACCCCTAACCGTGGCCCGAGGCTCACGGACTGGACAAGACAACCCGCCCCGAGAAGCTCCATCTTACATCGGGATGGATGCCGATCCAGTGTCATATTTGCACTTGAAGGTCGCATGTAGAGTACCGGGCGGTAAATGTCTGCACTCCAGTGGAGTTATTCCATGCGCCGGCGTGGCATTGTCCAGGGGACGATCCAAATCAGGATGTATACGAAAAGCGAGCATATTATAAATAACCTGCTCAAATCCTGTATTCTTCTCCATGGTCCTTGAACTGAGCTCTACGTCCTTGGTCTTCCGACATTCACCAGCCGATTCGCTGTCCCTCCTACCCGACCATGTCTCCTCCTAAGACCCCTTATCTCGTTTTGCCTGCTCTTTTGAACGCTGCTCTGGTACATGCTGTGTCCGATCGATGTGTGCTAGACACCTTCACCTTCCCGAATCTTCTGGGCACAAAGCACATATTGACTACAGCATCAAAGGTGGAGGGGCATACTGGATTTTCCAAATGGAAACCTGAATCCACTGAGATTGGCCTTGAAGGGGTCAGTTTCTGTAATGTCACAGTCACATACTCTCATCCGGGCGACCAAGATGTCATTCAAGCCCACGTGTGGCTGCCCCTTTCTGGCTACAACAACCGATTCGTCGGAATTGGAGGCGGAGGCTGGATAACTGGGGATATTGGCGACGACGCTATGTCGGCTCTCACATACAAGGGCTACGCGACAGCAGCCAGTGACGGTGGCTATGCTCATGACCCCTTCTCGACTGCAGATGCTTGGCTGATGCCAAATCCCGGCAACATCAACCAGACACTTCTCACCAACTTTGCCAACCGTGCCGTGCACGAAGCCGCTATAATCGGCAAGCATATTGCTAAGGATTACTACGAGGAGTCTCCAGCCTTTTCATACTGGTCTGGATGCTCCACCGGTGGTCGGCAGGGCATCACGAGCGCATTGCTGCATCCCGATGATTTCGATGGCATCTTGGCCAGTTGTCCAGGTGTCGAGTTCCCATCACTGTTGCTGGCCTTGTACTGGCCGCAGTTTGTCATGAACCAGCTAGGAGCATACCCCGATGCTTGCCAATTTGAGGCTTTGAGGGCTGCTGCCATCGAGCAATGCGACAAGTTGGATGGCGTGAAAGACGGCATTATCTCTAGAGATGATCTCTGCAAGTTCGACCCAAGCAGTGTTGTTGGGAAGGAATTCGAGTCCCAGGGAGCCAAGTGCAAGGTATCAAAGGAAGCTGCCGAAATTTTGAAGGCCATGTTTGAAGGACCCAAGGATGCAGAGGGAAAGAGTCTTTTTGCTGGGTCAACACCAGGCACTGCGGCCGTTGGCATGATGGCGCTCGCTAATACCCTCTGCAAAGATGGCAAATGCACCGATGGAATTCCATTTACGATTGCGACCGACTGGATCCGGCTACTTGTCAAGAAAGACCCCTCATTCGACTCCAAGACCCTCTCCCCCGAGCAATTCACACAGCTCTTCCATGACAGCCAGCGCGACTACAATGGCATGTTTGGAGCCGGCGATCGAGATTTCCAGCGGTTCCGTGAGGCCAACAAGAAGATGATTACGTGGCACGGAACCAGCGACGAGGCTATCACCATTAATGCCATGAGGCGATTCTACGACGGCGTGACTGCGCTAGACAAGAGCCGAGGTGTCGACACGCTTGAAACCACGCTGATCGGTGAGGACGATGAGGGCAAGGAGCCGAGTCCCCTCTGCCCCTATCCACTCACGGGGTCAAAGAAGGCCGGCAAGTTCACTTGTGTCGAACGCAAGAACCAGGTTGGTAGGGATGAGTTGTAATTGGGGTTGAAGCTAAAGTTTAAGGAGCAGGTCTAGATAGTTACGAGAGGGTTGAGGGTATGACTACGTCTGGTTTTGCATATAGATGCTATGAAAGAGACCCCTCAGCAAGTCCGGGGCAGTTTTATGTGACAAAAGAAGTTGTCATTTCCTGTAGCAAGAATGATTTTTTTGTTTCTACAATCAATAAAAGCCACTTGACAACTTCACGTGGAAGTAACTCTTATACATACTATAACCAAGCCAATCCACACTAACCACGCGTAGAAGGCGAAAGAGAAGGTCCAACAAGCAGACTCAATCGCTGCCAATGAGAAGGTCAGAGGGTATAGATGGAACACTTGGTTAATGGGTCACTTCATTATGCTAGGCCAGCCTCGCTGTAAAAATACAACTTGGCCTCTACATCTGATATTGATGATTCCTCTGCGGGTTTTCAAATCGCAATGGGGAGTTGATTTTTCCCGCCTTATTTTCGGTGGCGAGTACGCAAGAGACCATCAACCGTAACAGCAAAGATCTAGTTTTTAATAGGTACATGGCGGTTTGAGGCAATGATTCTTTTCACTGCAGTTTTAACCCCTCAAGGGAGGATAATGCCCCACGGAGGATTACATAAAAACTTTCTTCATAGCATTCTTAAACCTCCAGGATTGACTAGATTTTCTTCACTGCAATTTTAACGCGCCCCGAGGGGCCTGACAAGGGTCACGCTCACCCCTCACTCATAAGTAGGCTGCGGCCACCTCACCTTCACTCATCGAAAACCATGGCCCAAGTATCACTACCCAACCGAAAAAAGGCACGCATGACCGAATCTGAGATTCGGTGTGCCGCATGCACACGGCTGTTCTCCAGTCAAGGCGCGCTCGACCTCCAGTCTACCGCTGGCTTTACTCACCACACCCGGAAAGGAGCCGAGGATTCAGTCAAAGAGGGTTGCTCTTTGTGCGAGTTTCTTGTCCAAGCTGGCAGAGAAAAGTTCGGGAAAGAGAAATGGCGAGCGGATGATTCTCTTGTGTTCAGAAGCCAGCCTCAGCCCGAAAATCAGGCAGCCCAACTTACGATATTGCAAGGGAGAGTCGAGGGCTCTAGCGAAATCTTAACCATCTACCCATTTACCAAAAGAGGTCAGAAGCTCTTTTATGACTATTTCGATGCATCTTGAAGCCTAATTCGAAGCAGGGGACCCTCTCGCAAAGCTCATTCCGCGAAGACCAGTACACCGAGATGTTCAGAGCAACACTGTCTTCGCCGCCGCCCAGAGACTTATTCACGCTTGTCTGAGGCCGGACAACCCCAGTGAGGGTCACGCGCTGTGCCGCTACTCCAGGGACACTGTCCTTCCCACTCGAGTCTTGGATGTCGGGGATCCTAACGATCCTAATTCTTCCGCGCGACTGAAGATTAATGAATTTGAAACTCATGGCTCTTACTTGGCTTTGAGCTATTGCTGGGGGAAGCGAGACCCGGAAGCGAATCCTGAGCCCCTTTTGCTACGGACAAATAGTTTGCACGATCTGAGGCGCCATATCCGACCCAGCACCCTGCAAAAGTCTATCCAAGATGCTATATTCGTCACTCGGAAGCTTGGCTTCAGATACCTCTGGGTCGATGCGCTGTGCATTATTCAAGATGACGAAGACGACAAGGACAACGAGATCTCACATATGGCCACCATCTACAAGAATGCTGCCATTACTCTGGCAGCTGGCACCGCAGAAAGGGCAGCTGAAGGATTCCTCGGCAACATTCCGTCGAGACCAAATGTCTATCTTCCAGAGGACAAATTCGCTATCCCTATGGAGAACAGTACCGAGTTCGGCACAGTATACCTCTCGGCGGACCCCTATGAGCCTAATCACCCTCTGGACAAACGTGGTTGGACGCTTCAGGAATTCATGCTCTCCTCTCGTATGCTCATCTTTTCCGACTATCAACTCCTCTGGCAGTGCAAAGAGGTTGAGTTACGGAGTGTGACGGGCGACAGCCGGGGTATGGAGTATCAGCAACCTCTTGAATCACTTCCTTGGACAATTTTCGATGAGGAAGCCGAACCCCGGTTTGGGACATCTGCTAGCGAGAAGCTCTACATCTGGAAGACCATCATTCTCCAGTACACAGAAAGGGAATTGTCAGACCCGAATGATCGGCTACGGGCTGTATCTGGCATCACCACAGAGCTCGAAAAGCTTTGGCGAGATTCGAACTTCTGGGGCTTGTGGCGACAATGGTTCCTATCACTGCTTGTATGGTACAAGGATGACATAGACAGAGTGGACGAAAGGCATCTCGACCGAGCCCCCAGCTGGTCCTGGGCCTCACTAGACGGCAGAATCAAGTACAAAGATCCGGTAGAGGTTGCGGATGCCGAGATAATGACATTGACAAAGGAAAGCGTGGTACTATCTTGCCGCATACTCAACGTGGATAACGATGACGAACCCGACGAATCCGACGAATCCGTGGAGGAATGGCTGGACCTTGCGGACAAGGTCTGTAAGGAGCATGGCCTGACTTATTTTTGCCCACCTGAGAGCCGGGACCAGTGTCGTCTGAATCTGATACGTCCACGGAGCAAGGAAACAGGCGAAAATAACCTGCTGTATCTTCTGCTAGGGAATGCGAAACCTGACAGCCGAGGTGGAGAGGGACTGGGGCTTGGGTTACTTGTGATGAAAGTCGCTGATGGACGTTATCGACGAATCGGGCTGGCCGTGTTTCCAGACATGTCGATCTGGAAGAGGGTTAAACGAAAGACTGTTGAGTTCGAACGAGAGCATTGATATTGGGTATTTCCGGCTTGAACATGTGTGGCATTTCACTTTTTCAATCTTTCTACTATTTTTGATAACTGCATTCATCATCATTGTGTATAAAATGTCTCAGTTCATCTATGAAACAATTGAATAGCTAAGCATAAGGTAGCACATAGCGAGGATAGTAAACCTTTATTACCCTGACTTATATCTCTCATTAAGGCGGTTACAATTATTAAGGCATTTAAAGACTATGTAAAATATATCTTAATATGCGTTATTATCACAATATAAGAAATGTTTACATTCAGGCAGCTGATTCATTGCTGCCTGATAGGTCAAACCCTCGCAGCCATGTCAGCTCACATTTTCACATCGTTTTTAGATCGACCTCTTCAGTTTATTCTAACCCTTACCTAAAGATATGAGACTCCTCCACACAACAAAGATAGCCGTCGTCGAGTTTATTGGCGTTCCTCCATCATACGCTATCCTCTCGCACAGATGGGAAGATGAAGAGGTCACCCTCCGCGACCTTGAGAATGGGCGTTCCAAACAAAAGAAGGGCCACCCCAAACAGAAGAAAGGCTATGAAAAACTCCAGGGGAGCTGCGCCCTGGCATCTAGCGAGGGGTTCGAGTACATATGGATTGATACATGCTGCATCGATAAGTCCAGTAGTGCAGAACTTTCCGAGGCCATCAACTCCATGTTTCAGTGGTATCAAGACGCCAAAGTTTGCTACGCCTTCCTCAGTGACGTGTCTAAAAGCACTCGCGTTCCCACAACCTCCCGTCAGGATCTGCGCAAAATAACTGCCTCGCAATGGTTTACCCGTGGCTGGACATTACAAGAGCTGATTGCTCCTCGGGCTGTTCACTTTTATAGCCAGGAATGGGTATATCTTGGATCAAGGAATGACGCCGCCGAAGCTATTCAACTTGCCACTGGGATCTCTACTAGAGCATTACTTGGGCAGGACCTCTTGAGTATATCGATCTACCAGAGGATGCAGTGGGCATCGGCTAGAACGACAACGCGACCTGAGGATATGGCATACTGCCTTCTCGGGATATTTGATGTCAACATACCCCTCTTATATGGCGAGGGAAAGAAGAAGGCATTTCAAAGACTGCAGGAAGAAATTCTTAGGAAATCGACGGATTTGTCCCTCTTCCTATGGAAGATACCCCGGAGTACGGGACAGGGCCCTGACTTGGAGTTTCGAGGTCTCCTCGCCGAGGACCCTTCATGGTTTGCCCCACGCGGATTTCATGGGTTCGAGGAAAGCCCGCGCCGGAGCATCTCGAGTATCACATCCTTGCAGGATACGGCCATAGGAATCACCAACAAAGGCATCAGCGTTCGGTGGACAATCATGCCAGTTCCAACTGACCCTGCCGGAACGCTCCACTTTGCCATGCTCGCTGGAACAGGCGACACCACGGGCGGTATTGTCATTCAGCGGTTGGATCAAGAAGCCACTCAGTTTTGCCGCGTGCTTTCCGATGAGGTTATCTGGTTCGACAGGAGGGGGAAGAAGATCGTGTTTCGGAGCCATGAGTTGTTGGGGGATCCGGAGAGGCTACTAAATGTCTCCCTCGACTCTGGGCCAAGGTCTTTCTACGTGAGTCCGCACTTCGGCTCGGCGAACAAGCCATCACTTCCTGGCGTGGGCTTCTCCTTCACCCAGCACAAGTGCATTGAAGGAAAGCCCCGTCTTAAGGATTTCTGGGCTGAGATAGAAGGTGCTTCTGTGGAGTTCTATCAAGATTTAGGTTCTGAAATCCCGACTTGGGTCGCACGATTTCGTCCTGAGCAAATTTCCGAACTATTTCAGACTTCCCGGAGGACAGGCGCGTCAAAGGCTTTGGGAGCATTGGCTATATCGGTTAAAGCTCGAACTAGCCATGGAACGTATATGTACAAGGTTAAACGTGATCATTGCGTTGTTGTGGGGGTCGACATTCTGCCGCAGACAGTCATCGGTACCACGAACACGTTCCTACAGCCATGGATCGTTAATACTGATGAGGCAAGCCCAGAAGCGGCTGTCCGAGATGTTGATTACCACCTAGAACCGGGAATGTGGAGGGAGGCTGACGTTGGTGAGGGAGATTGTCGGTGTAGTCTACGCAAGCTCACACGGGTTTCGGGTCTCTGGTACGATATCAGGATCATATTGGAGGGTGAATGGGATGACTGAGGCCTAAATAAAGCCATTTGTGTGTTAAAACTGAACAATATCTACGTACTCTTCATTTATCCTTTTTGTGAATCTTCTCGTGCCTCCGACAATCATTCATCCTCGCAAAACCCCTGTCACAAATGGAGCACTGGTATGGCCTATCCCCATAGTGACTCCTCTCATGCCCGCTGAGATTGATCTTCCTCGTAAAATTCTTGTCACAGATATGACACTTGAACCGCGCCTGGCCCGTAGCCTGTCGACGACTCAGCGGATCAAACATCGAAGGGCCCTCGGCCAACTCAGGATGGTAGATACGGACGTGACGATCCTTGTCTTTGTTTGTCGAGAATCCGATGGGTGCCGAGTTGCAGCTCAGGGGGCATGGGAACGGCCTGTCGTGTCTGTTCTCGTGGTTTTTACGAGCTGCCTCTGAGTCGTAGCCAACGTAGAAGTAGCGGCAGAGAGTACGGCGACATTTGAAGAGATGTAAGCCGTAAAGGTCCTTGATGTGCCTTTTGCCGAATGCATCGTCATCAGGCGCGAGCTCCTCTAGAACAGCCCTGTTTTCGAGGAGGGAGGTGTTGATCTGGGGGATGCCGACCTTGTTCTTTTCCTCGTCTTTGCTCTTATGATGGATGTAGATACGATTCCACAGCGTACGGAGGCTTTCAGAGAACGTCGTGCCCTCGAAGTTTTCAAGGTGGGTGGTGTCGAAATTTTCGTGTAGATCAGCCCTAATCTCCTCGCCGTGCGTTTTCATAAACAATTCCAGAGCTCCATCAAAATCACGCTGTTCCTTTCCCCAGGCCGCAGCAGGACCATCAAACAAGCTGCTGCACTCTCTGATGAAAGTGTCTATATGGGAGTCCCATTTGGAGCAGGCATAGTCCTGGAAGGAGAACCAACCGGCTTTGGCTTGATCCCGTCGCAGGGTTGATGCGTAGGTCCTGGTGAAGCAGGGAAGTGACAGATACCGCAGGCATAGGCTGGTTAGCTCGCATTGAACCTTCTTCTCGTCGATGTGCTTGTTGCTGATAATGTGGCTAGAAGTTGTCAGGTCAGCTAAGAATCAAGAGGGGGTGAGCAGAGAACACTTACCGCCGTGCTGTTGTATGGATCAGCCGGATATGATCTCCGTCGAGGACATGCACAATAGATCCCAGATATCTCCGCACATCGTTCTTCAACATCCGGTGGTCAAAGTCAACCTTTGCCTTTTCAGCGTCGAAAGACAGAATTGCTTGCATCTCATGCCACTTGAGGGGCCGCTTTGCGCAGACAAGCCATCCCAGAAGCAACTTTGACTTTTCCCACATGCGAGCACCTCCTCGTTTTTCCTTGATCTTCTTCTCCAAATTTCCGAGAAGCATTTCGTACCTATACCCATTAGTTCTGCCCCAGTACCTTTTGGGAGATTATGAACTCACATTGCCCCTAGTTCCTCCGGTAGGATATCTTCTTTGATCTCCTTTAGCAAATCTCCCTTCGTTATATGCTGCAAAAGGCTCTCAATAGCGAGGTGCGCGTACAGAAACGAGTCTACAGTGGTGCGTAAGTAGTGAGACTCATGTCTCCATCGTTGACATACCTTCGCTCCGACGGCAGATCAAGCTTTCAATTGAGTCCTCCTGCTGTCTGGAGAGATTGAAGCCCATGTCATCATCAGATTCCGAAAACTCGGGAAGCCTCTTCCTCACATATGCTTTGATATCTTCGGCGTTGTCGGTTGGCCTGAGAGCAATGATGGCATCATCGTCTGTCATGTATTTCTTGATCTCTGGTACCTCTCGGCTCATGATCATGAGTCGTAGTTGTCCATGCTCGTTCGCATTGTCGCACAGCTCAACCAGTTTGGTGAAGAACTCGGCTGTCTGTCGAATTTCTGCAGCCTCAAACTCGTCTAATCCGTCAATGATTATGTACTGTCTGGGGTTGTACTGCACGATGGTTTCGATCAGAGATTTGGCCGTGTCGGCCTCGGAAAGAGAAGTGCATCCTCCTTGTGTCATCTTATCATGACAAAGAGGAACAATGTAGTCATCCTGTTTCACCATCTGACAGAGAATTCCCTTGAGGATCTCCAGATAAGTCCTGAGCTCGGGATCTTCCTCCTGGCAGTAGAAATAGTACGTCTTGCTGTTTTTGGGGACCGGCTGATCTTCTCTTTGTCTGAGATCCTCCAACTCATCAATGACAAGTGAGGTGAGGATCGTCTTGCCTGTGCCCAAGTTAGTAAAAAGATTCTAAATACGAATAAGGTAGCACTTACCAAATCCTCTGTTCCCATGAAGCCAAATGGCCGATTGTGACAGACTCCCTTCATTTCCGCCCTCCGCTGTTAGCCATTCTGAAACACCTCTGTTCCTTCTGAATAGCCAGCGACCCGTATTCTTGCAGATTCTCATCCTGCGGAAATCATCCTGCAGCTTCTCAATCTCGGTTGAAGACGAAATCCAAGCAATGGTACTGTTTTTCATTTCCCTCTTCCTCTTTTTCTCTGTCTCCTCAAACTCTTCGCGAAGTTTGTTCAAGGCGACGTGGTAATTGGAGATATCTTCTTTAACTTGCCTAGGATTCAATGCCGGGTTTGGATCAATCCCTGAGTCTGTCCTCCGCTCGTGCGCACCCGTGCGATAGCTATCGGGGTCCCGAAACGCTTTGCCATACCCTTGAATCTTCGAGGCGTGCAAGCTCAAAGATTCAGCGATGTGGTTGAAGGTGGTCTTGTGATCTTTCCAGATGGGCTTGTGTAGTTTCTGCCAGACTAGAGAAGAATCAATTAGAGGCGAAACCTGGGGAATGGTGGATTCGTAGGCACTCACGTTTTGCGCGAAAGGTGAAGAAGAGCTTGTAAGCCAAGGAATGAAAGTGCTGCACATCCTTGTAGATGTTGACCAAATACTCCCGCGCCGCCGGAACGTCACGAAAGAAGCTCGTGTAGTCGGATACTTTGATAAGGCTGACGCCAAGGAGCTCGTAAGTATCAAGGATATTGTCGAACGCTTTTTCCGTGGGATTCGTGCGCTAATGAAGATCTGTTCAGGTATGAAAAGGGGCACCAGAGACCATTGCACATACCTTGAGAAGATATCGAACTGACCCCCAGACATACGACATCACCTGCTTGGCTTCTTGAAACCCGAGTTCAATAAGCGTGTCTTCGAAGTCGGTCATGTAGTCCATGAACAGTTGCAATCGATTCATGCTCATCATCTCCTTGGTTGCATCCCGTTGGGATTGGATGATGAGAAGATCCTGAGACAAATCATCGAGTTTGGTTGCGGCAAATTGTTCTGGGTCTGAGCCTATAAGCTGGCTCTGGAACCTTTTGGCCTCCTCACTGAGTTCGTCCATGTTGACGATCTGGACCTAAGCTCCCAAGAATCTCTCTCCAAGTTGAAGCAGAGCGAAGTTGAAACCATAAAATGACGAAAACAGGAGCAAAATATTGGGCTGACCGAAAAACGGCTCTGTCGCCCGGTTACTGAGGGCCGCATGAAGGCGCAGCTGAAATTACAGTCCGGGTCGCCTTGCCAAGTAAAAAGACAGGGCTGTAGAGGCGGCAGAGTGTTTTTCTGCCTCGGCGCAACCACATTGTGTTGCAAAGTGGCGGAGCCTGATGTTCAGATTGGCGAACCATAGGCCAAGATCGTCCGTTCGCGAACCATTTGTACAACAACACTGGTTGCCTCGCCGTATCAGCTCGTCTCACATGCGCATACACGCAGCATTTCATTTGCTGTTGCTTTGCGCCACAAGAATTGTGGTGTGTTGTTGGCGGCCTCATCACAGCCTGATTGTAAATGTAATTTGGGGGGTTACGAAAGACCCATCATCTGATGATCGCGTCTCATGTCTTACTTCTCTCCTGTTCCCATTGACTTGCCGTGAATAGCCCAGTTTGAGTTGGCAAGACTCGACAACGAGCAGTCATGGCAAGCCTCAAACACCTGCTCAATTCGTCTGACAGCGATGATGATATTCCAATCGACCCAGCCTTCAATGTCCCATTCATGGACAGACCCAACTTCTACAGCAACAATGCAACGAGTACTGGAGCCGAGTACAATGGGGACATGCCTCGAATGAGTGCCAATCTTGGCCCTGGGTTTATGAACCCAGAAAGGTGAAATAGCACGCATTGTCGAGATTTGGCCACTAACGAAACGAAGCGAAGTTCCCATCATTCAAGGAGACCAACCCCCCGATATCTTTAGCCAGATCAATGTCGGTGCAATTGATCTGGATCAAGACTTGCCAGACATGGGAGGGTTTGACTACCCCTTTGATCCCTCCTTCTTGGACGGCACACCCAACAGCTTCCTATCATCGCCGCCAAACATTGTCGATAGCACGGCTTCATCTCTTTCTCCACCAGACACGCAGTTTGGAGGCTCCCTAAGCTCATCAGTATTAGGCATCTCCAGTCAGTCGAGCGCTGGCTCGCCTCGAATGGATGCGTCCCCTCGGACGGACGCCTCGCAGACTGAGGATGGCGATGCCAGGATCTGTTATGGCATGGTGAGTTGGTCTGAAGGTTTTCTAGTGATACTTGAATATTGAATTGGTTGTGGTTAGCTGTACAATGTCGAAGTCAAGATGGGCGGCAACATGTCCACGGTAGACGAGAGACTCAAGGCCTGCCGTGAACGATACCAGCGCTTCACTCTGAAAGAACAAAAGGACCATCGAGAGCATGCTTTCCTTTGCTTCTCTGATGATGTGACCTTTGGACATCTTCGCTCTGGTATCGGAAAAGTTCTCCTGTCTCTCATGTCAAAACCGAATGTCGAGTTCGAGCCTATAGGCGAAACGCTCAAGCTGCGGGAGGTCATCGAGAGGGCTGGCAAGCCATCCGACGCAATCGTCAAGGTAAACATTGACGTTTACGGACCGCGAAATTCAGCCAAGGATGTCGGCGATGAACTCTCGAGAGCCAAGTTGTGGCTGCAGCGGTCAGACACCAGTCACATCATCAACCCAGGCATTGAGTATCACAACCCGCATTTCTTGCGCATCAGAATCAGAGGCAGCGATGCAGAGATCCTGCAGCCTTCGCAGCCAGTTGTGAACAATGCCACAGCGAGGAAACAAACGAGAGAAGAGCAGCTGCGAAAGATGGTGGAGGAGGTGTACAAGACAGTGGGTAGCAATCGTGATGTGGACAGGGCCGAGGGTGGCAGTCGAGTCACCCGAGAGCTACTTGAGTACTTTACCGGTACCCGTTGGATCATTCATGGGATACTAACAAGTTTATAGTCATCAAAAGGAAGCTTTGGGATTCATGCTGGAGAGAGAATCTGGTCACATTGCTGAAAAATACCGACTATGGAGAGAAGTCAACCACCCTGATGGAACCGTTGAGTCAGTTCGGCCTTTGCACTTCGATTATCAAGACTGACTCCTCTTCTAGATACATACAGAAAATCACGAGGAAGAAGAAAACTCAGAGACCAGATGAAAAGGGAGGGGGTATCTTGGCCGACGAGATGGGTATGGGAAAGTCACTTTCCATTCTCGCCTTGGTCATGAGGACCTTGGACCAAGGCCAAGAGTGGGCCAAAGAGAAGAATGAAGAGAATAAGGACAGAAAGTCTGTCAAATTCTCCCGCTCCACGCTCGTTGTGGTTTCGGCTGCTTGTAAGCACACACCATCAGATCCTAGCCATGTAGAGGATTCTAACACCAAGGATGTAGTGCTGATAGATAACTGGATCAGCGAGATTAAGAAGTAAGTGGCATTATCATTGGCGACCCCAATGCTAACTTAGCCAGGCATCTCAAGGCAGGTCTCCGGGTCATCAAGTATCATGGCAATTCCCGGAAGGATCAGGCGGACATTGGTGATTCTGATATCGTCGTGACAACATACCACACACTCTCTGCCGAGTATCAGGTGAAGAAGGGAAAGACCTCTCCTCTCCACCAGATTGGCTGGTATCGGGTCGTATTGGATGAAGGTGAGTTTTCCTTACGATTCGATGGCTGTGACAAGCTAACAATAGTAGCTCACATCATCCGACGTCCAACAACCACCTTCTATCGCGCCTGCAACTCCTTGGAGGCCTGTTCGCGCTGGTGTCTTACAGGCACCCCCATCCAAAACAAGCTCGCTGACATTGGGACCCTGTTTAGCTTCATCAAAGCCGATTCTTTCAAAGAACCCGCCGTCTTTCGCAAATGGATCGAAAATGCTTACGAGCAGAATGCCGAAGATCCTGAGCAGGTCAAGAACCGCCTGGTTCTGCTCCTCCAGGCTCTCTGCTTGCGTCGCACCCGAGAGGTGCTGAATCTCCCAAGCACAAGTCAAAATGTTCGAAAGCTTGACTTTAGCCCAGAGGAACGTGAGCAGTACACAAACACCAAGAACATCTTGGTTCGCACCATAAAGAACCGGGTTGGTGAGATTGAGAGCAGCTCCAAGTTTGGCCTGTTCCAGATGAGGTTGCAACTCCGCATTCTTTGCAACCACGGCACGTACCAAAAGGCCTTTTCGTGGCATCGCCGGAGTCTCCAAGACGAAAAGGAGGCGCTGATTGGATCTTTCGGGGGACATAGAGAGATGACCTGCGCTGGATGTCAACAGCCCATGCCAATCTTGGGATCAAACTGGGCAGATGGAGGGGGGTTCACGGACCATTGTGCGCACGTACTGTGCTCCGAGTGTATTGATGAGTCGACCTGGGCCGGCTCTGGAGTTCCTGCGGGACGATGTCCAGTGTGCGTGAGATGGAGTCAGCCCAGTCGCCATGCTAGCGGAACAGATCAGGACGTCGAGATGACCGACGCTCCAGTCAAGAAGTCATCAGCCGAGGATGACCACGAACACTACTTCAACAACACCGGCATCTCAACCAAGATGCGTGCCATCATCGAGGATGTCAGAGTTGATCTCGGGACAACAAAGAGGTGAGTTTCTAATTCGAATCGAGTGAAATCGGGAGTCTAATCCGAACAGCATCATCTTTTCCTGCTGGACACGAACTCTCCATCTCCTGTCTAAGCATCTAGAAGAAGCCAAAATCCCGTTCCACCAGATTGATGGCGATTGTCCTATTCCTAAAAGACAGGCAAAGCTTGACGCATTTGACAAAAACGATGACGTCCAGGTTCTCATCATGACCACTGGGACTGGAGCTTTCGGGTAATAATGAGAAGCCTCCATCCGCAATTGATATACTGACTTACTATCTAGGTTGAACCTGACCTGTGCCAACCGAATCTTCATCGCAGAACTCCAATGGAACCCAAGTGTCGAGAACCAAGCAATTGCTCGGGCCATCCGACTTGGACAGGAGAATGAAGTTCGTGTCACGAGATATATTATTAAAGACACGGTAGAAGTGGTCTGTAGCCCTCTATACAAGCCAAAGTTTATACATTCTAACTAGATGCAGGAAATGATGGCGCAGCAGAGGCACAAGAAGAACCTAGCTGCTCTTGGATTCGATGACTATGATGAGGACTGGATGGACCCTGAGACGCAGGCGCGTCAGTAGATGTATGCTGAGCTTCGGTATAGTATAGCTTTAGAAAAAATCTGAAATGTTTCTCAGACTTTCAAGCATTAAGTTGTCTTGTGTCCTTCATCAAGTTTTGAGTGAGCCCAAATTTGAAGAAGCCCCTCCACATGGAGCAATATCGTTGTCTCGAGAAGGCAGACCAGGAAGAAGCAAGTGTCTAGAGGTCCCAAAGGAGTGCATACCTATCTCCACTATTAGAGTATTATCTAATCCTTTATAAAAATCATGTAAGAATTTGTTAATCCCCTATCTTGGTTTTGATGTGCCTGGGAAGAGAGATGCATGCAGGCTTAGGAGCCACAACGCAATAGAAGTCCAAGCAGAATATCAGCAAACAAAAAGATCGGGAAAGAAATATTAGAAGCATGAATTTCTAATCAAACAACAAAATCGGTGCCAAGTCTTTGTCCAGAGTGCCAGACGGAAGGGGGCCTCAACAGTGGGCGCCAGCTATACCATCTCGGCTAACCCTACACTCTTCCAGGCGCATTTCATCCAAACTATTTTGTTTTTTTTTTTCGACCTTTACTATGGATGCCAACACACTGACTAAAAACCAGCCAATGCCCTCGTTGATATGCCGTATGAGTACTGCTGTATTTTAGTCGTTTCTCTATGCTTAGTCATCATCTTCAGATGACGCGCCGCGTCTCACAGATAGGTTGACGACTCAATCTTCTCCCTCTCTTCTCCCTCCACATCTCACAAATCGACTTTTGAGTGTCAAGGGTTAGCCTCTTCCGTCTCAGGCAAAATACTCTTACGGATCAGTGTATCAACTAGCACAGGTATGTATGTCTATCAAGATCAATCTGCACCGGGGGTTCCGTTACAGTCATTCATCTAGATTCATGGCGTCTTATCTGTACCTTGACTTGAGAGCAATCCCCACTCATCTTTTCCCATTCATTTGAGAAGTGTTGTATCATTATTAGCAGTCCTTGTCGCGTCTGAAGCCAATACTAACACTGGTATCCGCAGAGACACCTTCTCAACACTCAGCCGGCTTCACACCTCCAGGATGAACCCTCATCAGATAATCGAGCGGCCAAGGCGTGTCCGACTACCGATAGAGATTCTTGTCATGATCATTGAGCTCCCCATTCAAAAAGATTCCAAGGCCATCTTGCGAGCCTCTGATCCCATCACGAAATGGCTTTTGGCGTTTACCAGAGTTTGCAAGGCCACATACCCCACGGCATCAAAGCTTCTCTGGCGATTCTGTCTTTGCATAGACTCGAAGCAAAGAGCTCTAGATTTCATGCGGTGCCTGGCAAATCCGCTCTATTACCCTCCAAGAGAACCCTGGAAAGTGCGTGATGAAGCCAGGCTATTCCTCGCTCCATTTCCTCAAAAGATTGAGTCTCAGAATTCCAATGGAGAGTCTGAACCTGGAGTGTCAAGCGCTCCCGTCGAGGCAGAGCCCCAAACAATCGAGCTTCGAGAGCCGCCCCCTCACAGGCCCAACCCGAACAGACACAGAGATCCCGCCGATTCAGATAGTAGCTCAGAAATCAGCTATAGCTCAGACTCCGGCTCTGTCCGCTCCTTCATCTTTCGATATCCACCATCACCTCTCGACGACCTTGAGACAGCTCGGACTACACAAGGGATTCTCGCCACCCTAGCACCGATATTAAAGACACTCATCATTGATATGCCACTACGATCCCTCCATCCTCGTGCTGACGAAAACGGCATCCGCAGAATTCTAAGACGAGGCTTCGAAGCCTTGGAGAACCTAGAGGAAGTTGTCAGCGTCCATGATAACCTTTTCCTCGAAGCCACAATGGAACCTGACGAGGAAGAAAACGTCTGGGCCACGTGCTGGCCAAAGCTGCGTCGTCTTTGTCTCTACGGCCAGGAGGTTGATGAGGAATTCTGGGCCACCCTAGCTCACCATCGTCGCTTGGAAACTGTCGTCCTTTCAGACCCAGCGCCGAAATACTGCCTAGCGGCTGAATGGAACATAAAGGGACTCTGGTTGGATAACTTGCCCGGAAAACGAAAATACCCACGAAAGATGTCCTTGGTCTTGCTTAACTGCATTGGTCGAGAGGTTGATTTGAGAATGTATGCTGCTTCATGGCAGAAGCTTGACCCCAAAAACCGAGTGAATATTCGGGATTTCACGCTTCAAACACCCCTTGTTGAGGCCTACGACGGGCCTATGGAGAACTGGCCTCTTGGTCCAGCAGACCTTTGTCAGTACTTCATCACAGAAAAGGCGCTCAATGGCACACTCTGGAATGATGTTTTGAAGAAGCACGAAGCATGGTTGAAGGATCCTGGTCCTCGCAAAGAACGTGCTCAGTATTACTAGGGCTGATTAAACATGGAGAGTTGTCGAAAGACAGGGCTTATCTTTATCCCTTGGCAGCATGTCCCTCATCGTGATGCGTGGTTATTTTGGGGGCATTTCGCATGATTTATTCCGTTCGGGGAATAGAGACGAGCTCACTTGGCATGGGCTGTGCCGGCGTACATATGCCGTCAGCAAGTAGCTGCGTAACTTAGTGAGATCCTTGGCATTGTGGTCAGCTTGTTCAACTGAGCTGAGACTGTGATTTGCAAAGGGTGAATCAATAAACCTTAATTGTAGTCTCTAACTGGCCGTGAGTTAGACTTTAGCAACTTTAACATATACCATATGTTTGAGGGCTTTTGCGATCCATGAGTGGCAGAGATGTTTCTCTCCACAACCGTGAACTCCCATCGGAACTCTCGGATGCGTGCTCACATACCCTTGCTTCGTAAAACCGACCCCAACCTATCAGAATACCTGCCTCTGCATTATCTGCAACGATCACGCCAAAGTCCCATCACGTCTGTAGATGTATCTGTGGAGACTTTGCGGAATATCAACCTCAGCCCCTTGTTCACCCCCGCTCACCCGCTCCATTCCACAATCAGGTTACAATGTTCCAACGGCGCAAGATATACTCAGATTTGGCTACTGTCTTGGCATGTCATCTCGACTTTTAGGCGAGGCACCGATACGAGGGTTGTTTGTGGTTCAATTCGGGTCTGGTCTCACGTAATACCGCTTCCTTTGCTCCACAGTCTCAGCCTCTCTGGTTTGGTTGATAAACATCAGGGTTTTTTCCCATGTCGGACAAGGAACTGGTTTTGCGAGGTGATACACGTGGTGGCGGAGCTTGTTCAGTGGAAAAAACTGGTGCCTTGGTGGGGAGTTCTTTTGTTGGTAGGGCCCATGTTTTAAAGGAAGCGGGTTCACTGTGCGTAATAAATCTTTATTTGTTGTCGGCTTTGGCGCTTTGATTGCGTTCCTGCTGTCAGCGGTCGTTCGTTCGTTCAAAATGCGGCCTTTGCTCGCGCTGATACTACCTCTAGGATGGCCGCTCCTGGTGGCATCCTCCTCGCCTGAGCCGTGTGCACTCGTTACTGAGATATCCAACGAGAGTGGGAGTTTGATCGTTAAAGTCCCCGCTCAATTGGCCCACGAATGTCTTTTGTCCATCCCCTTTCGCTCGGATCTTGCCAGCGAGTTTATCCAGGAGATCACCAAGCACATCCAATGGCACTCTACAGTCGACGCCCTCAAGGACCCCCCGGCTACATACACTTCATCAGCTACCGACATTCTGGGTGGCCTGGAAAAGATTGGCCGGACAAATTATGCGAGCCATTACGAGTTTGATACTGCCATCTCCAACCTCCTCAGTAGCGCCAACGATGGTCACCTGGCGATATTCCCATGTACGCTTTCGATATTCGACTTTTGCCTGGAAGACGCGGGGTTAGTGTCTGTCTCAACGGATGGTATCCAGGCACCCGAGGTGTACACTCTTTCAGATTCTCTGCTTCTCAACAGCACCGTCGTCCAGGTCTCTCCTATCGTGTCAATCAATGGCAAGCAAGTCAACGCGTACCTCGAGGAGATTGCCTGTCCCTTGAAGAGCCGAGATCCTGATGCTCGGTATAATCGAGTCTTTTACTCTCTCCCCAGCCTAGCAACGGGAAATACCTCTCCGACTGGTACCTTTATCGAAAGGGACGGTGTGTATCCCGGCTCTGATGTCACAACGATCGAGTTCCGGAACGGTTCAAGTAATGTACTGAATACCCTGGCGATTCTCAGAAAGTCGGGGTTTTCAGCGAAGGACGGAAGTGATGTCTTTAACAATTACTGCCTTAACAAGCAGCAATCTCCGTATTTGAAGCGCAGATCTACGAATACTGGCGAGCCAACACCTTACGTACAACCTCCGAAGCAGTCGGGACCTTCCGGATATCCCGAACCTCTCATCCGTGATCCTTACGGCCAAATTAACGGCTACGCCCTAGATGACGATACGACTGTGATACTCGTCCCTACTTTCACCACTGCTGGAGGTGGATTGCCTGGCAACCAAACGCGAGTCTTTGCCGAGACCGCAAGCGCGATCGTCTTGAATGCTTTGGCCAATGGACACACCAAACTCATCATCGATGTATCTGGGAACTCGGGCGGACAGATCGACAGGGCTTTTGACCTGTTCAAGTTATTCTTTCCATCGAAGGAACCTTATTCAGCCACCAGATTTCGACGACACGAGGCATCTGAGGGTGTAGTCAAGGTGTTTGGGGGTATCAGCAAGGATGCTGCTCAGATGAATGCTCCCTTGGCCTACGCTGGACAAGTCACGCCAGGCCAAGAGGCCGGCTTCGAATCTGCAGAAGAGTTTCTCGGCGACGACATAGAGCTGGGAGGAAAGGTTAGTTCGCTTTACGCCAACTACAACTACACGTCCAATTCGATCAAGGCTATTCCGATACGAGGTTATGGTGGTCAGCCCATCAACATGACGCAGCCTTTCAAAGCAGAGAATATCATCATAATTGGCGACGGTGTGTGTGCCTCGACTTGCACCACATTTGTCAACTTGATGACCAATGTTGGCGGTGTCCGTACCGTATCCTTCGGTGGACGTCCAAACGGGAAGCCGATGCAGCTCATGGGAGGTGTCCGTGGTGCAGAGTCCCAGTCTTTTTCAGGTCTCGCCCAATGGACGAGCAAGGTGTTGGAGATATTGGGCCAGTCGATGAAGCCTGATGGAAGCACTAATTTTCTATCAAAGGAGGAACTCAAAAGGTTGAAGGAGGTGCTTCCGCAAGATCCGGGTCAATTCCCCATCTCTATCAACGGGGGAAACGTCAACTTCCGCAACGCGTACCAGGAGGGAGAAGACAACCTACCCCTCCAGTTTCAATACCAGGCCAGCGACTGCCGCCTCTACTACACTGTTGATAATATCTACCGCCCGCATACGATTTGGAATGCAGCCAAGGAGGCTATCTGGGGAGCAGGGACCTGCGTCGTAGGGTCTACAGATGGTGTTGGTTCTCTTGAGTACAAGAGTAAGGGGAACGAGACGGGGGTTTATACGAGTAAGGAAACTGGCGGAACGACGGAAAACAAGACAGAAGAGGACGAAGGCATAACCAATGCAGCGGTCGGCGTCAGGGTCGGCTGGACTTGGCTTGTGCTTGCCGTTGTTATTATAGCGGTACTCCAATGCTGATATATGAGGTGACGGCGACTGAACCTATCATGATAATGTATTCAGACAGTGACTATACACCAATCACAAATGTATTCAAACCTATTCAGTTTTCGCTACCCAAAACTCCATTTAATTCCCTTTCAACAAGCGCTACCAGTACTCGACGGAGTAGAACCACCGCTCTCAGACAGATTCAAAGAAGACAGCTCTGCTGCCAACTGCGGTATCCCCCAGGGGAGGCTCTCCCACGACACCATATTTTGCTTTCTAGCAATAATCATGGTCTCATATATACCTGCAACCTCTTGACTGTCCCAGATCCCTTCTCTCCGACGAACTGTGCGTAGCAGGGATATCGCTCTAAACTGTGTGTCGACATCCTCGCAATATGTGCACACGAGGGAGAGAAGTGGTATCAAGTAGCCGTTGAAAGCAAATACAGGTGTCGGCCTTCGGTTTTCAATTTCAACCAGCACCTCTGCCCGCTTCAGGATCTTTTCACCGTCATCCCTTGGAATCACCTGCTCGATCGTCTCAAACTTGACCAACGCCTGCCAGACGGCCTGGTGCATGTCGAGAGATGCAAAGGCGCTCTTCTCTTCTGTTGATGGCTCCACGTACTTCTCTTCACGCTTGGTGAGTTCATAGCGGGCATCCCACGCAGCAAATGCCCGTCTCGAAGCATCCAGTGCGGCCTTTCCCGCCTGGTAATCAAACTCCCACCCTGTAATGCCCATGCATGACGTCTCTAGAGGCCTGATTGGTCTGGGGCCTGCCACATACTCGATGTATGTCTTGTCGTAGAATTCGTCGACGCGCTCCAAGTAGAAGGCTGCTTCAACGAGGTCGGAAAAGGGTGTCTTGGGGTCGCCCATGTGACCAGCGCGAAAAGGGAGGATGAGGTCGTGGAATGTGTCGCTTCCCACATAAATGGCAACATTCTGCCCAAGTCGGTAGAACATTTCGGTGACGAGGTCAAACAAGCTGTATTCGGCCTCTTTCCCATTCGTGGGCTGAAACAGGGATGACGGTACATTCCCAAATTTCATCTCGGCTCGGACAGAGTTGAGTAGCTGACACCCAGCCTTGAGGTGTCGTATCGACTCTTGGTAGCGTCCGTGTAGACTCTCAATGCAGATAAATATGACACAACATATGAGAGTAGTCTGGAGGTTCATCTCAGAGTTGTCCTCCATGAGTGGCTTCATATGTAGTATAGCCTGGTTGTACTTCTGAATAGAGGCATACTCAAACTCGGTCGCCAATGACGACGATGTGGCGTCTTCCTGGTAGCCAGCCACAAAGCGACGATGTGCTCCGCCAAGAGCGCAGAGTGCATGCTTGACAGGTTCAACGGTGTGGGCGAGTGGTAGCACAAAGTTGCGCCAAAACAGGGACCCGGAGAGAACGTCGAAATCCATAATGGTACACTCCCGGGCGTGGTGGAAGAGGGCGGCGTCGGTTGGGGAGCCGAGATTCTCGATCGACAGGGCAGGTCTCAGTGCCGAGAGGGCCCGGCAGGCTGGAAGCTTGGGCTTGGACTGGTACTGCACCAGTTTCAACGGTTTCTTTGGTTTGACGACGGGGGCTTTTGGATCTTCGTAGCCGTCGCACTTCTGTCTATCTTTTTGACATCGTTGACATACTGGCTTCTGTTCGTCACACTTCAAATGCCGGATTCTATAGAGCGGGATCAGTACTCAGGGATGTACCACGGGGACTTTATCTGAACAACTAACTTGCTGCCAGGGGGTGTTAGCATACATGGCCACTCAAACACACTACAGACCAAATGATGACGACATACCAGGTCTTACAGCCAGTCCTCACCCGCGGCGCCTTTGCCCTTGTCCACTTCTTGCGTGGTGGTTGCTGAGGCTCAAGCGGAGCCATCTTGGACGAAAACTACGAGGGGCCCAATCAAGTAGAGGCAAAAGGGTTCACCTGTCGCGTGGCCAGACTTGCAGCGGCCGTAAAGAATATTCGGGAAATTCACACGATACCCTTGGCGGCGCTCCCTCGATGGTTAAATGGTTTGGGGGACGCCATGGACATGATCCCGGAGACATAGCGGGTCTGGCGGCTGCGAGCGACGCCATTGGCTGGACCGTAAAGGATACGAATACTTTGCCGTTTCCGGTAAGGATCCAGCTGAGTGACAGTGCTTGGCTTCAGCCCTGTGACAGGGACGTTTGTCTCGTGCGTGGCTGTGTGGTCTGGACCTTTCCACGAACGGGTCTCATGTCTCGGCCAGTTTAAATAATGAAAACATCCCCTTTTGACAAGCGTACGTGTTTGGACGACGTAATCAAGATCGAGCTGAAACCATAAATCCAGCTCCGTCATTTGAACGACATGGCTATCTCGGAATGCCAAGAGGCTTGGCTCTAGGCATCTTTTATTCGAGGCAAGGCTTTCTCTCAGCCAATAACTCAAACGTTGACTGATTCTCCTATTCAGATATTGGAATTGGATCCCTGAGTCCTTTTGCCTCACCGTCTGAGTCGTTTGACATGCATATCGTCCGTGCAACATGGACCAACAACACGAGAGCAACCCTAAAGAGGCCGCCAAGCCTCCGAGAATCAATCATGACTTTTGAAGGAATAAGCGCTATTCAGTTTATACTGTTAATCGGAGAGATTCTTATGCCGGTAATTGGGTCTTGGTAAATGTTTCGTTACATTTGCAAAGAAAAATATTGTCTCGATCGACATGTGAACTGGGTCACGTGGGTGCCGAGATCCGGGTTTAGCCGCCCTTGGAGCCCCTCTTCTTTTGACAACTCATGACTCTACCACTGAGAACCTGCAGACGTAGGATTTCAGGCAGACAAGTTAACGAGATTGGGCGGAATTATCCGAGACACCTGCTGTTGAACACGCTCCACTTGTCTCTTGGCCCGGATTACCGCCATGACGGCGAGAAACATCCGTTTCGACTCTCTTTGTCCTAACCGAGAAGTAGCAACTCAGGGTAAGTCTACCAAAACTACTGTTATCAATACAAGCTCTGATTTTACGAAACAGACTGTCCTCTTTGCGTTAAGCGACGGATCAAGTGCGATCGAAGCCTACCGACATGTGTCAAGTGCGCCAGCCGAGACCTGGACTGTCCTGGTTATCATCCTGTTCCGCTCAGATGGAACCAAGGGGTGGCAAGCAGAGGCAAGTTTGCCGGAAAGTCAACTCCAGTGCTTGATAAAGACATTAGAAAGGCAAAGAAGCACAAACTCTCAAAACAAAGAACTGCAGAGGCCGAAGTCTCTTGTAACAGTCCTCAACCTGAACACACACCGTCATTACCAGAAGCAACCCTTGATTTACACATACCTACAAACATTCCTCATCCATCTCAAGACCTTGATCTCGTTCATAATATCTCATCCATCACACTTTCCAACAGTCTTCTCAACCACTTCTGCACCAGAGTCATCCCTCGACTGACCTGGATCGACCTTCCCGGCAGTCCGTGGCGAAAAACGATTCTACCTCTAGCCCAGAACTCGACTTGCCTCCGCCTCGCGATAAGCAGTTTAGCAGCTGCTCATATACATACGACATCGACCGAGACTACCGATCAGACGGCACGACTCCTTCAGATGCAGACATGGCTCAGGGATGAAAGTCTTCGGGTCTTGAATCAAAAGATGCGACTTGAGTTACAACCAGTCCACAGAACAGTACAAGCACAAACCAGCCAGTCTTTTGTCGAGATTCTCACGGCGATGCTGGTTCTGTGTTACACTGAGGCTTTTATCCCTGGATCAAGGGACTGGAAACTCCATCTGAATGCCTGTCGAACGCTCATCAACTTTGGCAACCTAAGAACACGCAGAACATCACCAAACGGCATCGAGAGCTTCATACTCAAAGAAGTAGCCGATCTTGACACACTATGCAATATTTCCGTCTTTACCGATGACTCGACTTCATTATCCGAACCCTTTGGCGATACAAGAATATGGTCTTTTACAGGAGTGATAAACGACATCACAACGGTCGAGAGACAACGCCACCATGCCCGACGAAAAGGGCAACAGCTGGCAGACATCGACATGGAAGAATGGCGCCAAAGGGCTCAAAATGCTTATACCGAAGTTTCTGCCAAAGCCAGCACATTGTCTGGGGACCAGGACATGCAACAATGCTTCCAGGCTGTCGTCAGGGCACACTACCACGCCACCATCATCTACAGCTACCAAGCCTTCGCTCCCGCCGAAAAAGTCCAAGAACTTGTCAAATCCACCATAGACATCCTTCTACGCGAAATGCAATCCGTCCTAGCAGGACACGTACATACATTCTCCCACGATCTGTTTCTTCCATGCTTCATCGCCGGGACAGAGTGTCGGGGAGACAAGCTGAGGCAGTCCATCATTGAAAGACTGTTTCTTGACTCGTTGTCTGTGACAGGGCTCTGGTGCAACCATACGGCCCTTCAGTTTCTCACGACTTTGTGGGGGAGTTCTGAGTATGAAATGGGTATGAACTGGATACAGTATGCCCGGGAGAATGAGGCACGGGTCGGTACGTTTATTGCGTTTTGATTCGCCTCTTTATTTCATTCATGACCCCCTTGCGTGGTACGGAGGGTCAGGGATACGTTGGCAGCGATCGACTCGACTTGATGTACCGAGTACAACACCACCAAGAGATACCCAAAGCTACATGATTGAGCGTAGACTTTAGTCCGGTCGTGCGTGTTCAATACGTTCTATTCAGTAACTGGGACTGGCTCGACTGAGACAGATCTCATCGACTCGAGTCCAAGTTCAGCTGCTTCCACTTTGCCTCCCAGCCCCGAAAGAATGGACTCTCAGGCAATGTTTGATGCTGCCAATCCTTTTCCATGATGCCATTGTCAATCTGATACCTCTCATACTCGGCCAAAGCTGGCTTGAGTATGTGTTCAACATGCCACACACTCTTATACCGTATTAAGTTCTCCTTGCTATCACTGATAACCTTGAGGCTTAATGAGGGAACATATGGCTCATCCTTCAAGCTAGTTACCGGTGTGAAGAAGGCCTTGAAGTTGAAGACGATGGCGCCTGACAGCGGGAGTCGGCGCAGCGTCTGCCAGTCGACGCGAAAGTATAGATCCTCGAGACGAAGAGACGGATCTTGGGAGTCCCGAATTCTCAGGCCAGGGTCTTCAGGAGGGATGTATAGATGTTGGCCAATCTCAAATCCCCATGCTCCTCTCTGAATGGGCTTTGACGCCGGCATCTTTGTGAAGAATCTAGAAATGTCAAATCAGACAGGGTGTCTCGCTTAGTCGTGTTGACGAAAAGTACTCACCGATCCATACTTAGCTGCATCTTCTCCCTATAATCAGGAACAGGTTCATGGATCTCGGGTAGACCCAGGCCGAGTTTCGTTCCCAGACTCCATCCAGTTGATGCGCAGATGACGCCAGCCCGGAAGTGGTATCGTCCGGTCTGAGGGTCTCGAAGCATGATGGCAAAGTCTTCAGGGACGTTTTCCAACAAAACATGCAGGGGATCAGCCGTTGAAAGGTCATTTTCAGTGCCGAGTATACGGTTGATAAAGGTGTTGCCGTCCAGTTGAAAGTAGTGGGGATACCGGGCGCAAAGGAATTGTATCACCATCTCCATAAGCTCCTTACAAGCCAACTCGGATCCAGGCAATGCATTGAGAATATTCTTCCCGTTCTTGGCAAAGATATCCTTTCGTTCCTGAATATAGCGATGGTACGTGTTATCAAGTTCAATCCAGTAATCCGTCTCCATCTTCTGGAACGCTATTGTCAAGGTCAGCATGTAGATATCGATCAAAGAGGGGTGCTTACACATAGTCTGGTGGTATGGCCATCTCAGAGGCCTGTATGGCCTAGGCGGAGAAGTCTTGATGTCGAAATCCTCAGCCGGCTTTGGCAGGGGAACCTCTGACAAGGCCGCGTCGTTAGGAAAGTCGCCCAACTTCAAGACATCGCCAACGGTGAATCCGCTGTAAATGAAGCGCTCGGGGCTTGCAGTTGCATAGTCTTCGTTCATACCAAGTACCAGCCTAGACAACTTCGATGTTTCCACATTCTGATCAGCGTGAGGAAATCGGGAGTCGAAGCTGCTCAGAACCGGGCGCTGCGATGGTGGGAACACATCAGAGTAATCTTGGCCGGCTTTGGAGCGTTTTGGACTCGCCGCCAAGCTAAGATTCTTCTCTCCTCTATTATTTTTGCGTTTTCGTATGAAGTAGACAGCAAAGAGGACAATAGTGACGTAGCATATTGCCGACAGAACCTCTGAGGGGAGAACGGGCGGTTGTAAACCAAAAGACATGATGAAAATTCCAGACAGTGACAGTCGGCAAGAAGTACAAGGAGAGTCGTTTGCACTCTTTTACTAACACTCTACTGATGATCCAAGTCTGCCATTTCAGCCATATCTTATACCCATCCCAAATTCCGGGTTCCCGGTATCGTCTTCACCAAGTTTATCCCAAGCCACACAGGAACAAAGTTTCTCGCCAGGACTTCTCTTCTCGGATTAGCCCACAGCTAAAGAAAGCTGATAGAGGTGCATACTTTCTCCCCCCACCTCCCACATCAGTGCTAGCTCGAGCAACGTGGAGTCATCTGATGGCCATCATCTGCACCTCTATGTGAAGTCAAGTCGTTTCGAGGACTGCCGATGGGCATCATGTTTGTCTGTGCAAATCAGAAGCCTGTTATTTTTGGGATTTGTTTTCTCGAGATAAATTGATATGGTGATTGCTTGTTTGGCCGGTTATCTACGCTCTTGGCTTTGCCCGGGCCGGTTTAAACATAGCGCTTGTGGAGACTGATGCAAGCGAGGATCCTCAGGTAATTTGGAGCCTTGTTAACTAGATCGTTGGAAACAAAGGGAATACTGGCAATTGTAGATGCTCACGGCCTATGTTCCATACTACGAGAAACTAGGAGAAATCAGGTCGCATTTAAAGATTAAGTCATTGTGTCTACCGTCGAATAATGGTGAGGAACCCCTACCAAGTTCAACATAGATAGATGTCGAGGCTGTCATACCACCGGCTCAACTACCACATCTCGGCAAGACATCTACAATTTAAGATACACTGGTCCGGCTCTAATATTCGGCAGTTCATTGTTCAAAATACGTAACATTGTACAACTGTAGGCGCATCTCAAAGTCCGGACAAGCCCGTGATGGAGATGATGTTGTTGAGCCAATACGCTATGCCCAAAACAGCAGGCCCCGCGAGAAAACTCCACAGGACCGGTATCGGTACAAGACAACCACCAAGTATGAACGGAGGAGGGTCTTGAGGCGGATGACGGAGTCAGATAAATACCTTGCGCACTCCTGAAAGTTAAAATGAGAAGTCATCAGAACGAGATTTGTGATCACTTGTACACTCCCTCCTTGACACCATGCAAGTTCCTATACTCGCAGCGGGCATCTTGCTCGTCATCTGCCTGATTTACGCCAAGGTAACAAAGTTCTCTGAACGTCTTGAAGCTCAGTATGTTGAGAATTTTGCGATCAAGACTTGGGCGGGCCGCCGAAAACAAACAGCGTCAACCCAAAATCTGCCATATCCAGAAGAAAAGCCAGCAGCCATTACGCCCCTGGACAACTTTGACTGGAGGACAAAGAAGCCACCCCAGTTCAGAGGTTTCAAGCCCAAATACAACATCTCTATGGGTGAGTATCTCATACTATCTTCCACATGCCTGCTGACTGTATAAAAAGGCATCAGACGTGATACTCCCTCTGAGCTGCTATCCATTGACCACGACTACCTGGATCGCGTCAACCAGCGCCGAGAGATTCTCAAACAGCATGAAGATACGGTCTGCGGGTTCTTGCCGGGAGGGGAGCAGGCTGTGCTGGAGATTTACGACTACTTTCTTACAGAGTACCTCCCTATCCGATATCCCACCATGTTTCAGCTCTCCCAGGATAAAACCATCTTCAACAATCTCGTCACCAACAGATCCTTCCCCACAAAGCCCCAGGACGTCCGATCTGCGCTTCTCAATCTCGGCGAGATTGTGGAAGAGGAACTCTTCTTGCTCATGCCAGACTCTGACAGTTACCGACTCGTCGCTTACGTCTGTTGTTTCCCATCAAGTTTCGACCCAGCAGAAAAGCTTGGGCTTCTGCTGAGGGACATTCACAAACCTGTTCCGGGGTATGAAAAGATTGGGCCGAGCATGGAACGATTCTTTGCAAAGTTGCAAGTTGGCAGCCCCATCAAGCGACAGAATGTGAGTACCAATTCACACAAAGCAAACTCTTCAGAGACTCACATTCCATTTCATAGTGGTCGGTGCAAGTTCACCCCGAGTTGTTTGACTGCGAAGCAAACCACAGAGTAAAGAGTTACGACGGTCCAGGTGAACCAAGCATAGAAGATGCAAGTCTCCAACACTCGCTTCCCAAGAGACTCTTTGCTAACGGACTTCAGACCTTTCTACGATCCGAGCTACAAACCCTAACTCGATTTCCAAATACCCAAGCCATACTCTTCAGCTTCAAGACATACTTGTTCAAGGTGACTGACGTCAAGGCGCAGGGCCAGGGCCCCGAGTTTGCAGAGGCTATCGAAGGCATCCGGCATGGTAATGTGCCGGAAATGTGGGAATACAAGGGTGCGCCTAGATGGGGGGAGACTGTTTGCAGATACTTGCGATCATGATCTACGTACACACGTATTTAAACTTAGTCCAAAATAATTCTTTGTTAACGACATGGTCACTGCCTGTTTCTCCTTCCTCCCAAGATCAAGCCGTTATCTTGCTTTCTGGAAGAAAGGTTCTACCAGAATCGCTACCAGAGTGTTTTAATACGCCAACAGAAAGAATATTCCCCAGTTGTGATCGAAGTTTTAAAGTGCAGCACTAAATCATAGAATGTAAGAGCATGTCACTGAAGACGAGTGAGTCACTAGCTGCGACAGAGGAAGCATCTCGGCTGAAAGAGCAGGCATATCTTCACTGAGCTTCACCCGTCGCCACGATGCTGAGCTTCAAATCCAATTAGAAGTTTTCAATCCCGACTGACTCATTTTGCCAGTCCTCCTTGGAGTTGTTGGCCTTTGTTGCCAATATGCTGCAACGTTAAGTCACAGTCTCAAATACCGTAACACCATGCTCCCGGGCCGTCACATAAAACTCCCCCTAAAGGGCTTTTTATTTTGCCAAGGATCGTCTCAACATCGAATTCATGGCTTCTCTGATTCCTATGGACCAGTACGGTACCTCTTGAGTTAATCATCGAGCTCAGAAAGCAACATCAAGCCAAATGAGCAAGAGAGATAAAGTTAACAGCACCGAAGCCATCATGCCCAGTGCCTTTCAGCAAATGATTCACCGCTAAATAAGACCGCCTTGAGAACTTCAGGGACCATGCAGGAGTCCCGTCAGTTATGGTGGGAGACTGGGTCATGCTCCCATGTCTAGCCTCCAAGGGTCCCGAAATTATAGGAAGCATAGAAAGAGTGAGTTATTTCTTCATATGTCACGTTTTCGTCTAATAAAACGAACAGGTCAAAAGGCAGACGGTCATATTTATGTCATTTTAAAAACACCAGGCCTTACGATTGCCCATATTTTCCTACACGCAACAGGCCTACATCATTTTTCCATCACACATCTGAAGCATGTCTCACTAAACCACCCACTCCACTTCCAGTTCGACAACGCTCGTTTCGCTTTCAAGCCCCTCCCGAGGGCCCCGGGCGAAATAAGACTACAGTTCCACTAGCTAATGCGAGAAGGGAATCAAGAACTGCGATGGGTTCTCCCACGAGGAAGAGCCGGACCAACCGCACACGGTAAAATGCCCAAATTGCTGATGCGAACTATCGATTTCCTCTTTAAGGAGTTACTTGCCCATTTATCAGGGACGAGAGAGCTGGCGAAAAGAACAGGGGGCAAGAAGTTGCCATGAGAGAAGGATACATGGGGCCTCTCTCTACCCACAGGAGGATACACCACGTTCTCACGCCTCATGGAAGAGAACATCAAGCCATCCAAAACCTTTCCGTCAAATATTCCCATTTATACCGTCGCCGCAGTGGTAAGGATTGCCAAGAAGATAGAAAGATTCTCACGGGTCACCGGACGTCCAGACTAGAGGTTTGACAACCTTCCTCCTGAGAGTCGAGCGTATTACTAAAAAGGAGCCATCGTCTGCGCTGCCGCCCTGTCCGTGTTAATGATAGAGCTGTGGTCTGTGAACATGATTGTTGGTGGTTTCTCCTTGGCATCTATGTATTTTGTCGTCTTCCGCAGCGTCCAGAGGAAGCCTGCTGTCTCCAGCTCCGTGCTCTAGTATCGTTTCTCCACGTCCGAGAGTATGCGAGAGTCTCTCAGGCGCCATCCTCGTCCGCAGTGGGTTCTATGTCAGAGGTCTGGGTTGTATGCGAGCCTGTAATTGATAGATAGCATGTTCGCCCTCAAGTTTTCCACCTGTATCATATCTTTAGTGAAGACCGCTGTTGCGTGTTGCCCATTTCATATTGTGCTGACAAAGTTCATGGGCATGTCAATATATTTGTCCGATGTGTGTACATTGTCTCCGATGCCTCTTCTCTTTAATTATTTCTCTAATCTTTATGCCAGACTATGCACCAAAGTATGCCAATATAAGCTCGCCAGCTTCTCGCTTTGCGCCCTACTCACACCGTTCACATTATACATCCATCCTATCCTTATCACACATCCATCTTATCCTCATCACACATCTATCCTATCCTCATCACACATCTATCTTATCCTCATCACACATCCATCCTATCCTCATGATACATCCATCCTATCCTCATCATATATCCATCCTATCCTCATCATACATCATGTCAACCTCCTTCACTCACTCATTTCCCACCAGGCACAACACTCGAAAGCGAATGGCGATCCGGCGGCACATAAACCTCCTTCACCTCAGCACTCTGCCACAGCTGAGGCGAGTAATACACTAAAGGCAGATCCTCATACGCCAGATGCGCATTCGCCGTCACAAACTCTTCAAACGTGGACGCCGCCTTTCCACCAGCAAGACAGAGTTGAACTTGCTGTACCCAAAACATGCTTTGCGTAGAGCCCATGCTTGAAGAAAGCTCCAACGCCGTCCGCGCTGCGACCGTCGAGCTCTTTTCCTCAGAGGGCTTGCTTAGTCGTTGATAGAGGAAACGCAATAGACTGGCATGGTTCGTAGCGATGACTTCATCTTCAGGTATGAGCTTTGCCTCATCAATAAGAACTGCAGCCCAGAAGTCAAGGTCCTCCCGCGGAGGTAGACCGGAAGGTTTGGTGAAGCGACGACTGATGGCGTTGACCATTTGCGACCGGGCGAGGTCGATCTTTGCCTTGGAAGGCATGCCAAAGACGTTGGGAAGAGCCTTCTTGTCGGGATTCACGAAGCTCATCCTCGCGGGAATTCCCTGCCAGACTGAAGACGAATAGTACTGACGCCACTCGTCTCCGGTAATGCCGAAGAGAGCCTTGAATGCCTCAAAAGTGAGACTCGTGACCGATCCCTCAAATTGAGTACCCTTTGACGCCTTGGATGGATCAGTTTCCAAGGATCGCAGATATGCGTGGACAATCTGGATCCAGAAATACGCCTGCGTCTCCGAGTACGGTGGCACAGACGGATCAGAGGCACGAAGGCGAATGGTTGACGATTGCAAGGCCTCAAGCGCTTGCTTGACGACACCACCTCGTCTGAGCTTGGACGTGAGCGTCTTTTGCACGACCGAGAATGCAAAGCGTGGCAGTCTATCCACATCATTCCCAGGACGCTGAGTGTTCGGCTGTTCTTCCTCTACCTTGGGCTGAGCGGGGGTTGGAAGAGGTTGTAAATCCGGGAGATGCCAATTCTCTCGAGCTTCAGGCGTGAACAGCAGATCCTTGGAGTAGTACGACCTCCAAAGACCAGAGTTCATAAGCCACGGCGCCGAGAGAGCGATCTCTGCGTATTCACCTCTGTCTGGGAACTTGTCGCGTCCATTGTTGACTTGGTAGTTTACAGCCGCGATCTGAATCTGATGAAGCCAAAAGATTGTCATGGTCCTGTTGACGTTAGAGGTAATTCACAATCAGGCAAGGGATACGTACTTGTGCGCAGTGTTGCGGAATCGCTCTGGGTCTCCCTGCCTCAGACGATTGAGATGAGCCATAAACTCGTCGGCACACTCCAAAAGACCAAATCCTCTAGCGAAGCAATCATGCAACACGAAGAAGCCCGCTCTCAGATGAGTGTAGTGGTCCCACGAAGAAAGACTGCCGTCCATGAATGACGCCCAGAAGCTCTCGGCGTTAACAGCGTCCGCATTGGCCTTTCTTACGCGCTCGAGGAGTTCCGAGCTGCTCGGTCCCTTCTCCAGTTCTGCTACTTGAGTCTTTGTATCTGGTTGAGCCGGCTTCTTGATCTGTTGGATCGTCTGTCTAATCTCCTCCATGGCAGGATAAAGCTGTTCACCAGACGTCGCGCACAAACCAGGATAATCCAAGATCTTAATGTCGTGATTCGCGAGATAAGGAGCAATCTCTTTCTCAAACTGCGCTCTTATGCCTTTGACGATGGAATCTCTTTCATCGGGCAGGAGGAGGTCTTGCTTGTTAAAGAGGATAAACATGTGTCGACAACCTTGCTCAGCCATCATGGCCAAGCCCATGCGGAGATACTCGAGGGAAAATTCGATCCTGTCGGGATCTAGATCGCCACAGCTTTGGATAAAGATGAGGAAGCGATCTGGCTGCATGTAGTGCCTAATTAGAGGCCTGATCTTGTCGCATCCTGCAAGAGTCAGTACACATTCAAACCAAGACAGGCAATGCTCACCTCCCACGTCCCAGAGAGTAATCTTGCCGCCATCTGGATACTCGAGGGTCTCTACATTGAAGCCAATTGTTGGGATTGTAGTGACTATCTCTCCCAGCTTCAGCTTGTAGAGCATTGTCGTCTTTCCAGAAGCATCATTGCCGAGGATGAGGCCACTATGTTCAGGGCCTCTACGCAAGAGCCAGCGAGCGATACCTAGCACGGTCAGCGTTGTCCAACTTCAACATTAACATGTAACTTACGCATGTTGCCAAGAGTGTTCAATTGTGAAGAAAGAAGAATTGACACGGGCAGAGGCCAGTTGATATTAAAGTCGTTGCCTCGAGAAGTGGGGAGCCAATGTCTCCAAAGACGTGGCTTCAAGAATCTGCCTTGTCGTCGACTATTCACGCGCCTAAGACGCCAGCCTGTCAGAATGGCTTACAACTTCTGACACGAGTGGCTTTGACATTTTACTATTGACACGACTTGGTTATTTTTGTTTATTTCTAGAGGATTGAGCACTCCAGGCAGCAGGTCTTTGCATCTACTGCTACACCAGATTGAAGAGCTAATGGCCCAGCAAGGACACATATATCCAACAGCTCACAAGACCATATCCTGCCATCTAGGCATCCTTGTATTTTGGGTATCTTGAGTAATTCCATCGTCTAATCAACAGACCCAGCAAGCGCAACAGCACTAAACCTCAAATCACCACCCTCCCTCTCCAAAAACTTCAACGCCCCGAGACTAAGTCCCTTGCTACTCAGCACATCCTCATCCTCTAGCAAATCTCCTCTTCGAATCGGTCCCTTGCGTCGTCCGTCGAGCTCCCAGAGTCCCCCGTCGGTTCCCTTGGCGAAGCAGACATAGTGCAGCTCGACGTCGTCTTCGGCCGGGGGTGCGGGCGTGTCGCCTTGGGAGGCTGCTTCTTTGTGGGCTGTTGCTAGGTCGGGGGTTTGTTCGAGGATGCGGGCGCGGCCGTCGGAGCCTAGGGGGATGCTCTTCTTGATGATTGTGTCAAGCGTGGAACCCTCCTCTGCGACGCGTTAGACATATACACCTAGATATACACATAGAGAAGATCTTACCGATAAAGTTTCGTGCGTTTCCGTTGCTGACAGCGTGCAAGAGTCCCATAAGTCCACACGCATTCCGAACAGTCTGTGGCCACCAAAGCACCGGCTCCGCATCGCCCTTGCCGTGGTACTCATCCACCAAGCTATCCTCGGCCATGCGGTGGCTCTCGTACGCGGCGCTGACGGGGAACACGAGTAGAAGAGCCAACGCGGGGCGCGGGATAAAGGCCAGCAGGTCCGGGTCGGTGAGGGAGTAGACGTCGTGCATCCCGAGGGCCGGCGACACGCCGAGCTTGTGGATGAGCGTCGTCATGAGCTGGGGGTTCGCCTCGAGGGGGATAAATGCCGGGCGGGCATCAGAAGGGTTGGGGTCTGTTGTCGAAGACATGGTGGGCGTATGTGTGCGTATGTGAAGGTGTCGCGAGCTGTTGATGGAAATGAAGCTTGGATGTGCTGAGTGCGAAGCTGAAACTTGGTGTTCTCGGCCCCCGCCAAACGCGGGGCATTATTTGCCATGACGTCGCCTACCGACTGCCTGCAGCGAGTGGCTCAGGGCTCAAGCGGGGGATCATCAAGATAAAACACGCCTCATTGTTTATATCTGCACTTTTAATGCGTTGCATTTTACGAGCATTAACACCTGTAGTATCATAAGTGACGGGTGTTATTAAAAAAGGGTAGCATTACAAGGGCTGTATTCCTCTTGGCATCTTTCGATTCTGTAAAGCTGTAGGGTAACTTATCCCAACCTGTTCAACACCATCATTCACGTCCAACCACCACAAAACCCATCCTCATTTCCTCCCCTTTTAGCTTCTCCAATCGCATCTCTTAAACCATCTTTCTCGACTCACACTTGTTCATCCAAAGTTTCGCTAGTCTCTTTGATCTACACCTGCCATGTCTAGCCTTGGGGCTTCAGCTATATCCACTAGCCCACAAACGGTTTTCTTCTTGGACCTTCGGGGTCTTGTACAAAACCCGCAACACCGGTTCCGCGTGCTGCACGTGCCTTGACGCGATCTCATCTCATCTTTGAGGGTCGCAATCTGGCCCCGACGCTTTTTCAGCCCTCCGGACGACCACCGATGTCAATCATTTGGTTGGTGCCTCCACCCATGATTAAGATCGCTCTTCACGATGTGACGTGCAAATCTTTCTTGCTATCTATTCAATAATGTGGTGCATCCTCGTGTTAAGAGTATCACGGCACTACACAGCACAAACACAAACACCGGGAGCCGGCATCAAGGGCAAAACAACGGACGGGCCGTTCCCGAGAGTTGATGACCAGCCTAGGTAGCTAGCTTTCTCGTAACGAGGTAACCATGGAGGAATCCGCCCTGGTTGGGACGGTAGCAGGCGATATTACCACCTAGCAAGCCTGGTTAGAATGACTCGGGTAGCTGCTTGTCGATTCCTCAATGTCTCGGAGACGAGTCTTTCTCGCTAATGTCTGCCACACCAACACATGCAGAGTGACAAACCTCCTGACAGACTTGAAGATGACCAAACCACAAAAACCACAGACACAGACACAGACACATACTCTTACCGTTCGTCCCAGGAGAGTGGCACGGATCCCCCCCAATTTGGCATCAAGGTTGGATCCGCACTAGACGGGAGAGAGTCCCCATCACCATGTCCCCCACGTGGACTCGAGACATGACTCGCTGGGGGTGTTATTGAACCCCCCTCCCCTCGCCAAGGTGGGAGTCAAGTGTCAGGTAGCACGGCGTCGTTGCGCACGTACCGGCGAACCAAGACCCCGGAGGCCGAGACCCGTTCGTGCTCGTCCCTGAGCGGAGCAGCCGTTTGGAGCTCATGGACTTTTAGCGATCAGTTTGATGGCGTTAGACGTTTGAGGGGGATGGATGGATGGATCCAGACAACTTGACGGGCTTTCGATCAGCACCTGCAAAGCATCCTCTGGCGTCCTTTTCAGGTCAAACTAGTCTCGTCCAAGTAAATCCCGTTCGTCATCTCTGCTTCGTGGCACTTGAATAGTCCGGTCTTGTCTGAGCCCCTGGTCCCTGCGTCAGCTTTTTTTTCTGTCTTTCCCTTTCAAGGGGCGGGTCTGGAGTTCAGGGGTACCACCCTCTTGCACTGCAAGTCAAACGCCCCCTGTCAAGTTCAACTTTCTGTATCGTACCGTTGGACTGTAGAAAGAGGGGAAAAGCGGTGGGTGTGGATAGATTGTCCTGAGACATAGCTCGGGCTGCCATGTCTCATTGAGGAATCCATCACCACAGAGGAAACGCCGTCGAATGGTATTTGCATGCATTTCATAGTATAGCCCATTCACAAACTGCCACGGGCCAGGCTGTCAATTGTTAATCGACCTGGGCTTGGCCGCTAGAGAGGGGGATAGAAAAGCCGCTACTGCAGCTCATCCTTGAACTGATTGAACTCCCTATTTCCTAGCGGGTACCTGTCCATCCATCTCTTGGTCGGTCCGCACGGATCTTTTTCTTGCGCTCGCGTCATGATTACCGCCGGGCTGGCATCTCCTGTCACTGACTCTCTCCTCCCTTTTTGGCTTTGATGAAATCTGGGCTTGTCTTCCATCAAGACGTCGAGAATATGCATGTATCCACGAAGATCTCCAACTAGACTGACCCCCTACCTACCGAGTCCAAGCCATCTTTTTTCTTTTTCCTTTTTCTTCTTCTGAGGCCCTGTTCCCCAATCAGCGCGCGTGGGCTGTCGAAACAGGTCGCCCCAGGTTTCTTCCAACTCTCTCTCCCTTGCTTAAAGAACGGCCCAACACCCGTTTTCCCCTTTCGTAGCTTCTCATTCCATCTTTTCATCATCTTTCCCCGTGAGCGCCAGAATGCTCGCGGCGGGTCCCCTGAGGCCTCTCCTTTAAACCTGCTGCTTCTCTTCCCTGCAACCAGCAGATACTCATCTTGTCCAACGACATCATGGGCTTCTTTAGCTTCTTGACGCGCAAATCTTCCTCGGATAAGAATCAGAACCAGGTCAAGGGTCAATCTTACAAATCGACAGTCGCATCAATACCTCCCATCCAAGGTGAGTTTTGTGTCAAAAGGATTCAAAGACGCCACCTTCTGACTTGTGCAGGAACTTATCCCGTCGCTGGAAATGGACCCAACGTGCTGGACCAGCTGCAGCAGGCGGCAAGGAAGCGCAGCCAGGCTCAACTCTCTGTAATCGATCACGATATCGACATTGACCCTGCCGCGCCTCCTCCAATGGTCCCTCGCTTTCGCAGCTTCTCCCCAGGACGTCCAACAACAGCTCCAAACCAAGCTCACGCCAATAGCTTCACCTCGCGTCCGAGGTCCGTCGCCCGTAGCATCCGCAGCACCAACTCAGCCTGGAGCGTTCCCGAAAAGACACGCGCAGCCGTGCGCACAGTAGAGAGACCACCACCTGTGCCTTCAATTCCATCTCACCACCGCCGCGAGAGCTCCATCGACTCGTTCCAGGACGGCAACCGGTTCGTCGACGTTCTAGACGCCCAGGGCGAGATCAGACCGTCAAACTTTCGCTCGCGCGTCGCAGCCACCGGCGTCCGCGAGTTTGGGGAAGACGTTGCCGAGCGCAACATTGGCGAGAACGGTCTGAACCTTAACAGCCCTGCCGTCAAGGCCTTTTACCGTCTTTCCAGTAGCGGGAGGTTGACGCTGCAGACTTCTGACAGTGGTGGATTGTCTGTTCACGATTATGATGGCTTTGACGACGATGATGACGATTGCGCTCCGCCGCCTGGTATTCCTCATCTTGATCTGGGAACGATTCGAGAATCTTCAAGACCGACGAGTTCATCTCAAGCATGGAGGTCATTTTCAGGCTCAATTGGCGGAGAAATGCTAAGATCCAGTAAATCGCAACGACGTCTGGATAAACGCCCCGAGACATCATCCCAAACAGCAGCGTCACTAAAGAATCGGAGGAGATCATTCAACGCATTCGCATCTGCACCTGAACCGCAGAGGTCTAAGCCGAGACCTCTCAGTTTGCATCCTTCGTTATCAAATTTTAATTATTCGGCGCCTCTGTCACCACCGCCGATGCCCACGTCTCGTCCAAAAACGAGTGAAGGTCGAAGTCGACAGCGAAGTATTGGTATGGTTGAGATTGAGAGTCTGGTTGATGAAGCTTTTGATACACCAGCACCATGTCCGAGTAGGTCCTTTTGGCCAAATTATAGAAGAAAGCTAACAAGTTACAGCTATCCCTGTGCGATTCAAACAAGAGCATCCTTCATATTCTCGCCCCGATTCACATCTTTCACGCCAAGATCTCATTCTCCCTCGTCATGACCCTCCAATTCCTCGCCATGATCCTCTTGTCCCTCGTCATGATTCTTCTCTTATCCGCCCCGACACGCATCACGGCCCACCAACTCTTTCTCTCTATCCCCGCAGCGACATTTCTCAACCCTCACGACCTTCTAGCTCTTCATCAATGGATAAACCACCCCGCAACCGCTCCATTGGCGGCACCTCGGTTCTCCGACATCAACGCCTCGACAACATCACCGAACACATTCCCGTTCGGACGTCATCTCTAACTCTCAAGTCCCAGCCTTGCATTACACCAACCACAATGTCGTCCGGGTACTCGAGTAACCCCTTCCCGAGATCTCAGCACACACCGAGCACTTCCATCGACGCATCTCTTCCTCCGTCAATCAAGATTAACCACGAGCGCGAACAGAGCGGTGGAATGCCCACTCTTGGAAACCAGAACAACTACTACAACGCCGCCGAAGACGACTTTTCCGCCGATACTCTTGTTCCTTCACGTCGGGAACTCGAGCAGGATCTAAGTCACCCCATCAACGCAGGCGTAGAAGCCGAGTACTACATCTCGGATGCCAGCGAGGACTCTGTAGACTCATTCATCGCCTGGAAGGAGGAGAAGCGACGTGGAGAAGAAGGTCTACTGTACAAAGAAGACTACGGCATCGCAGGAGGCGGTCTTCCCGGTTTATTCGAGCCTCTCCCGATCCCCAAGGCCCCAGCAGAACCGCCAGCACCCATCAAGCCACCAAAGACGCCAAAGAGCCCAAAACGCCCAACAACAAGAGGCACCACAAAGAGCAACAAGTCGACGCCGAAAAAGACACGACACCAACAACAACATCTCCGCCGCAGCCGCACAAGCACATTCTCCCCACCGCGTCGGGAACCCCGCAACGGCTCATCCTCAGATGACGAAGGCTCCGACTCGTTCTGGGAGCGCGCGCGCGACATGCCCCACGGGCCAAGCTTCGTATCCCTGGCTGAGCTTGGCATCGACCTAAAGCACCTAGGTCTCGACCAATACGGCCTCACCGAGGAGGATGACGCCAAGGTTGACATTCACACGGCAGTCAAGCTACGAAAGGAGATGCGCCGACGCAAGATGGAGACTTCAAGTCGACGACATACGAGGAGTTATGTTGACGAGGCGGATGTAGAGGATTAACGAGACATATGAGGTATGGAGTTTTATGGCAAATATGATTTGGGAACATAAAGACGACTTGACGATTTCCGTCCCTTTTTAATTCTTTTTTCCTTTGTATCATGGAATAGGCGCATGGATATGTACAGCACAATGAGCATTGCAGTCAAATAGGCATAGGGAGGGTATCCAAGCATCTAATGAATGGACAAACATTCACAACATCAAACAAGCGCTCTTCCAATGACAAACTCCCACATCAAACATGCATCCTTGAAACCAAATCTACAGCACGGACCTAGATCCCCGCCTCACTTTCCGATTCAGCTCCGCCATCGATATGACAAAAGCAAACATTGCGGTGCCAGCTGAAAATCTTTACTTTCAAGAGTCTAGATCGGTTAGATGACGAACGCCTCCGGGCGGCTCAGCCCCAGCCACGCGAAGAACTTGAAACAAATCGTTGAGCTCGGTTGGCTAAAAATATCTAAAGAGATCGTGAGCTAACACTCTCATTGCTGTGTGGTCTGTATCGTGTTGGATTGCCTTCATACCCGAGGCTGGCTGAAAAGATATCTCGGTTGGCAAGGATGACGCTGATCATAGTGGCAATTCGGTATTTCTTCATCTACCGGAAATCCCTGGCCCATCAATCTCCCCCGGTTCACCTGATCAAGATTGCCCATCTTGGTCCCGTTCAACATCTCTCTCCGACTCCCCGACATCTCCACTTGACGCTCAGCTGAAAGCTTCAGCTGAAGCCCATTAATCTCGCTCCCTAGAATTAGCCATCTAACTCTCCACCTTGACTACTTTCAAAGTACAATGCCTGAGAAGCATCACCACTTTATGCATCAAAGCCTAATGACGCGACGACTTCAAAAGCAAAACAAAGCACCTTCCCATTATGCCAATCCCATGACATCATCCCGCAACCGTGCACGTGCCCGGCCCCAAAAAAGGCAACCTAAACCCCTAAGCCTTTCACCTAACGCCTCAACACCAAACAATAACATCACCAAAGCTACCAACACCAAAAACTTGTCTCAAAGACAAAAAAGGAATCCCTTTTTAGGTGAATTTCCTCGTCACGTGCCCTGTAGCGGAATCGAACCGCTGATCTTCGCATTACGAGTGCGACGCCTTACCATTTGGCCAACAGGGCTAGTGGTTTGCTTGGATGACCGAGGGGCTTGGGCAAAGGTATTATGAGGGCTGGCCTTGGGGTTTGATGCGAGGTTTGTGTAACACGACAGGGAATATTGGCCAAGAGAATGAGAGTAAACGCTGTATTCGCTTCTATAGTGACATGGTTGTGCAAGGTGGTTCAATCCTCACCGTGACAATCGCTGATATACCGTGACACAGTACAACCAATATCCCAGACACCAACCAGACTCCTCTAGCCCAGCCGCTTTATCCTTTGCAGGCTCTTGTTCCTTCAATCTAAAATCTAGATTGCTGTTCCATGATCATTAACATCATCTTGCACAGCCCCAGGCTTACAATCGCATCCCAGAGCCCGCTTCATCGTTTCAAAGTCTCCCTCATGCTCATCAAGCATCGCGAGAGCCCGCTTCGCCACAGCAATCTTGGCGTAACGTCCACTCTTGGCCGTAGCATTGGCAACGACCTTCTGGTGTACCATAAAGACAGCCACCACGTCACTCTCTGTTAGGGCAGCGATACCCTCCTCCACACCGCAGGGTACGTTCTCTGCGCTGACACGCCAGTTGGTGCAGCCTAGATCTTGCTGCATCTTCTTGGACAGATACGTGACAGGATGCTTGTTAGCAAACGAATCATATAGTGCCATGTCCTCAAAGTACGGTTCGATGAAGCGTGTAAAGAAGTTGCGGACAACCGTGTAGTCGTACTTGGCGTCGACAAACATGGCGCCTACGAGAGCCTCCATGACATCCGCAAAGGCTTTGGGCGGCGCAGATGCCCTGAGCCAGAAATCTTTGCGCATGGCAGTCTTATTCGCCTTGGCTTCTTGACGCGCGTCTTCTTCGGCCAGCTCAAGCTCACTCGCATACGAACTTATTTGCCCGATCAACGAGGATGTAGTAGAGGTAAGGTGTTTGTGAAGATCGAGCTTCACGCAGAGACACCCAAGGAACTGGTTCGAGGCCATGGCCATTTTGTGCTCAGTCAGCCATTGAGGATCAGCCTGAGGAAACCGCTGGAACAAGTTGTCGACAATGGCCATGTCCAGCAGGGCATCGCCTAGAAACTCGAGGCGTTGGTAGTTTGGCACTGGATCATAAGGCCAAGAAGGATGCTTGAATGCGCTCCGGAGAAGTGCAGGCCATTTGAAGCGGTATCCAACAGCATCAGCTACACAGTCGACGAGACGGCGTTGATTGACGTTGGCTTCGGCTTGTTGCCAGGCTGGCATCTTGAAGGCGGCAAAGTAATCCTCAAATTTCTCCATCTTGTGATTCTTGCTCTTGACCATACGCGTGACGGCCTTGACAGCCAGGTCCATGCTACCCCCTTTGCCAGACAGGTAGGCAGCTCCGATGAGGGCCTCGCAAACGTCGGCAATGGACTTGTCGGCTAGGTTGTGTCGCATCTCCGTCTTTGGTGCCTTTCCCTTCTTCAGTGGAAGGTCAGGGTACCACGAACGTCGGTCAAACGCCTTGGATCGGATGTACTCGTGGAGCTTGCGATCAACAGCGTGATTGAAGAGATTCTGGTTGCAGATGAGAATCATGCGCTCAACGTGATATCCACACTCGTCGCTCTCAGGAATAAGAGTAAAGAGAGAAATAGTTGTGGCCATCTTCAAAAATGAGTCGCCTAGGAATTCTAGTCGCTCGTAGTTGCTGCCCATGCCAGGCTGGAAGTTGACCTGCTCTTCATCATGCTCTCCAGAATTGTCGCTGTCCTTTGTCATAGCCTCGAGAGCCAAGACAGGTGGAATAGGGAGATCCAGCATGGCGCAAGCATCAAGGGTGATGAGGGCAGCATCGATGCGATGGATGATGGCTGGAAACGCCATGACCATAAAGGCCACATCGAGAGGAATCTTATTTGTTAGCGACGCCAGATGAAGGTAGAGGATTGCTTACTGGCGAGACTCTAAGAGGCTCCAAGATCACAAAGCAATCATTATTGACCTCCTCATCGACTTGGAACTCGTCCAAATAGTTGCGTCGGAGCGACAACATCTGTGCCTTGACAACAGGTTGATCCTCTCTCCATTTAACCTTGAGACGAGTGTTGTAGTAGAGACTGTTGCTGTACTCCTTGATGGTAGGTTCCACCTGACGATAGGCTCGGCTTCTCGACTCTGGGACCCCTTCGGGCGTGGGATCAGAAGGCTTCTTCGACTCATCAATGCCTTTGATGACAAGCTTGCGTCCTCCGTCGTAGGGGTCGGTGACAAACTTGTTTACAAAGAACTCTTTCGGGGCATTTTCCCAAGGGAGGCTGTCGTTCTTGGTGGCCTCGACAATACTCCAGTCAACCGCTTGGGAAACCGAGCTGTGACCATCTTTGCAAGGAGCCAGAAAGTAAGGAAGCCGATCGGCGCTAGCATCAAATTCTTTACTAAACACGTCAGAAAAGAGCTTGAGGGTGAATCTGGTGAGGGCGTCAATCTCCTCGCTAGTTAGCTTCAGAGATTCTTCGGAAACTGTCAGTTTGGCCACAGACGAGCGCCCATTCCCAAAGAATAAGGGTACTCCAGGGAGATCCGGAAGTTTGTTTCGCGAAAGAAGCATCAGAGGTCGACTAAGCAGGTCTTCTCCAAGAGCCCCTGGATTGTCAAGCGTAATGATAGTCGAAAAGAGCTCCTTGCAATCCCCAAGCGACTTCCAGACATCGGGTCTAAGTCGCATGGGGTATTCGGCCTTCTTGTTGGAGCTCACAGCAAGTCGAGCATTCCGCATCCTGGGAATCGTCTTGCTTAGAGTGGGTTGAAGATGTCCGTCAATGTGCTTGTCCTTGATCAGCTTCACACAAGCCTCAAAGGCTGCAGAGTATTTAGCCAATAGCTTGCTTCGCTGCGGAAACCCCGACATTGCCTTGAGGGGCGAGGCGTCTGGGAGGATGACATCGGCGATGAACTTTGGGCCAAGCTTGGTGACTGTGAATTCGACCTTGGAGGAGACTCCTGGAGTAATAGATGCAGCATACTTGGAAAGGACGTCCATGCTGTGTGCAAAGGTGAGTCGAGCACCGGTCGAAGGTATCTCGTACACTTTCTGGACCAACAGTTCATCTTGAACGGCGTCCACTACATCGTCTTCCAGTTTCCTGTCGGCCGGAAGGGATAAACAGAACTTTTGTAGGGCTGTAGAGTCTCTCTCTGCCTGCTTCAGGCTTCTGAGCTGTCCCATATTGCCTTCCTCTAGCATGGTAATGTATCTCGAGTTTGACTGTCTTGCCCGCCCTTTGGACTGTAGATACTGGATGACCGAGTTGTAGAGGTCGAAGCGGATCACGAGATCGCAGTCCGGAACGTCGATGCCCTCCTCAGCGACAGTGGTCGCAAAGAGGCAGTTGATGCTGCCTCGCTTGAACTTTTGGAGAGTCACGACTTGATCGCGATGTGACATGTTGCTGTGGGTTGATGAAGCTGATTGGGAACCAATCTATGGAGGTTAGTACTCGAACACGGCTAGTTCTAAGAAACCTACCATGTAGTAGGCGACCATTCCTGGAATCCTCATTCCTTGCTGCTGATACAGGTCCGAAAGAAGCCAAGCCGTGTGTCTCTTCTCGACAAACACAATGCACCTTTTGGTGCTGTCTCGCGTGAAGGCATGCAACAAAATTTCGTGTAGCTTCTTCATCTTGGGAGATAGCTCAGGCGAAGATGGCTCAATCGGGGGGAGTTCACGCTTCTTGACAATGTCTCGGACACGTCGAACAGCTTCTGTCGCGTGGTCTGCCTGGTTTGTCGCAAAGTCCCTAGAAAAGTCGCGATCAGTCCTGGCCACAAGCCGCTTGGTCTCATTGTCGGTGAGAAGGAGGATCCAGTATCGATCAGCACACCAGCTGCCAAGTGTTGATGCAGCTTCCTTGGTGAATTCGAGTGATGCCTTGAACTGTGAATTACGAAGGACTTGGGCCCATATCAAGTCCCATAGTTGCGTCTTTGCGTCTTCTGGAAACTCCAATGACTCGTAGTTGACTCGTTCTTCAACTTGCTTTTGTTGGCACATGGCTTCCATCAACACTTCGTTGGAAACAGTAGCAATCTCGCTGCAAAGAAAGGTTTCCAGCTCGAGGGCAGCTGCTTTCACGTCCTTTGTCTGCGAGTCGACGGGCGAAGCTGTCATGCCGAGAATCCGTGGTCGCTCTCCCTGGTAGCGGATGTAGTGATTTCTCATGATGCGGGCATAGGGGTGATCCTTTTTGGCGTGATGCGCCTCGTCAAAGATGAGGAGGTTGATCTGCGACATCTTGATGAACCCATCATTAAGGCAGTCCACCAAGATCTGGGCCGTACAGACAACAACCATGTTCTCACTAAACTGTTGATCCCAGTACTGCTTCTTCCTCACCATGCCTTTCATGTTGCCCCAGAACTTGGTGATAGGGTGCTCGCCGAGGTTGCAGTTGAGGACGGCATATTGTTGGTAGCAGAGGGCAACCTTTTCGACCAGGAAGAAGGCAACTTTCTTTGGCTTTCCAATAGCTCGATCTTCCATTTCTTGCTCGAGGTAATGTCGAAGAAGCAACGCCGCGATGAGTGTTTTGCCGGTACCTGTCACTGTCAGCACACTCACGACGCAGAGCGGGGAACTTACCAGTGGGCAGAACCACGATGGTATTCTTCTGCTTGGCCCGCTCAAAGAGCTCAATCTGATACTCTCGAGGTGTAGCGATGATCTTTCTGCTCTCGCTCGTCTTGATGAGATGCGCGACCGACTGAAAATTGGGGTCGTTGAGAGCAGCAGCAGATGATCTGGTGACCTCGCGCTGGTTCTTGCTCACCCACTCTTTCAGGGCAGCAGAGTCCTGGCGCTTCTTTTCACTGATTTTCCGAGGCTTCTCGGGATTGATGACAAGTCGATAGATATCATCTTCGTCGTCGGTGTCGTACTCAGGCCCGGCGCCTTCTTCCTGGGATGGTGCTAGCTCTTCACCTGTCGCATCGGGACGTTCCTGGGTCTCGATATGACCTGCATGATGCTCTTTCAAGAGATCTGAATCGTGGGATACGCCACTAGGCGTTGCGCTCGATGGTAGTGGCCTGATAGGCAGGGCGCCGGCACCCATGTCCACGACCATCTTGAATAGTAGGCGCCGTCACAGATGTCGCGCAAACCGTTCCACGCAGCGCAAGACTCTTTGTTAGAACAATATTGGCCAGTGAAATGCTGTGACGATATTCAAGCTGCTTTGAGAGGTGAAGATGGTGGAAGAGGAAAGAAGGCTGAGAAGGAAAGTGAGGTTGAAAAGTGCGGGTAGATGCGTTAGTGTGACGTCTGAGAGGCCGGCAGCCCGTGGTAAGAGCTGTACAATCAATCAGCGTCAATTCTACATGGGCCCAGGAATGTTTGCAAAGGTTGTGGTTCGGTTGATCCTGTGTGCGTTCTCATGTGAAAATCCCGCTCGCCGAGCAAACAGATATTGGCGTTTGTCAACGCCAGCGTAAGCTTGCGACGTCAGTGGGAGCCAAGCTTTAGATCGACGCGGGGATTTAAAGATCGTATCACGATGCCCGGCTTTAATGCGTATCCTCGCGCTTTTACCCAACAGCAAGACGAGACATGTCAAGATACTAGCTTGGCATGCCCTCCTCTAAGGTTAGCTATATATATTATAGAACAATAAATAGAAAGCCTTCTTGCAGTAAGGGCTAAACTTGGTGTCTTTGGCGTCTCTTCTAACGCATTTCTTGGCCCTTGAGGCACCATGTGATGTCAGGTCGGCCTCCCAGCTTGTGACGCCATCACACAGCCTGACCGTCGTCTGGAAGAATTGAGTTTAGTACTTTTGGACTTCTTTTGGCATAAGCAACCGGATTCATGCATCTTGATGGCCCTTTTCTGGCACTTGCTCGCATTTAATCCTGGGTGTTCTCCTCTGCCACCAGGTCATCGTTCAAGCAAGGCACCACACCCCGAATATTTCGAGATCGTATTAAGCAAAGTCCAAAAATATTTTGTTTTAGCCCATTAAACTGTCCATACTCGCCATGCTCCATGATTCCCCGTAGTCATGCACCATCCTGACTCTCACGGTATGTCCGAGACCCTGCTTGCCCAAGACCAATCCACCATCCCATTGCAAGACCGTGAAGAGACCCCAGACCCATTGCCATTTTAGATGTCGGTGAAAAAAAATGAACTCCGTTTCAATTGCACTGCTCCAAGAGAAAACGACGAAGTGAAGTCCAAACGATGTACCCATCAATCACCAGACCGACCCCAACCCTCCTCCAAGCAGCGGCGGAAGATGGAAGAAGACCTCCTTGCATCAACCTAAAGCTCAGAGCTTCCAGTTGAGCCAAACAAATTCTCCAACAGGTGTTGAGCGATGCCATTGGCGATCTGCTTGTCAACCACTGGCTGCAGCTCAGAAATCAACCGCGTGGTGAGCTTCTGGATGACCGGTCCTGTGATTATGGAAAGGACTTGTTCAGCCATGCTGTCAGCGATCTGCTGAGCGATGGTGCTGGACTCAGAGCTTCGAGGGATCACGGGAATCATCTCAGACAGGAGCTGGATCGCCAGATCTTTGAGCCGTGGCTGTAGGTCCTCCAGGTGCTGGGTCACCTGTTGACTGACATACTCGGTCGCCTTCTCGTTGATTGGCTTCTTGATTCGCTCGTAGATGTGTTCCAGAGTCTCGTTGAAGGTGGCGATCTGAAGGCAACCGTTTGGTATCGCCTCGGTTTTGACCTCGGGCGAGTGGCGGCTTTGGTCGCTTGATGTGCTGCGTCGCTTGATGCGGAGTTGAGACTCTTCCTCATCATCCGACAAGCTGCGTTTTGGGAGGCGTTTTGGGGCAGTGCTGGGCTCTTCAGGGCATACCTTGCTATTATTGGATGCATTGGTCGACTTCTCGCGTTGGCCACCCTCGTTGACTGGACCCTGAATCGAAATAGCCTTGGTCTTGCTGTCGCTTGGAGTCGTGTCGAGATTGGTACGGGGATGCGAACTAGTACCCTGACTGGGTGCAGAAGTGTGCTTTTTGGCCTCTTTCTTCACCTTTGTCTTGGTCTTATCCGGAGAGGGTGAGCCAACACCCTCGCCCTTCGCCATTTCGGTACTGGAACCAACTCCAGAGTCTCGAGTCCCGTCGCCTGTGCCGCCAGTCTTGTTAGTGGCAGGGCACTTGACGGCTGGGGTCCGATCTTTGGTCTTGGGTGGAGTGCAAGAGCCGCCTGGACCATCTTCAAGCTTCTTTTCCCAGGAAGAAGGTCGTGGAGGGAACGTGAGGGGAACATTGTCCTCGAGGACATCGATGTCCTGGTACCGCTGCATGATCGCTTTCGTTGCAGGGCTTCTCGCAAAAGTTTGGCGAGTCATCTCGGCTCTCGCAGTTGCCGCATCTTTGAGAGAGTCGTAGTAGATGCCACGTAGGACGAGCCATACTCCCCAATCAAAGTCATGCGTGTTGCGAATGAACGCGCCCCGGTAAAGGGTGTGGCTGCAAGGGCTGTGGATGTTGGTCTTCGTGGTGGCAGTCTTGCGGGCGGCGTTCAAGAAGGATTGCTTGATCTTGTCGGGGTACTTCCACCAGTTGTCTCTCCAGATAGATCGCAGATGGGCAATGACAGCTTGGTTTTCGCCCTCATCTTCGATGCCATGGAGCGATAAGTTCCATTCATCCTGGATCTCCTCGGGGGAGGGATGAGGCGTGAAGGTGAAGTCGGCGTTGGTGGTCATGGTCACGCAGAGTGGGTACTTTCAATTGACTGAGAGAAATAGATTCGCATGAGGCGTTGGTTGTATGTGCGTGTCGATGCTGGCCGGTGTTGGAGAAGAGAAATTTTGGTGTCGTGGTGGTAGCAAGATCTCCTGGCTGACTCTGAAGGCCGTCCTACAGAGCAGATATCGGTTAGTTCCATGTTAAATAAAAAGAATGAGAAACACAGTTAGTTTACCGTGAGGCAATCCCCAAGATCTTAAAACTGAATTCAAATTATCCCCGATCGGGCGCTGCGTCGGTAGGAGTTGATGTTGAAGGATCGCGGGTGAGAAGCGGAAGATAGGTGGGAGAGAAGAGGCGAAGTAGGCAGGATGAGAGGGGAGGAAATAAATGTCGAGGTTGCAAGAAGAGCTTTACCTAAACCTTTAGTATGAATAAATCGCACAAAGTTCTTGGAGCCCTAGCTCTGATAAGTATTAGAAAATCTCAAGTTGGTGACCGGGTCCCGTAGAGTACCGATAGGGGCAAGGGACTCATACGGATTCCAGGCCTTCATCCTAGCCAAGCTCGAACCCGTCATCCCTTCTTCAAATTTTGGCTTCGAAGTTCCTATTCAGAGCCCCCATGCAAAATTGAGAGTGATGATCCCCAACATGACTGCTCATGGGATCTTGGAGATCGGTCAGCTGTTGATCTGGTAAGATGGGGCAGACGTGCTTGAGTCGAGAATTGACAGACATTGCTCTTGAACCCGACGAAGGGAAACATAGATCAAGGCAACATATAATACTTGGTTTAGCTTCAGGCCGTTTAGACTTGAATAATTGGCAATTGTGTCTTCACATCCAGTTCCAACGGTGTGGAGATGAGAAGCCAGTCGCCTTGACACTGCGATACTGTTTTGGGTCCATTCATTTTTCTTCATCTTTAAAGCATTATACATTTACTTCTATCGTCCTTAATCACTGTTCTTTACTCCTATTCATCTGATCGCGAGGGCGCATCCATTTACCCCATCGGCGTCACCGTCTCTGAACCAGCCAAGAGTTGGTGATCATGTCCACGAGGAAATGAGTCCCTAGACGAGTAATCTACTCGCCAAAAAAAAAAAAGCGCTACTCACTCTATAGCTTTAAAGCTTCTAAAAGAAAACTTGAATGAAAACATTGTTAGTTCTCAGAGGCCTGCCGGAAACGAAACGCCAGGACGACAAATCCAGTTTCTGGCAGGGTATCGAGTGAGCAGAAGGCTGAATTCCGGTCTTATGCTGCGGCGATATTTGGCAAGCCAGCCCCAATAAAGGAGAATACTCTTCATGGTTGGTTAGAAAATGAGTTGAAAGAGTCAACTGCCAACGTCAGTCTTCCCTCCAGCGCACCTTTGCGAACTGAGACCAGTCAATCAAGATCCATCGGTCTTCCCAACAACCTGACAGAACAGTGAAAGATCAAAGAACTGTTACATCAAGCAGGTCGGTCAATACTTTGGATCATACGAGCGAAGCCATTGTTCAATCCTCATCCGCGTCTGATGCCTCAGTCAGACGTACGGGAAGTCGAGCCGAGGGGACGGCCACCATCAAAGTCCAAGACAGTTGCGGAAGAAATTTTTAAGCCCCCTTGCACACTATGTTCCAGCCTTCACTCTGATATCACGGCAAAGTCACTTCAATAGCAACTAGAAGTTTGTAAAATCCCTGTTCCTATCTTCATCAGGCTCCCCAATAACCCTCATCCACATGCAAGCAATCCATAAGCCCCAAACTCATACAAACATCAAACAAAGCAAAATTCACCTTCACTCCACATCCTTCATCTCACAATCCCCATCCTTATCCCTAACCTCAACCGCAAAGCAAGCAGTCTCAGCCTGCACCGCATACATGGCCCTGTCTGCACACCCAGCAAACTTTGCCCTCTCTGCATCCTGAGCACCCTGCGCCTTCTGTGCACCCTCTATGTTTTCGAACGCCGTCTGAAGTCGCTGTAGCTCGGTCAACTCGGTAGACATGTCGACCGAGATTATCTTGCCCATTGAGGGTGGTTTGACGATGCGATCGGCTGTCTGGGCGAATCGCGCGTGGGTGGAAATAGAAGCAAAGGTGGCTTCTTCGGCGCTCCAGGCGTAGTGAGCCATTTGGACTCTGTCTCGGGTGCCTGCGACGATTGAGTTGCGGTCGACTCCGAAAATTGGTGAGTTGCTCTTTGTGGTGCTCTCGGCGGGACTAGTCGGGGTATGTGACGACGACTTGAGAACAATCTTGATTCGACTAGAAGATGCTGGTTCGTTGTTTGTAGTGTTTTTGGGGTCTTTCCGAGCTGGTGTCTCTGTGTTTGCAGTGCGTTGCGCTTCGGTGATTTTGGGCTCGCTCTCTTTGTTAGCTTCAAGAGCAGAATGTCCATCCTTTGGACCTTCGTTTCCATTTCCCTCTGCCACAGTCGTCCCCCTGCTCTTCTTCTCAATGTCTTTGACGGCCGACTTCCTCTGTCTCCCACCATCATTCGCCTTTCTGGATCTCTTCTTCCGATCACCTCTCTTGGGACAGTATGCCGTATCCTTTTCGGCCTCTGGGAGAACGATATCATAGCCTCCCTCCCAATCTTCCGCAAGCATCTCCGACGACTGCTTCTTCCGGCTGCGGTTATTGCTGGTGGAACTTTTTCTCGCAGTGGTGGATTTCTTGGGCAAGTAGTGAGCAAATTGGGTGTCGAGGTAGTGACGAAGTTGAGCAGATGGTGCCATTTCGGAAAGATCTTGGGTCGTATTGGCGGTGTCTGAGGCGCCTCCAAGCATGGCCAGTCGGTATTCAGGTAGTGTCGAAGCACTCGGAGCCGCAAACATCTCGCAGTCGGTATCTTCTTCGTCGACGAATGAACCGTTCTCGCTGAGCTGATCAGCCCCCTCGACATCCATCCCCTCGGCCATGTATTCGTCATACGCCTGCCGGTACCAAAAAGCGTTGAAGAGGTTCTCGGCTGAGCCTTGGTGAGGGTCTTCGTGGGGAGAGCTGTTTGCGCGATGAGCTGCAGCTGCCTCACACTGATGAACCTGTCCGTTCGTCACTGTCTGTCTGCCGTTTGTGACCGAACGGTGACTCGCGTTTGGCATGCCTTGAGCTGACACACTCCCAGTTGTCCCAGTCTCATGGCGAGCACACTCGACAATGACGTCCGCGTATGCTTGGAGAGTACGGGGTCCCAGGTTAACGTAAGCCCCCTGAGGCCAACAAGCCTCTCTGCATGGAACCCAGTCTCGTCCCTCTTCCAGAAGAGAGTTGGCAAAGCACCCGGGGACATATCTGCGTGCCCGGGGGTGCCGTCGACCGAACGCAACATGTAGGAAATTTTCTTGCTGTTGGGATGGCCGGTATCCGAAAGGCCCTGGCAGGAAGGGCAGTGGTGGCAGGGGCTCTGAGACAGGAAAAACGTTGCCGCTGTTGTTCGTGGTGGGCTGAACGAGGGTGTTCGAGGTGGCAGAGGGTTGATCCTTGGGTTGTTCAAGATCTGATCTGGCGTCTGTGTTGGGCTTGTCGGCCTGGTCGGGAGACAGAGTCTTGTCATCGTCAACTTGTGTCTCTTCAGAATCATAGTCTTCATTCAGGTCATTCGCATCGTTAAACTCATTACCGTAACCCCCTTCCTTGCGGTGCAAAGGCACACGCTGTCCAACAACACCGAAACGAGGCGCAAATCCCCCTTGATACCGCAGTGGCGAATCATCCACAGGAACGTTGGTAGTTGGCGCAGCAGGTCGAACATTTAAGAGATTGGGATTAGCCCATCCCAGTTCCACGGCCTGGTGAACGATCTGCTTGTCAATACCATCCTGGAAAATCTCCCACTCAATCCGTAGAGGCAAAAAGTCCTTGTAGGGTTCAGCGCAAAACAAACGAAACAAAGCAACCAAACCATGCATCCTCCTCTCATGCAAAAACAAAACTCCTCGCTCCTCATCCTCTAGAGAAATGTTGTCCGTAAGAAGTGCCGGACGGTTGTAGTGTAGAAGGGCGGGGACGGTGATCCTCTTCTCAAGTGCGTGCTCAAGCAAAGGCATGTGAGGAATCGTGAGGACATACTCCTCCCAAACGCGCCACGCGTACTCCTCTCTCAAGTAGATCTCGAGAAACTCCTGGACCTGCTGACGAGATAGGCGCAAGGTAAACGTGACAACCTTGGCGAAGCGATCCTCATCGTTCAGGATCCGGATGATGATCCACCTGACACCCCACGACAAATCTTCCTAGATCTGAGGCGGGGGCATGTTGGTCGAGAAGGTGTCGGTGAAGGAATTCCACGCGGAAGAGTAGTCAAAGCCTTCGAGGAGTTTATTAAACTCGTCGTCGCTTACCAAGCTGGGGATCGGATCCAAAGCAACAGGGTCCTCAAAGGGGGAGGGGGTGGCCTCCAAGGGAGCGGAGGGCTCCTTTGACGGAGCAGGGAGATCTTGTGTGGGTGGAGTAAGGCGGTCTAGCGGAGGAGTAGAGACACCTTGACGGGGGGCAAGAGCATACTCAGGGAGAGTAAAGGTATCCTGCGGGAGAGTCAATCCACCTTGCGAGCAAGCAAGCAGACCTTGTGAGGGGTCAAAGTAACCTTGCGAAGGCAAAGCAAGGAGATCTTCGGCGGGAGGAGTGAGAAGAGCCTGCGATGAAGCAGGAAGATCTTGAGGGGGGGCTAACTAGTGTTAGCGAAGTAAACAAACATGGCATCGTCAGTGATTCACTTACCAGAGGGAGCGGAAGAGAAACAAGCCTCAAAGATGTCGTCGAGACTGAGGTCAGTGCCGACATCTGGCAGGGGCACTGTTGGTTTGTCAGTGTCAGGCCACAGGCAAACAAGGTCAGTGATCCACTTACTAGGAGGAACGGGAGGGGCAGCCTGGAAAATTGGCTGGCTTTGAGGAATAAAGCAGCCACTAGCGGGCTGCGGTGGCTGGTCTGGTAGCATGTCAGTATCAAGGTCAAGATTGAGCGTTGGGAATTCACTTACAGCCAGGAAGGGTGAACAGAGCAGCCGCCCCGTTGGGCTGGCTGCTCAAATCGGACAAGCCGCAATCGAAAGATTGCGGCTGGGCTAAGGACTTGTCAGTGTCGACTCCCAAAATATGCCAGGTGGTTTCACTTACGAGGAGGAGGAGGGGAGAGAAACTGGGATTGGGCGGTCCCAGTGACCGATGGGATGCCATAAATCTGGCTCCCACCGGGGAGATAGCCAGCTGGCACTGTTTACTGTTAGAAAGTATAACAAACCAAGATCGGAGGTAGTAACTTACCGAAGGGGAGACGTTGTTCAAACAGGGGGGTCTCAATCCCCTGAGGAGCGGCGGGCACTATTTCTTGTTAGTCTCAGACTCAGCAAAACGAAACACTGAAATATCAAACTTACCGAAAGGAAGAGGGGGCACGGTAGTCCCCTGAGGAACTGCCGGCACGGTCAGGACGGGGGTCTCAACCCTCGCCGTCCTGTCGCCCCTCTTCTTCGTGACCCGGCCGGAGGCGACGGCGGGGCCAGGAGCGGCGGCCGGGGTCTTGGCCGCCTTCTTGGGCTTGGCCACCCGCTTCGGGGCGACCCGGATGGAGGCGAGCCTCCCCGCCGCCACTGCCTGGAAGGCGAACTCCTTCTGGGCAGCAAAGCTGCCGGGAACGGGAATGTTGGTGGGATTCATCTCGACTGTTGTGTGAGAGCGCGCGGTTAGCAAAAGAATATCAAACGGTGATTCAATGACACTGTTGATTGGATGAAGGGAATAGTGAAGAGTAGGATAGAGTGTTTAAAACATGAATCAAATAATAATCAAAGGAGAAAAAAAATACTCAGCCAAGTGTTCAAGAATATCAAGGAGTATCAAGACACTTGGCCAAGTATCAAGACAACCAAGGAATATCAAGCAACTTGAAAGAAAACCAAAGCAATGGAAAGGAAATATGACTTACGAGATGAAGAATTGGTGATTTGTTTGAAAAAAAGAAGCAAGTTGGTTGATTGAGTGTAAGAGTGTGTGTGTCTGAGGAAAGAAAGAAACCAGAGAATCAAAGTGCTCGTCCCTTCTTTTATGTCTGAAAACTTGAGCAAGATGGTCAGCTTTACTCGGAGAACAACAGAATCAAACATTTCACGATGTCAACAGAAATCACAGAAACCACAGCAACGAGAAGAGAGGTCGTCGCCGTTGGGAAAGGTAATATGAAGGCGTCGCCGGTTACCGTTCGGCGGGTTAGGCTGTCATTGGTCGAATATGGCCAAGCCACGGTCTTAAATCGTTTAGAATTCAGGGGTCTGCAGTGCGTGACTCCCCGGCTGTATACGGAGGACATTGGGGAGAGTTAATTGAATGTGTCGCCGTTGTTGTCAGGGCAATTGGCTTGATTCCCTCTCGTTGGGACTTTGAGGATGGGACACGAGGACAGATGAGGCCTTTTCTTTAAGGCAGCAATGGAATCGAGCAGTATCGTGAAACTATAACTGAGCTGAAACTTAATTCCTTCACTGGTCGTGATAGTCACACCCCTTTCAAGGGGTCAAAGGGATTCATTGCTTCGTCAGATCCAGATGCCTTCAAAGAGATTGATTGCTCATTGTAAACCACGTCCTTTTATTCTAATTTACTGCTCATCGTAACCGATTTGGGGATGCCATTGAACCTCAATGCTGGAGCACACGACAGACTAGTTATCTACATTATCAGATTCAGGATCCGTCCAAGTGCGTCGACTCCCCAGTATCAGTTCCTAAACCAGGCACTCCTTTTTGCACAGATGATCCATCAGGGGTTGTCGTTGGGTCTCAATTCCGTGAAACTTTGTCAATTGGCTACGCTGTCAAATCTCGACGCCTTCGAGAGACTTCTGTCGGCACATCTCTCCTCATCTAGGCATCACTCGCGAGCCCATTCGTCAAGTCCCAATTCTACCAAGAACTGTTGTTGTTCTCATGACGTCTCTAAACACAGCAATGCAAATGAGAGGTGCAATCAAGAACTATAAACTGATCGTGCTGTCAAATCTCGGCGCTCCATGGCCTTCTATCCTTCTGTCTGATAGTTCTCTCATTCATATTCCTAACATCAACAAAGTCATAAGCTCAACCAAACACAAAAAAGCATCACCACGACAACCTCATGCAACTCGATAAACTCAATATCAAAAGAAAACACATGACTTTCATAGCCTAACAGACATATCTAAGGTATACAGGGTATCAACAACGACAACACCAGACAACACACCCAACTCCTCCTTGACGCCATCCCCAACCGAAACAATTAAAACCTTGACCAGAATTTTCTTCACCCCGTGATTACATGTCCATAAAGGGAACAAACGCATCTCGCCCTTGGAACCGATCGTGATCAAGTGCAACAGAGTCACCTTGGTCAGAATTTCCCTGCGTCTCCATCACCTCGTCAATGTGGCGTTTTCCATGCTGCCCCGCAATCTTGGCCTGCGAAGCAACCTGTGACCGCGCCCTCAGGATATCCTCCCAGCTCTGCAGCTTGCGCTTGACGTCCTCGTCGAAGCAGCAGCAGAACCGCTGCACGGAAATAAACTGTATCGTCGTGATCATGTCCTTTCCGAATAGCGCCATGATGTACGCCGCTGCCATGGCGGCTGACCGGTCGTTGCCCGTCTCGCACGCCACGAGAACTTTGCCCCGACGAAACGTGGCGGTCTCAACAACCAGGCTGCCATCCTTGCTTCTGCCCTGCGCTTGACTGTGGTAGATGGTGAGGAGGTGGTCGTTGACTGCTCGGATCGTGTTGGAGAAGGAACTAATCATGTTGTCGTAGCCGTCCATGTCGACGTAGTGCACCACAATGCCCAATGTCTGAGCAACCTTTTCAATGCTCATGAGCTTCATACCAGCCATGCGCGCATCCCGCGCAACCAGAACCATGGTGATACCCTCGCTTCTCAGAAACTCGCCATCACGCGCGGCGCTGTTTGGTCCGAGATATAAAAAGTTGAGCAGAGGCTGAGCCTCTCTCCGCTGCTCGTATGACCAGTCCGACGCGCGATCGGTGGGTGCGTGGGTGACGTTCTGGGTGATGATGGCCACGTCCCTCGGGGTGAGCTGTTGCGGATCGACGTTCTCGTACGAAGGGAGGAGACCTGGGATCGAATCTCCTCCAGAGCCGTGTGCCGTGGGGGGAATGTGGATGAATGGAGGGCTTGGAGGTCGAAAGGTGTAGGGAGCGGACGGAACCGCCATGTTTGCGACGGAGCGCGCTTCCTCCATCTGTGGAGCTCCTCGTGGGAAACTTCAAGTTGATAAGGGAGTTTCTTTGTGTCGCTGTAGCGGGCGAGGTGGTACAAACAAGGTCGTGGTCGCTTGAAGTGTGCAGAAGATGAAGTTGGGAAAAGGTGACGTTGCGCAAAGGGAGTGTTATCTTAAAGTCTGAGGTGCTTGGAGCCTGGGCTGCCTGCGGTCGCTCTTTATTTCAGGCGGGGCTCAGCTGGCCGCTCAGGGTCCCACTCGCCGCCTTACAGGGGCCGGCTAATGACGTTAGTGGGGAAAGCTCACGAGCCCTACGAGATGATGGTCAGGGGTTCTCTCGAATGGAATGCTTCCATCATCAAACTCAAAAGACAAACGCCAACCGTCAGCCACTCAAGTTAGATCCAGGGGCACATCACTGTTTGTCCTCTCCTTTGTTTGTTCGAGGTTCTGTATCAAACATATTTCATCTTACGCCTTGTCATCTCAACAAACGGGATGCATCGACTAACACACAAACATGATGAAACGAGTGAGCCCAAGCGGAAATGAGCCGCCACATTTCCCCGTGACCCCGTATCGTAGGTTCATTCATATTGTACAGGATAAGATGTTGATACACTCTACAATTACATACATGCATTGTCCAATGTCGTTTGTTCATGTCCACTTCTATGCATTTTTCATCATCCAAACAATCCCAAGCCAACGCCATATTTCCCTGTTGTTTGCATGTACACAGAACATCAAGGAGCTGATGCCGTGGCGGCAACCTCTTCCGATGTCTGATGAGGCTCCCAGTGCTCGTCCTGATCCAGAGGCGGGTCGTCCATCTCTTGCTCAATGTCCTTGAGGTCTCCCTCTCCGAGCACCTTGCGCGACATCTTTTGCGACTGCGCCATGAGACGCTTGTTCTGTCGGATGCTCTGGAGATCTGACTGGGTAAAGTCGAGTCTCTCCAGTGTGTCCACCAGCTTCTGCTCAACGAGCGAGCGCACGTGGAAAGCCAATGCCTGATCGCGGAACATGCCGCTGAAACGGTAAGATAGCCAGACATACTGGTTGATAGCCACATGCAGGGACTCGAGCTTGTGGAGATAATCAATCGGCGTGCCTTTGAAGTTTTTGAGGTCAATGTCCAAGCTCTCAAGGGGAATCTCCTTGATGGACAGCAAATCTCCACGTCCATTCTCGGAAATGATTTTGGCGAGAGCTCGCAGGACATCCATCGAGTTCTCGGCACGCTGCCACACCGGCAAGTGGCAGAGTGTGAGACGATCGTAGATGGTGAGTGGGATGTGTTGAATGGCGTCGGCAATCTCGAGCTTATCTGGCGCGATGCCGAGTCTAAAGTTCTTGCTCACCGATGCAAGCTCTCGGATGCGCATCAAGATAAACGACAGCGGTGTGTCTTTGGGGAAGTATGTCGAAAATCGTTCGACAGCGGCTGCAGGAGGTGTAACATATGCGGCATCAATGTCGTCGACGCTAGATCTGAACGCACGATGCACGTTCTTGAGATCCTGTCGGGCCATCGTTGTGACATAGCCAACCTTGCGGCCGTCGTCGGCCCCATTGTCAGCTTCCGTAGCCTGTCGCGCAGTTCGGTATCGTCCAGCTCGGCCGCCAATCTGCTTCAGTTCGGGGTATGTGAGGTGTCGGTTCTGGTTTCCATCATACTTGGTGACCGAGTCGAGAATAACTCGTCGAATCTCAAGGTTAAGACCCATGCCGATGGCATCACTGGCAACGATAAAGTCGTAGTCGTTGTTGGGATCGTTGAAGAGAGCTGCCTGCTGTACGCGCACCTCGGGGGGTAGTGATCCGTAGATGATGGCGCATCTTCGTCCAGTGTGCTTCTCGATCGTCGTCTTCAGGGCGTGCAGGTTCATGCGGCTAAAGGCCACAATAGCATCACCCTTTTCGAGTCGGTTGTAGTCTTCGTCAATAGCCTCGGACATGGTTTCGAGAGGGCTGAGACGCTCGTATCGGTGAACGATACACTCGTCGCCAATAGCTGCGCATATGCTCTGAATAAGCTTGACTGTTCGCTCCTCACCGCAGAGGTGAACCTCCTTAGCCATGACACCCAGCAAGGCTGTTGTCCAACCACTGCCCCGATCAGGATCGGCAATCATCTGAATCTCGTCGATGACGGCAACATCGTAGGGCTCGTTGACGGGGATCATCTCAACCGTGCAACTCGTAAAGTAGGTATCCGTATCCTGTGGTATCCGCACCTCCTCTCCCGTCATCAGCGCACATGGCAGACCCTTGGCCTGCAGACGCTGGTAGACCTCGTTGGCCAGCAGACGAAGGGGGCCCGCATAAACTCCTCGCTTGGAGTTCTCCAACGCCTTCAGAGCTCTATACGTCTTTCCCGAGTTGGTCGGTCCAACGTGTAGGTGGATAGTTCGCTGCATCGTCCTGGTAGCGGGGAACCACTCGTACGGGAATCGAAAGTCCAGAAGCCGTTTGTGGCTCTCCTCCAAACCCTTGGAGAATCGCTGACGGATGAGGAACGACTGAAACGAGTACTGAAGCTCGTTGCTGAGACCCTTGACATCCTTCAAGATGAAGGCATCACGAAGGTTCCAGAACAGCGGGTTTCGGTCTCGCTGCGTGATGTTCTGCTCAGCCATGACAAAGGCCTTTTCCAAGACATCCATAAACAGAGCGGCCTGCTTGTCGAGCTCTTCCTCCCCGACGCCGGCGACGGAGACGCTGGACCGGGAAAACTTCTCGAGGACGCCCTCGAAGCGGTTAAAGACTGTCGATCGAAACATGGCATGGCGGCCCTTCCCAGCCTTTTGCGATTCCCACTTCATCCTCGGCTTGTGACCCTTGCCATGGTTTGTCTAACAAGTATAAGTCCAAGTTCCTCTGCATGAAAAGGTCAACTCACTTGACTAGGCCGTCCACCCTTGAAAGGTTTTTTCTGCCATGGGTTTACAGACGCAGCTAGCATAGCCTTGAGCTTGCCTCTGCTCATGGGATTTTTCGGAGGAGGCTCAGTCTTGGTCTTGGTCTTGTCCGCACCATCGCAGAGTCTCGGAGTCGTCGAGAGCGACCGTCGTGTTGCTGCTATGTGACATAGTGGAGGCCGCACAACCCCAGGTCGGAGCGGAAATCTCATGACGACGGCCTGACGGATGATCCAAACATGCTCCCTCGAAAGAAGCACTGGAAAATTGTCAGGGGATGCATTCAATTCGTCACCTTAGGCGGATGCGACTGAAATTTGCCATCATGAGAACGCTTCTCATAAAATTTCCAATGATCCGGATTATTATTCCGCCGTGATCCGGTTCCAGTTCGTCGAGTGGGGCTTCATGCTGATGACGCTCTGATACCTGCTGTAGCTTGGTTCGAGAGCTTCGGAAGTTATACATTTTGTTATCGCCAACATCCATCCCTATTTCTCCTTTCAACGCCTTTGGTCGTCTAAAACTCTCGCTTCCAGCTCCTGTTCCTTTCAGCAGATTGCCTGTAAATACCCTCCATTCTTGTCGCTTGGGTGGTCCAACAAACCCGCGTCCATCATGGCGTCGTCATCCACTCCAGCAACTCCTCTCCTCTAGTTCGTCCCCTTCTCGACGACAAGTAAACAATTCAACTGACCATCTCTAGCTCGTGCATCGCGCACAACACCACCATCCTCTCCGAGTGCACCACCTCGGCATCCTCGCAGACGTCGTCCCTGGCCTCCCTCATCCTCCCCAAGATCGAGCACACCAACCCTCAGAAGCTCACCTACACGCACGGCCAGCACCAGATCCACTATGTCGCCGAGGCTCCCTCTGAGCACCCCGACTCCCCTTCAGCCGGCGGGCTGACGTTCCTCGTCATCGCCGACTCGTCGCTCGGCCGTAGGGTGCCGTTCGGCTTCCTGTTCGAGATCCGCAAGCGCTTCTTCCAGCAGTTCCACGAGAGCAGCGACTTCTCCGACATGCCCAACTACGGCGCGGCGTCGTTCAACTCGGAGCTCAAGAACCTCATGGTGGACTACGGTACCACGAGCGGCGGCCGCGACGACGCCATCGGCAACGCGCGCCGCGAGATTGACGACGTGAGAGGCATCATGACAAAGAACATTGAGAGTCTTCTCGAGCGCGGCGAGCGCCTGGACCTGCTGGTGGACAAGACGGACCGTCTCGGGGGCAGCGCGCGAGAGTTCCGGGTGCGCAGCCGGGGTCTCAAGCGCAAGATGTGGTGGAAGAATGTCAAGCTCATGGGTCTGCTTGCGCTGGTGGTGTTTCTCATCATCATGGCGATTGTCATTGCGGTCAAGAACGGGTCGAATTAAGGCGCGCGCGACATTCTTCCTGAGCTTTTTGAGCGTTGGGGCCGTTCCTTTGTATTTCCTTTGTTACAACGTGTACTCCTATGGCGAACTAAGGACAAGAACCGAGGCGAAGGGTGTAATTATGCAACAAGGTCTTCTTTTTTTAATCAACTGATACCCAATTTGATCTCGGCTGTCTTGTTTCCTCTCATTGAATCGCATATATCCAACTTCGGCTGTCATGTTTCCTACTGTCGTGAACACATCAATCCAACTCGCCTAGTATTTCACGTGCTGCTCTTCCGCCCATATCTCACCCTCAAATTGGATCTCCATCCAGAACTAGTTGGAAACCCTCCAAACTTGGTCGCATGAATGATGCGCCGGGTATCATTGCATATCGCATCGCTCATCGAATAAACTAGTCGCTCAATCGTCGAATGCAAATCATCTCGGCGTCCCTTCCGAAATCCACTCTCTCACAACTTTGGTTTCCTCCTCTCGCTCTCCTGATAAACATATCCCAGCGTAACAGGACTCTCCATCATCGTTCCAGAAGGAAAAGACACGGGCGCCCGACGGAGCCGGTCGGTGAAGAATGCCGGGTGCAGAGATGATGCGCAGGGGAGGCTGTTGAATCTGGGTGCTGAGTTGGGATGCTGCTGGGTCGCCATGGCGGACGGTGGAGGACAAGAGGTGCCCATGATGGAGTATTTATCGGAGACTTGAAAAGGGCGATTAAGAGGAAAGAGTTATTCACATTCTCTAATAATATTGATCTTTTGAATGTATTTAAGCTGATGCAATGAGAAAAGAGAGAAAAGAGTCAAAGTACAGCCCCCCAAGTCTTTAACGCTGCATATCCCCCATTCTCCACGTGCCTCGGCGTGCTCGGTCGACACTCCGATCTTGCGTCGTCGCTGTCGAATTCCCGTTCCCACTTTCTGATGATGACATTTTTTTCTCTCTCTCTCTCTCTTTTTCCCCGCATGACTCGGCCCCATCTTTAAGGCGGCTGCTGGTTGACTTGCTCTTTCGGGAGTTAATGCAAGCGATGCGGACATGGATTTCGTTATCTGGTGAGCATAATTTGCATAATGTTGGATTAGTATTGCACAAGTTTGTTGCGGTCAAGATCTCGGACAAGCTCATACCGAGATTCCGAGATTTGATACATTACTTGATCCAGTAGTAACGGCAGTTCACCCATCGACAAGGTCCATTGTGACAAAGGTTCTTAAAGGCAATCATTCTCTTCATGCACATACGTGGGCAGATGATACTCAAGAGTTGCTACCTCCCACCAGTAACACCAGATCAGGAGCCAGACATCCCACACTTTTGGTCAGAAATAGACAATACACACTAGAATCCTCCACATAATAATTGTCCATAATTCATGCCCATATGCCTATTTCTAGCAATACGCGCGCTCGTTCAATACCCAACTCAACTCCAGCTTCTGTCCACCAAAACGCCATGCCAGTCCCGATGTACTGCTAGATCCCAGCACTAAAATATACAACCGCAAGAAAACAAATGAAACTCCCCCATTCATCAACGACGCCACTGATCTGCAGGACTCTCTCGCTCCTCTGCCGGCGGTGTGAACCTCGGCCTATGGTGGTCCTCCCGCGTGCGAGGAGCTGTGTCCTCCTGCTGGACCTTTTGCTCTTCATCGCCATCCTCAAGGCTAGCAGGATTAAATATCTTGTCCACATTGCCATCCTTCTCAATCCGCTGCATCAAGTCCTGGTCTCCTGCAAAGTAGACGCGTCGGATGGCCTGGACAACCAGATCCATGACAATGAGCGCCACCAATTGCAGCAAGACAGACGTCCACCACGCAAGAGTGTGCCCAAAGTTATGGATAAAGGCGTTTCGAACAATGTAGGGACCAATGTGTTCCGAATACAGCGCCGAGTTGATCAGCATCCAGAAGAACCATCCAGCCACAGAGATAACGCATCCACCAAACGTGATGATCGTCTTGGTGTGTACTTCAAGAATCCTAATAACTGTTAGCATGTAATATCGCCAAAGTCAATGCAGTACTCACAGGAGCTTAATATTGATAAACACCACGGCAACGGTAAAGCCAACCATGCCCATGGCAAAGAGACTCGTGTCCTCGTCAAACAGCGTCTTGTCGTACTCGCAAAACGTAAAGTACCAGATGACGAAGCTCCCCGCAACACCCTGCACCATCCATCCAAAGTATTGCGTGAATCTGAATCCGAGGTTCCTCTGGCCAAACATGTACAGCTCCGGTACCTTCATCAACGTCTCCGCCTTGAGGTCCTTCTCAAAGATACCAAGGAGAATAACCGGTAGTGACGTGAATGCGGCGTTGAAAACAGTCAAACTCCAAGATTCGTAGAGCGACGTGCCTGTGTATCCGTTGAAGCGCTGGAAGTGAGCCTGGACAAGGAAGAAGAGGATCTCCTTCCAGAACGTTCCGAGCACGTACTTGCCTGTCCTCATGTAGTTCCAGCGACCATGAACAAAGAGCAGCTTCTGCAGGAATCTGAACTGAGCAATCGAAAAGTCCGAGATACGAGCAGCTTGGAGACCCTCGCGACCAGAGATACCAATGCCCACATGCGAGGCCTGGATCATACCAATATCGTTCGCTCCGTCTCCGATAGCCAAGGTCATGCACTTGGGAACATATCTTCGGATAGAGCGGACCAAGTTGGTCTTTTGCGAGGGAGAGGCTCGGCAGCAGATAACAGAGTCGACACGGACGACGAGGTCGTAGAAGAGAAGAGAGAGGTCGTCATCGTCGTCAATCTTGGCAAGTGTTTGCCCATCGACGACGACAACCGTGTGAGGAGCCATACCGCGAGAGACATCGTTGAGAGTCGTCGTAATGGTCTCCTTCAAGTCGCCAACAGTCGCATCCAGCACATAGACCTCAGACCAGGGCTTGCAAACGCGGGCAGATTGTCCAATGTTGATAGCTGTCTCACGCTTGTCGCCAGTGAGCATCCACACCTTGATGTTTGCCCGACGCAGCTTGTCAATGGTATCCGGAACTCCATCCTGGAGCTTGTCCTCGATGGCTGTCGCTCCGGCCAGCTCAAACTTTTGCTCAATGAGATCTCCAGCAGCTTCGATACGCTCCTGGCGATCCACAAGACTGGTTTCAGCCTCTCTATACTGCGCCTTCCACTGTCGGTACGAGTCATCGTCGATGTAGCGGAATGCGTACAGCAGAGTTCGTAGACCTTCGCTTGCGAAATCATCAATGTGCTGGAAGCACTTCTCGAACACGGCGCCTTCGCTTGCTGCCACTGATTCATCAATCCTACGATCAACCTCATCAAACGACGGCGCTCGGCCCAAACTCTGCCTCGGGCTCGACATTTCCATAGATTCCCGAGGCGAGGCCATGTGCTGCTGCGAGTACTTGTTAAAGTCGGTCGAACGTCGACCCAAGCTCAGTCTGAGGCCTTCTCGGTTGGAAGACTCGCCTCTTGAGAAACCAAAGCTGTTGCGAGGGCTACCGTAAGGGTCCGAGGCCTGGGTGCTCATGCGTCGCAGGGCCCTATCCTGCTCCGAGACCTTGCGCACACTGGCTCGACGGCCAATATCCTTCATCTTTTGCTCAGCAAGGTGGTTCAACCTCAAACGCTGCATGATGACGTTGTCGGCGCCCTTGCAAAAGACGCAGATGCGGCCGTCGGGCATACGGATGATGATAGACATCCTCTTCCGCTTGCTGCTGAACTCAATCACATCCAGAACTTCATACGACTCTGTTTGGAGATTGCCGTCTGCGTCTCGGAACTCGAGCTTGATGGCTTGTGCAGGCCGGTCAATGACCAGGAAACCAAGGTCCTTGGCAGCCTCCACGAGCGCCAACTCATCAGGAGAGGCGGCTTGGTACGCAATATCGCCGTCATCCGTCCTCTCCGGGAGGCAAGTATGGCAAAGGGCAATGCATATCAGAAAGTGCTTGGCCTTTCGTGAAAACGTCGAGTTGGGCTTCCTCTGGATGTAGTTGAGCAGATCCTCCGTCTTCATGTCAGTGTCATCAGCGATGTGGACAGAGGATCTCCAGTGGCTGGCTGATCTGGTCGAGAGCGTCCGAGAAGGCTGTGGCCTCTGGAACCCGTTGCCTGCGGCATCGTCGTCGTACTCGCCATCGAAACCCTTGATCTTTGATTGGCCTCGCATCTTAGACTTGCCCTTCTTTGGTCGATCCAACTCTTCAAGCCGCTTGCGCATTGCTTCCTCTTCTCGCTGGATATCCATGTCATGGAGACAAGCCACACCTGCCACCGACATTTTGCGGAAGCGCATGATATTTTCCGTCAGAGTTCCCGTCTTGTCCGAAAAGACATAGCTAACCTGTCCCAAGTTCTCAAGGATCGTGGTTGTGTTGGCCACCATGGGTGTGTCAGTGGCCGGGTCGTACATCTCGGCGTCTTGAAGTAGCAAAAGCTGTCCCAACTTGATGATTTCGAGACTGATGTACAGTGACAAAGGAATCAGGGTGTTGAACATGATCAAGAAACCAAAGAAGATCTCCTTCCAGGGCACGCTAGCGTTGTAAATGCCAGGCCGCTTGATGTAAAAGGCGATATCCTCAGTCCTGTCCTTCCAGAGGTAGTAGCCGATTGTCAGGCCCATGGTGAGCATGAGGACAATGAAGATCTGAACCAGAATCATCTTGTTGATGACCGACTGCATCGCGGGCTTCTTGGCTTTGACGTTCTTGTTGGCATTCATGCGAATCTTGCACTCCTCGCCGGTGTTGACAACAATACCAATGGCCTCGACGGTGTTTCGGAGGGTAGATCCACGGAAGACAATGTTGCTATGCGATGTAGGAAGGGTCTCGCCGTCAATGGTAACCCGGCCCTCGTAAGTGTAGAGGTCCAGGTTTGGGTTCTCAGAAACCACAGTAGCCTGGGTTGAGCGCAGTCCCTCCATCGTGCTGCAACGCTCAGCCAGCAAGGAACAAGCCTGCTTGCTTTTGAGGTTGGTCTCACCATCAAGAGCCATAGTGTCAATGTAGGCAATGCCATTGGGGCCCGTGGCGTGCAAAAGAATGATATCGGCGGGTACAGGGTCGTCTCGGCGGAGGCGAATAACATCGCCGACACGGACATTCTGCCACTGAACCGACGTCCACTCGCCATCGTCGCTGGTCTTTGCTGTGCTGACCGTGCCGGTTTCAATGTCTTCAAGCATGTGCTCCTCGCCGTTTTCAGGTTGCCTTTTCTTCTTTCTCCTCATCTTCTCGGCATGCCTAACTCGGCCCTTTTCACCAACACGGTCACGGGCGCCCAGAATCCAAGCCTCGCTGCGGTTCTCGACACGATCAAGGATATATCGCCTGTAGTCGTCATAACCTTCCTTAAGCATACTGAATGCGACAAACACGCCGAGAGGAGCGATGGTAGTCCAACGACCAACAGTACTAAGACCAGGAATCATCTGAATAGTACCAACAACCAAGAAGTAAAAGTTTCCGAGCTTGCTGAACTGAAAGATGAGCTGCTTCGGGACGAAATCATAGACAGTATAGCGACTGGAGCGGATAAAGTTGCTGACATATGGTTTTCCGGAGCGTTCGTCGGTAAGCCCTTCTGGCTTCCGGTGATCGGGGTTGAGAGGGATATGACGACCATCTGCTAGGGGCACGAGAGGTTTTTGACGAAGTATCGTCTCGAGAATGACCTTTTGGTGGAATTCGCCGAGCTGTTTGCGCGCGCGATCCTTCCAGGTAGGCTTCGCCTTGGGTCCCAATTTCCTCTGGCGCCTCTCGTGGAGGTACTTTTTGATGTCATCTCGAACCGACGACTTCGCATTAGTCGTCTCGTTAAAGTTCAAGCTGGCCTTGTCGGCGGGCGAGGTAAGAGATTTGTCGGTCCGGTCCATCGAGTAGTGCGGAACGCGCGGCAGGTCGCTGGACAGCTCAGTTCTGGATGGGATCGGCTGCAACTCGTAAGGGTCGCCGGTCCTCACTCGCGGACCTTCGTTATCAGGGTGGCGGGGGCCAGACCTCACGTAGGAATCGGTAGAGGTGCGCTGGGATGGATCATTGTTGGGGTCGGTATGGGAGCGGCGCGAGTTTCGAGGTCGGGAGAAATTTGTCGAGGTTCGAGGATAGCGCTCCTCTAGGGCGGCTAGATCGCGAGCTGCCTCATCGCTAGGGTCTTCGGGGTCGTTTCGCGAGTGAGACAGCCGTCGCTCGGGGTCATTTCTGCGGCTGGGAGCCATATTAAGACCGCTAGATCAGCGACATTTGGAATGGAGGTGGATGCGGAGGTTGAGGTCGTGGACGCGCTGGGTCTGAAGGCAAGGTTGTTAGATGAGCTCACAGCTACACCACTCAAAGCAGGCGAAGGCGGGAAGAAGATCAAAGGGAGAAGAAAGAGGACCGTGACGAGATGTCAAGTCGAGGTTGGGATACGGACCCAGAGAGGTTGACAGCCCGGTTGTACTGTACGGAGCGGAGGACGGGACGTACGCACCACGAGCTTTAGATTAGCAGGTACGGGGATGACAAGCTCAATGGTCAGTGCAATCCATGCGCCGGCTCGATACGGGTGGCTCGCTCGTAATTTCACCTCCACCTTGACACTTTAAGCATCGAGGATACCCTTAATTGATAGATTGATTAAGCATTACCCAACTATACGGTTCGAACAAAGACGCGACGACTTCAAGACACCTCTTTTTGCCCCCCCTTCGTTTCCCCTCAGAGCCTGCCTCCCTCGAGCGAGGCGCAGCAGAGACAACCCGTCATCCAACAACGCATCCATCGGGCTCCCGGGGGCTTATTGACAGCCGCTAGACATGCGTCATGCCCCAGACATCACACAGAGGCCACTCTATTGGCGGTGATGGGTCTTGATGGTCGCTAAATTACACCTTATTTTTCTCGCTACCCAAAAATAAGCTCTGGCCCAGTTTCAACTTGATAGAGGCTACACGACATGGTTGAGACTCGAGCAGCAAGACAATGGCATAAAGAAGCTTGACAAACTCGTCTTGATGATAACATTAGCGTCTACCGCCTTGACAATCGCCCATTGTCACCCAGGCAATCTCTCGCAGCCTCAATTGCCAACGCTGACCAACGCTCTTACGCATCTCTCGCACGTGTAACCCCAAGGCTTGTCTGCGCCTCGAAATCCACGCAATCCATCCGCCAGCCACCTCGCCCGAATCCTCCTCTGTCCCCCCCTTTCACTGTCCCAAGCCCAAAAAAGAAAAATCAAAGCCAACCCGTAAAAACAGTTCCCAGCCAACGGGGGGCTTCATCCGCCCTGTATCCGTACTCCGTAATCCGTTCCTAGATGCCCAGCCCTCGGCGACACGCCGCGCTCCACCATCCCGGCCTCTTACACGGCCCGCGCGGGCACCGAAATCTCGAAGCCGTGTCCTACCATTCATTTGTGTCTCGTCGCCAATCGATCAAGCTCGTGTTGACCCTGAAACCGGAGATGGGAACCTATTGTTACGGTTTATTCTTCCTGAAACTCATAACGAGGCTTTAGAGCATGGTCAGCCATAAAGGCCCAACTAGATATAGATGCGCAATCCTTCGCTTTCGGTATCGTGTTCCCCACAGCCGGACAGCCCTAGACACTTTACCCAGCTTCCATTTTTTGCCTAGCAAGCTCAGCCGCTTCCACGCGAACCATATATTTCTTCTCCGTACATACCGGAATGCCATCGTCGTAACAGCGCGCTACGCAAACCCACGGCCCAGTCAACTCAGAACACTGTGCGCCCGTTGTCTGCCGATCGCGCCATCACTCGAGGCTGCGCCTCGTAGCATTTGACGTCGTCCCTCTTTTAAGTAAGTACGATATCACTTCCGAGCAATCCGGCGGCGGAGGCGCTTCAAAAGTGACGGTGAACGCGGTCAACAGCTCAGAGCAACGCCACGACGTCGTCACCACTTCAGTCAACAGACTCAACACACAAGACATCACAGCTAGCAAAGGAACCATTCAAGTGAACATGAAACCCATTTTTAATAGCCAACTAGTTCCACCCTCGACCAAGTCCATACCTTCGTGTCCAACTGTAGGCTTCTCCGCAACGGCACGTCTCGCCGACGTCCATCGCGGACAGCAATCCAGCTGCTCATGAACCTCCACTGAGTACTCGCAGTGTACCTTCAGACAGTTAAAAAGAAAAAAGCCAAGTCCCCCATTAAGTACGACCCAAGGACCCTAGCCAAGCCTCCTGGGCTTTCTCCCCAATATCCGACATGACGCAGTGAAAAGAGTAACCAAGAAACGGATTAAAACATCGTAGCCCCCTATTTTCTCCAGTAACAATGTGTGCGTATAGATTAGGTCCAAGATGGTGACGTGCGGTGGTCAGGCAACGCCCATCGAGGTTGATGAAAGGCTGAGCGCCATGGCAAAAGACTTCTCGCCGAAAAAAATGTTGAACAAGACCACCCAGGAAATAAACAAATCGCGGCAGAAGATTCAATTCGAAAGTATCGACGCGGTAATAAAAAAAAACGGAAAATGTACGATCGCTGTGGTGTGCCCGACATACATGACCGATGTCCAAGAATTGTATCGTCATGCAAGTTCATCATGGCCGTGGTTTGGGGGAGGAGAATAGAACCAGACTTGATACACAGTCGGTATTAGACCTGGTAATGGTTTGAGGGGGAGAGGATAGTTGTTAACGAGGAAAGCCACCCCGAAAATGGGCGTGAAACGAGAAAAAGGAGATCCCAATGGTATAAGTTGCCGCAAACGCCCTGATATGAGACACACAAAAGAAACACATCGTTGACCCAAGCATCACAATACCTCCAGCTCACTGGGGAACTTGGGGCATTGTCTCAGGGGACAGGCTTGCAGGGTCCACGGCATCGAACTGGACAAGTTGGTCCATGTCCAGCTCAGCCTGTTGGTGCCCGAACCCAGGCGATGCGGTGTGCATCGGCAGGTTGATGGTGTGCTTGGAATACATCTCGTTGAGGCTCGTGCCATCCTCGGAAACAGCGCACGATCCGTCATTGACGGGGTAGAGATCAGCCGAGCCGGGGCGGCCCATCATAGTCATGGGTGGTGACTGTTCAACAATGGACGGCTCGCCGGGGCTGTTAAAGGGGAGAGGCGAAACAGATGTCGGAACGCCCGTGTCAGGGTTGACCATGGGCGAAAGGAACCCGGTGCTGTAAGGTGTGTTGTAGCTCGACTGGGGCATGCCGTTGGGATCCGGGCCAGGTGGAAAGAAGCCTGGGCTGGGAGGGAACTCGGCGGGGGACGCAGTGGTAGCCGACATGGGGTACTGTCGCATGTCCAAGCCAAAGCCAGCCTGTGTATCGATGCGCAGGTTGGGAGCCATGTTGGTGGTGGGAGGCTGAGGAATAGGGGCGAAGATGTTGGGGTTGTGCTGAGGAGGAGCCATCTCGCCGGGAGGTTGGATGTAGAACGAGGGCATCGGCTGGTTCTGGAACATGGCGAAATCGACAGGGCCGGGGACGGATCGACTACGCTGGCGCTTGTGTCCGGCAGGACCAGGACGCATACCCGAGTGCATCTGGTGGATTCCCCATTGCTCCTGGAACATGCCTACGTGTGGTTGAAAGCTGGGCTGCGACGAAGGACGCGCAGTCGGCGAGACAGGGGCCGAGACGGACAGCGCATGAGGGTCGCCAAAGGGATGAGGGTTGTGGCGGTTCATGAAGGACTCGAGAGAAACAAGCTTGGCAAGCTGGCCGCTGAGAACCTTGGGGTTACCGCCGAGGTGGTGAACCAGGCACTGGGTGGCCTGGAGGTCTTCAGTAAAGTCGCCGCACTGGAAGAAGCCGTTGGTGGTGGGCGAAGAGTCCATGAAGAAGTTCGGGGGTCTGTTCAACTCAATGACAATCCCGCCGAGCTTGGTAGGATCCCCCTCGCTGTTCTCGAGGAAGATGTTCTTGATGTGTGAGAAGGGATACTCGATCTTGTACCCAGCCTGCTCATTATTGATGTAGTAGGTCATGGTGCACTTGTCAGGAGAGTAGAAGATGATGAGATCCATCGTGTTCTGTCCCACGCGAGTCCACTTTCCGATGCTGAGAGACCGGCAAGTAAGATGGTGAATCACTGCGTACAAGTCAGCACTGAACTGTTTACGCATGACACTCTCAATCGCAACTTACAAACTTTGCCCTGGCCGCCTTGGTCACCGCCAAGGAGCATGTTGCCGTGGCCAAAAGGCACGAGTCCAGTTCGTCCGAGATAGCTTCCACCGAGTCCCTTGCCAGACTCCATAGCCTGCATGGCGAGGTAGGCTCGCATGGACTCGGGGATCGAGTCAATGTCCTCGCCCGTCTCCAGGCTCTTCTTGGCCAACAGCTTGATCTTGGCTCGCCTGTCTCACTGTCAGCAGGGCTGCAAATGGGTCAACGCAAAATCCACTCATACCTGTTCTGGAACCAGATCTGAACAGACCTCTCGGTCATGTTGATCTCCTCGGCAATCCTCTCACGGACGGTAGCGGTGGGTGTAGGGTTCTTGTTGAACTCCATCTCCAAAGTTGTCAGCTGGTCCTGAGTGGCGCGCTGTCGCTTCTGGTTCTTCTGCTGTTGAGTAAGGGTGCTCTTGCGGGGAGGCCGTCTTGATTGGGAACTGCCATTTGCTGAGGGAGAAGGGGTCTCCTTCTTGATGCCGGCAGAAACGGGAGTCGGAACGGAGTTGGAGGTGGTAGAGTTGGGGGTGGAAACCCCAGGGACAGGAGTGGACAAAGCCACGGGTTGCTCAACCTCGGTGGCCATTGTTGCTAAAAATGATCGCTTTTAGGCAATCCCCTCTTGTTGGATTATAAAATGGGTTCAAACGAATGTCGAAACTGGTGTGTCGAGTCGGAGCAATTGCAACCGGATGTCGTCGAGGATGCTTGATCCACTGGAAGGGGCGTGTCAAGTGGCGACGAGTATTATCGGTGGATGAGACAGCGACGGGGCCGAGTAGTCGACAGTGATCGGTACAAGGAACGTAGAGAATGATGGTAGATTGGTGGTAAGTAATGAGTGTGGTCCCAATTCCGTATATCTGGAAGGGGAGGCTGTATAAAGATACAGGATCGTATAAGGCGGATTGGCCGGTGGTCTCGAACGTTGGCGACGTTGGAACAAAAACGTTTCGGTCGCGAAGAGGATCGAGATGTTAGAGTCAAGCCCAAGGAAAGGAACGGTCCCGGAAAGAGTGACGGGTACCGAGTTGGCTAAAGATGGAATAATTCAAGAGAGTGAC